AGAGAATGCTGGGTATTTGTGTCACATGACGCAGCAGGTCTGACCCCATAACTGCGCAGCAACTGTGGTCAGGGCGGCCCAAGCCAGAGCTGAGCCTGAGGATCAAGGACGGGTCTGGACTGCAGGGCGGGACCGGATCTAGGTGGGTCAAGAGGGCAGGTCAAGGACGACGAGGCTGAAGTGAATCAGGTCTAGCTGCAGTTATATTTAAGGGAAAAGAGATGAATCTGATGTGGATAACATCAGATTTTAACTCTTTGGAGCTCGAAAAGATAATGTTTCTTCAATTTCAACAGCGGTCATCTCGAAGGACTTTACAAAGATCAGAGAATCAAATGGTTCAAAAGAGAGAGGGATACGCTCCAAGGGACCAATAGGCTGTAGATCCAGGACTGAGGCTGTAGATCCAGGACTGAGGCTGTAGATCCAGGACTGAGGCTGTAGATCCAGGACTGAGGCTGTAGACCCAGGACGGAGGCAGTAGACCCAGGACGGAGGCAGTAGACCCAGGACGGAGGCAGTAGACCCAGGACGGAGGCAGTAGACCCAGGACGGAGGCAGTAGACCCAGGACTGAGGCAGTAGACCCAGGACTGAGGCTGTAGACCAAGGACTGAGGCTGTAGACCCAGAACTGAGGCTGTAGACCCAAGACTGAGGCTGTAGACCCAGGACTGAGGCTGTAGACCCAGGACTGAGGCTGTAGACCCAGGACGGAGGCTGTAGACCCAGGACAGGCTGTAGACCCAGGACTGAGGCTGTAGACCCAGGACTGAGGCTGTAGACCCAGGACTGAGGCTGTAGACCCAGGACGGAGGCTGTAGACCCAGGACGGAGGCTGCAGACCCAGGACGGAGGCTGCAGACCCAGGACGGAGGCTGTAGATCCAGGACTGAGGCTGTAGATCCAGACTCTACAAACAGAATGGAGTCAACCTTCGCTCAGCATGTATTATATTATTTATTGCTCTACAAAGTCTAGAGTTGTAAGAGAAGACTGGAGTTGTCCGTTCACTGCCTTCCATGATACAAGTTTTAACCACATACATGTTTAAAAGGACAGATAGTGAGTTGATTAAGAACTCTATCACAAGAGACACTGAACTTCCTTCGGTGGTCCATGAATCTCAGTTCTCTTTAAACAGCTTCCTCGGCGGTGACATCACCCGTGTGTGTTCACTGAGTCATGTTTGTTCGTGGTGTGTGTCTTTGTGCGGTCTCAGGTGCGGTCACCTCCACACTGTTGTTTATACACAAGTACAAATATAGGCCACGACTGCACAGCTTTCGGAATGTCACACTAAACCTCAGTCTGACCTGGGATCTATGGACTCGGGTTTAACCAAGTCCAGTTCATGTGGATGAAGAGGGAGGGACCAGACTGAGAGCTTTCACTTCAGATTCAGACTTTAGATCTACAGCAGCAGCAATGATGAGCTGTTGAGACTGATTGTACTTAACTAACTAACTAACTAACTAACTAACCCTAATGACAAACCCACTTGTATGTAAACAGGACAATTTAGACGTTAAAGAAGCAGCAAAAATCTGCCCAAATGTGGTACTGCACTCTCCCTGACTCAGGTTGCCAGATATGCAGACGAATCCTGCTGGGACCATAATAGTTTTGTCAACAACAAATCTATAACCAACAGCTCTTTCACAAAGGCCTGATAAAAATCCTGGTTTTATTCCTTGTTTTATCGTTAATTATTTGAGAATCATAACGAGACCTTTTTTAGTTCTGTGGCCACATGATACTTTACCTCTGAGATTAGCTCAATATGGCAACCCGTATCACAGACTTTCTGATTGGTAAAACAGTGGAGGGCGGGACATTGAAATGAAAACGACAAGATTTAGGGGCTGTAAAACTAATTTTGAAATCCAAATATCTCTGAACTACCGTTATTAGTTAAAGAAGTATTGGAAAAGAGCATGTTTTATTAATGCCTTTTGACAGTTTTCATGACGACTTGACATAAAAATCTTACATATTGATACTTTAAATAAAATTGTGTTAGAAGATTTTTTACAGCTCAAGAACAGTTTTTAGGCAGTTTTGCATCGGTTTATTGTGTTTGTATATGAATGTGTAATTTTCTTTAACATTTATGGACATTGGTCTCTTCCCCTTATGGACCAATGGCCACATAAAGTCCACAAAAATGTATGAATATGTTTAGTTTTTAGGAGCATAAATATGGCTTAGAATGTTCTTTTAATTAGAGAAAGGGAGTGAAGAAGCATGTTGGAGTTGTAGATTTCTGTTTTTGTCAGATGGTGTCTCTTATCAGCTGCTGTATCAGTCTGACAGATCGGAAACATGTAGTAATGAAGCAGGTCGAGCTTCTTTACTCTCGCCTTAAATATAAATGAGACATAATTAACTGTTTACACATAGTCCATGGATCGTGTTGTGACAGTTTTAATTAAAGTAGATAATAGACGGTCATTCTTCTTCTTATTCCAGATGGGTGTGTTGTTAATATTGCTATTCCATCTAAGCCTTTAATTGAAAACAAAACTGTCAGGAACTGCATTTCATTACCTTTTGTTCAGCATAATGTTGTGTAAAAACTGTAAAACCGGAGCAAATTGTCACAAAACAATTCAACACTTCCTACACTGGTTCATCTGGACTGGATTATCTGAATATTTGTGTACAAAGCCACCCAACAGTGTGGTTTTACTTTGAGACGAGATTCAAGATTTCTAGCATTGGCCTTTGGGCCGGATGGTCGTGGGCTCGAGTCCATCACGGGACCAACTCCAACTGCTCCCACTGATGTCTGCTGTCGTTGTGTCCTTGGGCAAGACACTTAAACCCACTTTGCCTTTAGCTCCCACTGAAAGATCAAGGCTGTGGCACCATTGATGTAGCAGCCATCTTCCCATAGACTCATCTCCTGCAGAGGATCAGAGGGACTGGTGCTATGAGACTTGGGTGGCAGCTCTCATTGCCACCCCCAGACCCAGAAATGGACTAAAAAATGGGTTGAAAATGAATGAATGAAAAAAAAAGAAGATTCAAGAGTCCATAAGAAAAGAAAACATAGACTTTACTGATCTCACAAGGGAGAAATTCAAGACACAACAATTTATTTGCCATTTGCAGTAAAACCACATTGGAAAAACAGCCAGACTTTCCCAGAGAGCACCAGACAGAGGAGATACTACACACAGAGCTCTTTCCACCATGTTTCCTTCAGCTGCTTGCTTCCCATTTTCATTTTGCATTCATCCAAAACATTTGAAATCCTTGTCCACACTTGACAATTGCATTAAACACATTCAGAGACTTGAACCTGTTCCTCATAAACAAATGTGAGGAGCACGAAGCACAGAGACAGAGAGCCGTGTGTTTGACGGAGAGTCAGGAGCAGACTGAGCATGTGTCTGAGGCAGCTGTGGCTGAAGGACACGCTTCTGCTTCAAACACAACTGTTTTAGAAGAAGGATCAGACTGTCTGCTTCATAATCTGCTTCATAATCATTACAGCTCAAGAAGATATAACTATTTCAAATTCAGATTCTGAGATTCTCTATTTGTCCCACAGTGGGGAAATGTCAGTGTTGCATCACCAGTTACAGAACAATAGGAATGAGGAGCACACAGCAGAAGATACATGAACAATAACTCTACCAGGCATGTCCAAACTCAGGCCTGGGAGCCAAATGCGGCCCTCAGTGTCATTTCATGTGGCCCTCTGCCTTACTGACCTAACGTAGTCTTTGAGATCGTAAACACAAGTTCACTGTGTCTTCCATCCAACTTCAGCACAGCCAATATAGATATGTCGTAATTCAAAAAAATCTCAATTTTTAAATTGTACAAATTGTTACCTATCTAAATCATGATGTTGCTTTCTTTGTTAATAGTATGTGAGTATGTGCTTTGAGTTTTTAGCCTTTTAAAGCAGAAGTAAGCAATGTTTTTGTGTTAATATAAGTCTTAAATAGTATTATCTTCCAGTAGCCATCATTTATATAGTGTGTTTGGACCGAAACATGGATCTTTCAGTCACTCCACTCACTCAGCCGTATTTAAAACAAATCTTGTATCCTACAGGGGCGGCACGGTGGCTGAGTGGATAGCACTCTTGCCTCTCAGCAAGAAGGTCCTGGGTTCGAATCCCGGTTGGACCAGGGCCTTTCTGAGTGGAGTTTGCATGTTCTCCCCGTGTCTGCGTAGGTTTCCTCCGGGTGCTCCGGTTTCCCCTACCACTAAAAATATGTACAATAGGTCTGGCATGTGCCTCCTGTACTGGCACCCCCACTCCCAAAAATAACAATTGTAAACCGCTTTGAGACTCCGATGTGCAGTGAAAAGGCGGTATAAATAAAGATTACTTACTTAATCCAATCAAGAGAGAGGACAGTATGAGGGGGGTTTCTCTCTGTGTGCATTCTCCAAAACAAACATGGCGGAGAAAGCAAAGCCGGTTTCAGTGCTGCTGCAGCTCCGATCCTGGAAACTCGTCAATAGGGCCGTTATAGCCACCATTAGCAACTCAAGAGACAGGGGGGCACCCACTACGTCCAATAGATGTGCCGGAGGCCCCCACCCAAAGCTGCATGGCTTCACCTAATCGCAAGAAAGAAATTCCTGCCTGGTGGGGCCTTGATAGGCCCTGCAACGATCACCTGTACCGAGGACCGACTCCCTCGGCCCAGTGAAGGGGCGCCTGCGCATCCACGTGCCTGGGATACTAGTCGTGCCCACGCTCCTGAGGGATCCCACCCACATTACGCTTCTTTCTGTGTCCCACTGAGGGGCCTCGAGTAAAGGGAGGCGACAGCTCCTGCCCACACAACAAATAGGAAGAACCCCAAGAACCCTGGAGCAGCCATCCTTCAAAGGATGCCTATAGGAAGTAATATAACCGCACGGATGACTCCCCTCACAGGCACGATTGGCAGGGACACCGGAGCCGTAAGCCATTCAGAACACGCACTCGTTCCTTAAACAACCCCTCCCTACCTGGTGTAGGTCTACCACCATGTACATGAGAACCACCTCCAAGAACACCTCGGATCAGAAGCCCTTCATCCCTGCCTACACAACCTCTCCGTATGTGTTGTCTATTAAGAGATGCCATTAACTAGCCGTCACACGGTACCGTTGGAGCCCATCAGCCTCGAGCACCGGCTTATTCGAGGGGAATATTGGCCCATTGAACGAGTGCCTCGACACGAGAGGGGAGACCAAGTCTCACCTGCCGCACCGTCTCGAGCCCTGATAAAAAAGGTCTCGCTGCGGGCCGACCATACAAGTGTAGCGACGCACCTATCTAGCCAATAGAGCGCGAGCGAACCCCACAGGCCTGAAAGCAGCAGACCGCGGCATTGACTGGGAACTCTCGGATGGCAACCCCGATGTCGCTAGAACGGTTGGAGGCCCTCAGCACCCTTCCCTCGACTCCAGGGATGTTGGACGGAAGACCGGACAACAACAGCCACCATCAGCCACCACAAAAGGGAAGACGAGGCTAGCGGGTACCGGTGACCCTCAGTGGCTAAAACTCCGTCACAGTTAGAAAGGGGGAAGAGAATAGAATGCCTCGACCCCACCTACTCCTAGCCAGGAACCCGCGACCCCAATAACACACCCCGCGACCCGACAAACCGGTCGGGTTACCCTGACTAATCCGAGGTACCTACGTGGGTCGGTCCTCTCGGGGTCCGAGCCTGATGGTGCCTACCCTTCTGGTCCTCAGCATAACCACCCTGTGGCTACGGAAACCATACCCACCTTCCAAACCTCTGTAGACGAAACCCCGTGCACGTGACCTGAGTCCCCTCTGGCCGGCCTGCACATTTTCCTCGGGATCCCTCAGTTACAGAGGGATACCTAAGGTGACGGCGCGGACTTCACGCCCATCCCATCTATGGCAGGTTGCTGCCTGGTAAGGGTTTTTTTTTTTGGGTAATAGAAGGGGTAGGCGGGGGGCCTATCAATCCTGAACCCATCCTAATGAGCCGTCTGGCTCTAGCCCTCCATCTTCATTTGAAAAATCCGGCGTGAGGAAAAAAAAAAAAAAAAACATCACTTTTTTTTTTTTTTTTTTTTTTTTAATATATATATAAATAAATAATGATTGCTGTCATTTGAAAAAAGGTTCAAGTGTGTTCTACCAATTGTATGAAAGGATTGCATGTGTATAGCGCAGGGATTAAAGAGTTCCGTCTAAGTGACGGATTTCCGTCAAATGAAATTGGTCTGAAAAAGAAACAAAATATTATAATAGATTATAAAAATATATAGTAGTAAACGTGTGAATCTGTTGTATATTATCTAGATATATATTAATAATTTGAATATAATTGTATTTATATGTATATAGAAATAAAAAAGTAATATAATCACGAGTGGGCCTTGAACGTGCCGTGGCTAGCTACATGAGCGCTCCGTAATGATTCAAGGCAATGGGACGTAGCCAAGTTAGCGATGGTAACACGGAGGTGAAAGTTTCTGAAAAGTGCACGGAGCTTTTGAAAAGGAGAAGAGGACAAGGAAAATGTAATCCCGAACGGAGCAATAACAGCCAGCAGCCCGCGGACCGGTAAACTGGGCGCGTTATCAGAGGAAAGGTAGGACATAATTAACGTTTACAAAACGCAATGCTTTTTTATTTAACGGAATGTACAATATGTACTTGGCTGTGACTGGGAATGGGGACAAGCATGTCTTGGTGAGCTTTTGATAATATCTTGGTGGCGATCCCCATGCAAAACTGCGTGATAAAAAAGCAAATCAACGAGAGCGAACGGAAGAAACTCGCAGAAGAAAGGTGTGTGTTAGCAGGTCTTATATTCATTCATCAAAGCTAGCCTAGCATGCACGCACAATCACAATCATGGATAATAATGATAATAATAATAATGCATCGGTTTTATATAGCGCTTTTTTGGACACTCAAAGACGCTTCACATGTGTCATTATTCATTCACTCCATACACGGTGGTGATAAACTACTACTGTAGCCACAGCTGCCCTGGGGCACACTGACAGAAGCGAGGCAACCAGTCTGTGCCATCGGCCCCTCCGATCACCACCAACCATTCACACACACACACCAGACTCATTCTAGGCAATGGGGTGAAGTGTCTTGCCTAAGGACACAACGGCAGTTTGGCACTTTACAGCCGCAGCCGCCCCACTCGTTGTTTATGGAAGAAGGAGCAGTATAAGTTGCTGTTGATAACGGAGTGAAAAATAAATGGAGGTTGGCATGGCTGGATGAGGTGGAGACGATGGGATTCTGTTGCTTCATGGTGCAAAAAGATGAAGGTGTCCGGTGCTTGTTCGTACTTCGCTATTATTATTTTTTTATATGGGAGTAATGAGAAAACAGCTTTGGATTCACCACCGCTCAAAACTGCGCACTTGGCAGCTGTCCGTGCACTTTCCCACACTTCTTTACCTGGTGCATCAGATTCAGCGACAACTGAGACTAGGCTTGCTCTGGTGGACTGTGTCTGTGACCTAAAACTATCTGTGGCCTTATCGCAGAAAATAACCTGTCGTTCAGAACCATCACTACCGCTGGTAGATTTAATTATCATTAATCATTTGCAGTTGATAAAACTGCGCTGTGCACTAGCACCAAGTTGATAGGGAAACCTTTTTCTTAAACATTGAGTGTCCACAAACAAATGTGGACAGAATTTTGAATGTCCTTTTGCGATATTTTGACGAGGACAGAGCCAAAGGACAACGCCTCATCTCGCCTCAAGTAAAGCCAATGATGCAGATGAACTACTCTCACTAATATTTTGTCAAAGAGTTGACAAGTTGCTTGATCCACTGGTTGTAATTTCACATCAAAATACACCAGTTTAAATGTATATCTTTGAAGAATTCGTTTGATCTGTAATTCATTATATTTCCATGAGAAAATTTTCAGTCAAATCTTTTTTTTTTGCTTTAACCCCTGGATGATGTATTTATTGCCAACAACTGATGTTTATAATAAACATCAGTTGTTGGCATTAAATAGATATAAATTATATGTATGAGCGTATAAAGGCGCTTATAAAAAACGCTTATTAGTGATCATTCTATGATTCATATAGATGGTTCAGGCTCAGGAATTTTTTCAACTTTAACCCATGTGTAAGTGTTAGAATACAGTTTTATTGCAAAAAAAAGTAGCTCTCTGCCATTTTTGTTGCGCAAAAGTAGCTCTCCAAAGAAATAAGGTTGGAGACCCCTGCCTTAGACCCTGCAGGGGTCTCTCACTGTGGGCTTCCCTGAGATTTCTCACGAGGAAACACGTGATAAATCTCGGGTAAGCCCACATTGAGAGAGGGATCCGCTCCCACATTCAGACATGGGCTGTAGATCCAGGACAGTAACTGCCGCTTTCAGTCCAATTGATATCTTATGTAATTTGTATCTAATAGCAATTTGTAATACTGCTCAGTTGAAGATGTATAACGGGGTTTTCCTGTTTATGTCCTGTTGATTTTAAGACTGCAAAAAGGCAAAAGGGTACAGTTAGAATGTCTACCTTAACCATAAATGTCCTTGGTCATCTTTATATAGATACTTACTTACTTAACGGAGCAATTTTTACCAGTTCTAAGCGATATATTTGTTCAAACCTGGATGTTGTAACTCTTTACGTTTTTTGTTTTTATTTTACAAGTGTCACGTGACTCAACTTATCTGTTTTAGTGCAGATGTTTCAAAATGGTAAAGTAAACGTTGATAAAGATTGAGGCTGGAGATAACGTGGCTGTAGTGATTTGATCCAGGGTTGTTCTGTGGACATAACTTCATTTACAAAGGTCAGAGTCTGTGCGCTGTGGCTTCCTAAACCGGTCCTCGCTCCATCCCCTTCATGCTGCAAACTCATGTTCATGCATTGACTGTTGTCCTTTTGATTAAACTTCATGTGTGTTTGTCTTTCTGCAGATGAGCGTGACCGGGTGCAGAAGAAAACCTTCACAAAATGGGTCAACAAACATCTCATCAAGGTACGACTTCAGTCTCACTCAGATCAAATCTCAGTCTGCGATAAGCTGTGGGTAATAGCAAGAAGGTCCTGGGTTCGAATCCCAGTCGTAACAGGGCCTTTATGAGTGGAGGGTGCATGTTCTCCCTGTGTCTGCGAAGGTTTCCTCTGGGTGCTCAGGTTTCCCCTACAACTAAAAACATGTACATTAGGTCTGGCTTGAGCCTCCAGTGCTGGCGACACCGCTCCCATCTCTGTGTGGAGTGAGAGACAAATGTCCTCAACGATTGTAAAGCGCTTTGTGAGTCTGGTCTGTGGAAGGCGCTATATAAATAAACATATCTTACTTACTGACCTTTAAATGATCCCTCAGCCCTCCCCAACATCAAAGTTTTACTTAAAAATATGTAATGGACTTCTTTTATCCCCATACACATAAATAGTAATTATCAAATATTCTATTGATATTATTGATATTATTATTATTATTAACATATTTTATCGTCATTACAGATCCGTGCCTTTAGAAACATTGAAGCCTGACAATTTTGCCCTTTAACAAATAGTTTTTGAAAAGCCAGATCTATTGTCACACCATACAAATAGTGTCACTCCTTCTTGAGCAAATATGGTTGAAGATTGAAGCTCCAAGAATTGTACTTTTTGAGGATTTTTTAAAACAAAAAATAGCTGTTTTTGTTTTTGTGGATGTCTTGTTTAACGGTTGTGTTAAGACCCAACTTCTGTTATTTTAGCATAAATCATATAAGAAACGGAGAGTGTGAGATAATGGTCCTACACCTGCCCGTGTGTTTGGATGTGATAAATTGCTTTTTGTTGTGCCTGACCATATGATACAATCCTGAATGGGTTTTTGATGACTGGATTTGTTTGATATTTATTACACTGAGAATATGAGAGGACAAAGACTTGACTCAGATGACGTGGATGAAGCGGACAGGCCCCACATCTGTCACAGTCACAGTTTGTTCAGTACACGCTGCAGACTGTGCTTATAAACACTTGTGAGGGGCAGAGAATGCTGGGTATTTGTGTCACATAACGCAGCAGGTCTGACCCCATAACTGCGCAGCAACTGTGGTCAGGGCGGCCCAAGCCAGAGCTGAGCCTGAGGATCAAGGACGGGTCTGGACTGCAGGGCGGGACCGGATCTAGGTGGGTCAAGAGGGCAGGTCAAGGACGACGAGGCTGAAGTGAATCAGGTCTAGCTGCAGTTATATTTAAGGGAAAAGAGATTAATCTGATGTGGATAACCTCAGATTTTAACTCTTTGGAGCTCGAAAAGATAATGTTTCTTCAATTTCAACAGCGGTCATCTCGAAGGACTTTACAAAGATCAGAGAATCAAATGGTTCAAAAGAGAGAGGGATACGCTCCAAGGGACCAATAGGCTGTAGATCCAGGACTGAGGCTGTAGATCCAGGACTGAGGCTGTAGATCCAGGACTGAGGCTGTAGATCCAGGACTGAGGCTGTAGACCCAGGACTGAGGCTGTAGACCCAGGACTGAGGCTGTAGACCCAGGACTGAGGCTGTAGACCCAGGACTGAGGCTGTAGACCCAGGACTGAGGCTGTAGACCCAGGACTGAGGCTGTAGACCCAGGACTGAGGCTGTAGACCCAGGACTGAGGCTGTAGACCCAGGACTGAGGCTGTAGATCCAGGACTGAGGCTGTAGATCCAGGACTGAGGCTGTAGACCCAGGACTGAGGCTGTAGACCCAGGACTGAGGCTGTAGACCCAGAACTGAGGCTGTAGACCCAGGACTGAGGCTGTAGATCCAGACTCTACAAACAGACAGAATGGAGTCAACCTTCGCTCAGCATGTATTATATTATTTATTGCTCTACGAAGTCTAGAGTAGTAAGAGAAGACTGGAGTTGTCCGTTCACTGCCTCCCATGATACAGGTTTTAACCACATACATGTTTAAAAGGACAGATAATGAGTTGATTAAGAACTCTATCACAAAAGACACTAAACTTCCTTCGGTGGTCCATGAATCTCAGTTCTCTGTAAACAGCTTCCTCGGCGGTGACATCACCCGTGTGTATTCACTGAGTCATGTTTGTTCGTGGTGTGTGTCTTTGTGCGGTCTCAGGTGCGGTCACCTCCACACTGTTGCTTATACACAAGTACAAATATAGGCCACGACTGCACAGCTTTCGGAATGTCACACTAAACCTCAGTCTGACCTGGGATCTGTGGACTCAAGTTTAACCAAGTCCAGTTCATGTGGGTGAAGAAGTCGGGACCAGACTGAGAGCTTTCACTTTCAGATTCAGACTTTATCTACAGCAGCAGCAATGATGAGCTGTTGAGACTGATTGTACTTAACTAACCCTAATGACAAACCCACTTGTATGTAAACAGGACAATTTAGACGTTAAAGGAGCATTTGGTAAAAATCTGGCCAAATGTGGTACTGCACTCTCCCTGACTCAGGTTGCCAGATATGCCGACGAATCCAGCTGGGATTATAATAGTTGAATAGACAAGAGTTTTGTCAACAACAAATCTATAACCAACACCTTTTTCACAAAGATAGAAATCCTGGTTTTATTCTTTTTTTTTTATGATTTGAGAATCATAAGGAGACCTTTTTTAGTTCTGTGGCCACATGGTACTTTACCAGTGAGATTAGCTTGATATGGCAACCCGGATCACAGACTTTCTGATTGGTTAAACGATGGAGTCGGGACATCGAAATGAAAACAATAACAAGATTTAGGGGCTGTGAAACTAATTTAGGAATCCAAATATCTCTTAACTATCGTTATTAGTTAAAGAAGTATTGAAAAGAGCATGTTTTATGAATTCCTTTTGACAGATTTCATGACGACTTGACATGAAAATCTTACATATTGCAACTTTAAATAAAAAATAAAAGATTTTTTACAGCTCAAGGAGAGTTTTTACGCAGTTTAGTATCGGTTTATTATGTTTGTATATTAATCTGTAATTTTATTAACATTTACACACATTGGTCTCTTCCACTTATGGACCAATGGCTCTGTGTATTTTCTATCATTGCATTTCCTGAGTTTGAACGGTTTGATTCTCTCATCTGTGTTGGCAAAACTTTGTAAAGTCCACCAAAATGTATGAATATGTTGACTTTTTAGGAGCATAAATATGGCTCAGAATGTTCTTTTAATTAGACAAAGGGAGTGAAGAAGCATGTTGTAGATTTCTGTTTTTGTCAGATGCTGTCTCTTATCAGCTGCTGTATCAGTCTGACACAGCCATTCCCAAACTCAGTAACACCGAGGCCCCCTTAAAAATCTGACGGGTCTGCGTGGCCCCCCAAAATAATAACCAAGAAGACAACATTAAGAATAGGCTCTTCTGGTTATTTTATTTTGGGGAAATAGCCTCTGCTACAAACATTGTAATACAAAAATGATTACAGTGGCAAATTGTCACAAAACAATTCAACACTTCCTACACTGGTTCATCTGGACTGGATTATCTGAATATTTGTGTACAAAGCCACCCAACAGTGTGGTTTTACTTTGAGACGATGTGAGATTTCATAATACTTTGAAGCAACTTTTGTTAAAGTTAAACTCATCATTCTATCAATGTGCAGAAGCCTGTACTTTTCCCTTGTTTTGTCTATCTGAAGGCCAAGCTACAAGCACAACGTGGAAGCTGCTGATTGGAGGTCTCCATGCCTCCGCTCTGTATAATACACTTGCATTCTGTTGTATCTGTTGATCGTGCTGTCTCTACCATCGACAATAAAACATGTCTTCTGTCTGAATTTAAGACGCGATCCCAGACTTGGCACATCTTCTTCAACGAGATTCAAGATTTCTAGCATTGGCCTTTGGGCCGGATGGTCGTGGGTTCGAGTCCATCACGGGACCAACTCCAACTGCTCCCACTGATGTCTGCTGTCGGTGTGTCCTTGGGCAAGACACTTAAACCCACTTTGCCTTTAGCTCCCACTGAAAGATCAAGGCTGTGGCACCATTGATGTAGCAGCCATCGTCCCATAGACTCATCTCCTGCAGAGGATCAGAGGGACTGGTGCTATGGTCGCATGGCGCCGTAAAGATGGCGCCGTGGCAAGAGCTCTGGTGTGTGTCCTGGTTCACACCGGGGTAGTCTTGCACAGTTTTTCCAATGTGGTTTTACTGCAAATGGCAAATAAATGAATCTGAATCTGAATCTGAATGAGACTTGGGTGGCAGCTCTCATTGCCACCCCCAGACCCAGAAATGGACTAAAAAATTGGTTGAAAATGAATGAATGAGAAAAAAAAAAAGATTCAAGAGTCCATAAGAAAAGAAAACATAGACTTTACTGATCTCACAAGGGAGAAATTCAAGACACATTTTATTTGCCATTTGCAGTAAAACCACATTGGAAAAACAGCCAGACTTTCCCAGAGAGCACTAGACAGAGGAGATACGTTTCCTTTAGCTGCTTGCTTCCCATTTTCATTTTGCATTCGTCCAAAACATTTGAAATCCTTGTCCACACTTTGACAACTGCATTAAACACATTCAGAGACTTGAACCTGTTCCTCATAAACAAATGTGAGGAGCACGAAGCACAGAGACAGAGAGCCGTGTGTTTGACGGAGAGTCAGGAGCAGACTGAGCATGTGTCTGAGGCAGCTGTGGCTGAAGGACACGCTTCTGCTTCAAACACAACTGTTTTAGAAGAAGGATCAGACTGTCTGCTTCATAATCATTACAGCTCAAGTAGATATAACTATTTAAAATTCAGATTCTGAGATTCTCTATTTGTCCCACAGTGGGGAAATGTCAGTGTTGCATCACCAGTTACAGAACAATAGGAATGAGGAGCACACAGCAGAAGATACATGAACAATAACTCTACCAGGCATGTCCAAACTCAGGCCTGGGAGCCAAATGCGGCCCTCAGTGTCATTTCATGTGGCCCTCTGCCTTACTGACCTAAAGTAGTCTTTGAGATTGTAAACACAAGTTCCCTGTGTCATCCATCCAACTTCAGCACAGCCAATATAGATATGTCGTAATTAAAAAAAATCTCAATTTTTAAATTGTACAAATTGTTACCTATCTAAATCATGATGTTGCTTTCTTTGTTAATAGTATGTGAGTATGTGCTTTGAGTTCAGTTCAATTCAAGTAACATTTTAAATAAGTTTCATGTTTTTAGCCTTTTAAAGCAGAAGTAAGCAATGTTTTTGTGTTAATATAAGTCTTAAATAGTATTATCTTCCATTAGCCATCATTTATATAGTGTGTTTGGACCGAAACATGGATCTTTCTGTCACTCCACTCTGCTCTCAGCCGTATTTAAAACAAATCTTGTATCCTACAGTTTTAATCCAATCAAGAGAGAGGACAGTATGAGGGGGGGGTTTCTCTCTGTGCATTCTCCAAAACAAACATGGCGGAGAAAGCAAAGCCGGTTTCAGCGCTGCTGCAGACTGCTTACACTAAAATACTCGCAAAACACTAGAAACTGAGGAATGACTACAAATAATATTTTTAGCAAACTATGAATTACCCAATGTAATGAAAATAACACAGGATGGATGGATGTTTTATTAAATACATAGTTAATTGTTTCCTGTTGGTGCTGAATACTGAGAGTCTTTGTTAACTCATTTACAGCTGTCACGTCATGGAGGCAGCTGAGGCCCAACGGCTCCAGACACTGTACCCATGGATTTAACATCGGCATTAAGGAGTGATGATTGGGCTAGGAACACTGTTTTTTGTGTTTATTTTTATTTTTGATAGACCACAGCAATTTAACAAAGAACTGTGAGGTAAAATCAAAAGGAAAATTGATAAAAAATAAGCGGGCGAAGGACACATCGTATTAACATATGAACAATATATGAAAAATCACATTTGTGGCTCTGTGGCTCACACACAGTTTAACTAATCACAATTCATAAGCTAACTTTAGATGCTACACTTGTTTAGATAATGTGGAGCGATTTTGTGCCTAGTCTGTGAAATTACCACGCCTGGATGTTTTGCGTACGACGTGAGTGAAAACAGCCAAATGTCATTTTGAAAGGCTAAATCATAATGTATGGACACAGGATTTGTCAAGGGGCGTGGTCATAATATATATTTTTGTGTGTGTTGAGTTGACGAATAAAAATTTGGTGGCTCTACGATAAACTTGACGTGAAGTTGCTTGTGTTTGTTGGGTTTTGCAAATGAATATATGAACTAATAAGGAGAAGACACATTTGCGGTTCTAAAATGGAATGGACAAAGCACTTCAATTGAGTGATCTGTGCAAATCGAACAAAAAAAACCTTGAGTGAGGTTGGTCCTTTCTTTTTCACTTTCTGTCTGTCTGAAAAAGCTGATTTAAAGATGTGACGGAAGCTAAACCATGTAAAAACTATCACTTCTATAACTACTGTTCAAAATGTTGGTGCTTTGAGAGTACTGTCCGAATGGTAACCCTGCTTGTATTTGTCACTTTTCATTATTTGCCCCTGCTTGATATTGTAGAATTATTTCGATAAGCAATGTCTACTGCTAACTAAATAATCAAATGTCACAAAGAGGAGTTATTAGAATATGAGCCCTTTTCTCTTCAGTCTGAGAATCTGCTTCCAATAAAACCATAACATATTTCACCTACTGTGTAACCTTTTAACTCATAATTCAACCAATGTCCAAGTTATGGTTTTAGATACACACTCTGTCCTCAAAGCAGTGTGTAAACTGTGGTTGGTCTAGTTTACAGTTCCAGTCGCTTACATAATATTCAGTAATTGTGACTAGCGCTGTTGGAGTCGCTGTGGTGGTGCTGCCCTCTGCTGGTGGCCCGGAGCAGTGCAGTTGTCTGTGGTCCAGGACTGCAGTAAAGTGAAGGTGCAGAGAGGACTGGAGAGATGCCCAGATCCAGGTGCAAGTGTCTGTGCCAAGTGTCTGAGACCTCTGTATTCTTCCTCAAGTTTATTCACAACTGCAGCTACTTCAGCATTAATAAATACCGCAGTTTCCTTGGTTTAAGATAAGATAAGATATACTTTATTGATCTCACACAGGATAAATGTACATGTCACATCTGGCATGGATAGAAACACTCAAGATCGTGCAAAAGAAAGAAATGTGCAAACATGTTAAATGCAGGATATATTATGTACAATAAAAAGTGGCATTCAAGAGAAAGTGTCAAGAGTAGTGCAGATTTTTCAGTTCTAATGCAAGTGAAATTCTTGTTTTTGCTTCCTCCCGCTGCTTTTCAAGTTTGAACAATACTACAACAAGTTATTGTTAGGAGAAAACTCTCTGTTGTGACATTTGATATTAATTTGAAATGAATAAACACTCAAACAAATATATCCAGTGAGTATTTACATGGGGCATTGGTTTTAATAGAACGATTAACCGGCTAAGGATAAAGCAGAAGAAAATGGATGGATGGAGTTGTCTTTTATCAAACAACACTCAGATTAAACCAAACTAATGCTTTTAATACTGTTACTATGTGACCTTTGCATTCAATTCAATTACTGTTACTGGATTATCCTTACTGGAGAAAGTCATCTACTTTCCATTCAGTAGTGTTTTTCTTTTCTTATTTGTTTAGATTAATATTTAGATTTGCAATGTCTGAATTATATAATGACCAATCAACACACATTTGTTTTTTGAAATTCTTCTCATAAAACATCTCTCTGGGTCCCCACTAACAAGTTTTATTTTGAAAAACTTAAATTCCAAGTTAGATATGTGTAAATGTGATCGCACAAAAAACACTTCTCACTTGTTTGTTTTCTGATATGGTCTTGTAGCTCTGATATACTATAGATTAAAGTAATTGTTTTCCCTTTTTGTTTTTTTATTATTGATTCTTGCTCAAAGGTGTTCAGTGTCTTATTGCCCCTGGCATGTTGCTCTGGGGAGGCTGTCAGCTAAATGTCAACATCAAAACTGATAGTAATGATAGTAATGGTATCTTTGTTGTTGTTTTAGGTGAGGAAGCACATCACGGACCTGTACGAGGACCTGAGGGATGGACACAACCTGATCTCGTTGTTGGAGGTCCTCTCTGGAGTCACGCTGGTATGTACACTTTAAACTCTCACAAAACACAACGGAAACATCTATATGAAGTGTCTGTGCTGAAGATTGGAGGAAGTGGATGAGTAAATAATGTCGCCGATTGTAACAGGGAATTCAACTTCTGGAACTCGAGGCAAAATCAGGCTTATCACACAATATAATACGCCTGTTGTCTATCTCAAAAATATATGAAAAATGATTGGAATCCAGGTTCTGTCTGGTTGTGTGCAGTGCAGGGGTCTCCAAAACTATCAAAGAATCAGAAAATATATTTTGACTGTTTTATTTAACTAATTAATTGACAATAACATTTATTTCATATCCCCCTCATCTACTGCTTGTCATTGCTGTTAAGGCAATAAAGGTGTAGCTCTCTTTTTGTTTTGTAGCTTTGCAAGGACATAATGTTTGGAGAGTTGTAGCTGTAGAAGTAATCTGTAGCAGTATTGGCAGCTGTAGTGGTTGTGGCAGCTGTCTATACTGGTAATTTAGTGCAGTGTTTCCCAATTTTTTTGAGCTGTGGCACACCTTTTTCATTGCAAAAAATCACATGGCACACCACCAACTAAATTTGATACAAATTTGAAACTCTGCAGCCTTTATTAACAAAGCAAAGTAGTTCTCATCTATGTGTGTTCTGTAGCAAATCAAACGCACAATGCGCAAAGAAATCTTTGTAATCATCTCCCATTATTTTCTTTTCACTTGATTTTGACCAAGCATGTTATATTAGATAATTTCCAAGGCACACTAATAAACATCTCAAGGCACACCAACGTGCCATGACACACTGGTTGAAAAACACTGATTTAGTGTCCAAACTGTGATAATCTGACCCTCGTTAAACATAAACTGAATAATCTGGTGTAGAACATTAAATATGTCCATAACACAGCCATATTTCTGCACACGCTTTTCAAGTCTCCCAACTTTCTGCTGAAACTCTGGTTTTAACTTTTTAATCTCTGAGACGGAGACTTGTTTTGCTTCATCCCTCTGAGCCCTGTGCTGATGTGGACAGTTAGCTTTGTGATGCTAAAGCTAACGGACGAGTTCCTCCCACAGACAGGAGCAGATTGCGGAGGCTGGACTCAATGTCACCTCTGTTGCCACGGATACATGTGTCATTGTCCTCTGCTGATCACATGGGGTTAAAGGGCTCAAACTTTGACTTTATTTTGCATTTTTATGTTAATTCTCCACAGGCTGAAAGTCATCAAGCAGCTCCTTTCTAAATCATAACCTGTTCTTCCCATTACAGCACAAATCTCTGTATCCAAGCTGGATTCCAATTACAGTCCAAGCTCAATCCAAATGAGTTTTGTCTCTCCCCACCTTTCCTTGTTTAGAGCTTTCCTTTCTCCAGCTGTGATGTTTCCAAACTACAGTCATAGAACCAGCAACAAGTCTATGGTGCGACAATAAAAGTTACACAAGGTTTTATTTGTACAGTTAGTCTAATTCTTTAATAGTTTTATAGTGTAATGATAATTACACACTTGCGAGTTTTCTTCATATGAATTTTCATTGCAAAAGAAAGCGGACATTAACCCTTTGATCAGGCAGTTTTTATCACAGATCAATCAGACATTAGATACTCTTTAATGTTATGTAATATAATTCATGTATTTTTACTAGCAATAGCAGCTTGTACAGTCTAACATATGCAAATATATTTATCTGTGGTGTAAATATGATCCTATACTTGCGCTATTGCACGACTGGTTAAATGCTAAACTGCTAATCGTTGCATTGTTCTGACAATACAGTTGAATCTGATTAAGCGTAATGTTGATTCAATGTAATTTTTGGGGGATTTTCTAAGATGTAGGGACACAATACATTTGTTAAGTATAGTTTAGTTTATTTTTTCCACATACACATTACATGCAGTGAATTTCTTATGTACCTCCAGCAGATACAGGACAGTATTCAGAACACAAAATAACAGCACAGCAATAATTACACAGAAGCAGAACCAGAACAGAGACAGAGTTAGGCCCTGTTTATCGGTCTTATGGCTTCAGGAAAGAAACTCCTTCTCATCCTCTGTGTTGGTTTTGTATCTATAACAAATCTATAGTAACATTACATAGCTTAAATTGAAATCAAATCTCTAAGTCTAGCATAAAAAGAAGCAATATACGATCTCTATCTTTAGCATAATAAGGAAAGAAGTCTTGAAGGTTTAATTGGATGGTTGCTGTGTGCTTTTTGACCTTTATCTAATCCTAGTCTGTCTCCCGTCCTGTTGTAACTGTAGCTGCAGAGGAGTGGGCCCCTGTCCAAGCGGCTGTCAGTGTCCAGAGCTCCTCCTCTGATCCTGCTGGGGACAGAGGAAGAGGAGGAGGAGGAAGGAGCAGAAGGAGTATGTTTACTGCACCCCGCCAGCGACGAATTCAACACGAGCTGCAAGATAAACAGACTGTGATCGGTCTGAATCACGCCATTGTCAAATCACAAGACTGCCATTATTCAGCAGACATTATTTACTTCTCACTTGTTTATATACAGGTTATAAGTATTTACAGGTATAGTTAATAAATACAAGGCTTAGAAATGTTTCAATGAATGCATATAAAAGTGGACGCCAGGAAGACTCGCGACCGCCGGAAGATAAGAGGATCCAATTAGACAAAAACATACATTATTTCAACAATGGTTCAACAATTGTTGAAATCAGCAAAATTCAAAACCGTTTTGAATGATAGTTGTAAATGGAGCCAGTCCAGTTTCAGCTGTAGGCTCACTCCACACTAAACTGTATCAATGTGTTACATTTTGGTCAATGACACAAAAAAGTCCCCAAAATGTCCGCGGCCATTACTGCTGAATGTTCACAGACCCACTCTTGTTTTGCTTCCAGCTTCTTTGTCCAGTGAAGGAGGCACTACTTAAACACTGATTGGTTCACGCCCGTATCATTAACAGCGCTCTAAGACAGCTGTTTTAGATGTAACAAAAGTGGACACGATTGTTACGTCCAAAACGCCTAGTTTGTCTGCAGCTATTGAATAATAATTTTGCATAATGTAAAATCTATATTTACTTGATTATAGTTATATCCCCAGCCATTACCATTAAATAGTATTCTCTGTCTTGTTAATTCTTCCATTCACAAAGCCTCCAACACGACATGTCCTAAATGTAAAAAATATGTCCCCAAAGTTCAAGAATTTTTTTTCTTGAAATAGTTTTAGCTGTCGTTCTGAGATTATGCTATGTCTAAATATATGCTACATAGTATTTAAACATGTTTAGGCACAAATATTTTCAGTTCATTCATTTATTTTATTGTCGCTATAAGTTAGATCGACCCATGGTACAGGTCAGTGTGGAGTGAGTCTGTAGTTTAATGACGAAATACTTCAGAGCGAGTTGGCGCTAATCTTTGTCCGTTAGCGCTTCCCCTTAGCGCTTCATTGAGCTAGGGAGTTAGCACTGTCCATTATTTACAGTCTATGGTCTGAAATACTATACAAAACATTATGATTAAAGTTTATCTTGCAGCTCTATTGTTTTTTAACCTTTCACTTCTGGCGTTTGAGTCTGATTGAGGTTGTGCATGAAGAGTGCTGTGTCGTTTTCTGCATCTGAAATTCAACTTAAGTGCATTATAAAGACCTTCCCATGTTAAACACATGTATGTGTATGTATATTTGATGATAATGGATTCAGTAAGGCTCAGTTAAACACGTGGTCTTGGCTTTTCCCCCCATCACCCATCCACCAGTTATATAGAGTGAGGGGACCATGGCCTAGAGCTGAGGCCTAGAGCTGAGGCCTAGAGCTGAGGCCTAGAGCTGAGGCCTAGAGCTGACTGATTAGTGACCTGCAAAAACGGTTCTATGTATTGTACAATTATAAAGAATATTGTGGTTGGATTGAATCGGATCATCTAAAATACAATGAACTTCCGTCTGTTCTACCCACAAAACCTGGAGCTCACACACTACTATCAGCTTTTAACAACATCTACTTGGGTTAATACTGTCTTTAAACTTCTTTAGTATTGGTTGAACAAGTATGGCACGGTGGCTGAGTGGATAGCACTCTCGCCTCTCAGCAAGAAGGTCCTGGGTTCGAATCCCGGTTGGACCAGGGCCTTTCTGAGTGGAGTTTGCATGTTCTCCCCTGTCTCTCTCTGTCTTTTCCCCTACCACTAAAAATATGTCCAATAGTTCTGGCATGCGCCTCCTGTACTGGCGACCACGCTCCCATCTCTGTGTGGAGTGAGAGACAAATGCCCAAAAATTAACAATTGTAAACCGCTTTGAGACTCAGATCTGCAGTGAAAAGGCGGTATATAAATAAAGATTACTACTACTATTACTATAAGTACATGGTTCCTAAAGGGGTCGTAAAGTCTTCCTGTTGTTGTGAATTAGGGCTGTAGAAGAATAAACTGATATGAATTGATGTGTGAGCCCAAAATACAGATATGAAAATTTTGTCATTTGAGTTGTTTTGGCTGAAATTGGGATCTAAAATCGGCTCCAAATTGGCTCGACCCTGGATTTTTATTTGCTGATTTGCCAATTGCCGATTTTGTTCTTTCTCTATAATATTGTGTTTTTTTTCCCCCCAGTTAAGCGCCCCCAACCACCACTAATTTTTCCATAAAAGTATGTTGTGTCCGGGTTTGTAAATTTATGGAAAACCGACACCAGCAGAAGCCAAGGCTCTTTGTTCATCTGTGTTCATGAGGAAGTCAAAGTTTTGTATTTGAGTGTAGTTTTCTGTTCTCTTCTCACTCGCACTGGTTTGAAGATAGTAGTTTGTGTGTCTAGTATTTTTCCACCGCATGATGCACAATGAATGAACTAACCAGGGTCTTGTAAAGTTTTGAAACGTTCGAGAATAGATGTGTGATTAACCAGCACGGTTTGAGACTCCACAGTGTGAAGACAGTGCCCCCTGGAGGACAACTCACGCACTACACTGATACTTCATTAATCTAACAAACTGTGTGTGTGTGTGTGTGTTTTTCAGCCCAGAGAAAAGGGGCGGATGAGATTTCACAGACTACAGAACGTGCAGATCGCGCTGGACTTCCTGAAGCAGAGACAGGTTTGTGGAGGCGTTCTGACCTTTCCTCTGTGTTCTCGTTACTGTTTGGTCTCAGAGTTTAACGAGATCTCCAGGGCCTCAAAGTCTTCATCACAACATTTTCCAATGCAGAAAAAACAAGCTAATTATGCACAGAACAATGTGTAAAGTCCTTCACCCGGACTCTATTCTCATGTGGATGTTTGGCCCAAAAGACTAATTTATGTTTTGTAATGTTTCACTGTATTTTTATTTTAAAATTGTGGCCAAGAAAATGTATATAATATTGTGTTCCAATGCTACTACTACTACTACTACTACTAATACTACTAATACTAATACTCACAACTCACACACAAGTTTTTTGATTTTGACTAATATCTTTCCTTTTTACACAGTTTTAACTTGTTAACATTGGCTTTTCCAAGTTTGGGTAAATAATTATAGGATGAATGTCAAAATTGATACAGCATTTTCTCAAGTTTTAAAACATCAACTTTTCTCGTTTCAGGTCAAACTTGTCAACATTCGGAACGATGACATCACAGACGGAAACCCCAAACTCACCCTGGGCCTCATCTGGACCATCATCCTCCACTTCCAGGTCTGTGTCTGCTCTCTTCTGCCCCCTGTCTGCGATAATGAGCACTGTGCTTTCTTTGTGACTTTATCTTCACCTCTTCAACACAACTTCTGTGTTCAAATATGGGCTGATGTCTGGCTGTTTATGATGTAATGGTTTTAAAGCTGGTCAAAAAGCAGTTTAGGAAAGTTTTCTGGCTGTTTTTCTTTAAATTGTATGTATTTTGAGCTGGAGATTGTGTAATTGACAATTAATGTTGAGTTTTTGCAGGCAATTGTTAAAAACTGGATGTGAACTTCAGTCATCCTGGATTTCTGTTTAAGCTTTCTTTGTACTAACAGTTCTGGCCTCATAGTTTCATATTTCATTGAAATAGTTTTATAATAATATTTATGATCCGACTGAATTGAGTGTTGGATTACCTTGTATTTTATTGATTGATTATAGTTTTCAATGGTTGTTGTGTCTGTAATCTCTCTTTTAATCTCCTAATTTCATATACGGAATCAATCAATTATTCATTTATTTTCTAAAAACCTTTTAAAGCAGAGGAACCTAACTTTTTCCATAAGTAATCCGTGTTGTTATAGTCAAAGTTTAAGGTAAAATGCTGTGAACGAATCTTTTGTTTGCTTGTGAGAAAGAGCCCACTTTGGGCTGAGAGTGTGGCCCTCTCTTTTATACTTGAAAAAGCTGATGTAAATCTGTGGCAGACAAACACATGCATGTGAACACATGTTTTTATTTTTTCTAGATTAGGTTAGATACCAATACCCAGCTCCTGGGTTAGGGTTAGGGTTCTTATTATCTTAAAATGCCAAACCAAACTGTTTTGAGAGCTACAAACTTGTTAAAGTTAGGCACCCGAGCTTTACAGCACTTTCTCACTTTTGCTCACCCGGTCCCTTCGGCAAGGTGACATCGCCCGGCCGGTATCCACGGCAACGGCAGCAGCGCAGTGAGCAGGACGTCCCGACAGGAGCGTGATTCATCATAAAGTCTGAGCAGAGGGAGAGTTATGCTGTGGATGAGGATAAATAAATATAACATATAACAGAGAGGGAGAGAGAGGGTGAGGAGGAGGAGGAGGAGGAGGAGAGTTCACAGGGTTTAAGACGACAACAACTTCAGAAAGTCCAGTCACGTACGGCTCTCCACTGCGTCGTCTGCGCGTCACAGGATTAAGATAAAAAACTCAAGCAGTGAATAATAACGTGAAACTGGAGGTGAAGATTATCACATCAACTGAGGAGTTCTATGAAGGCCAAAAATCTTAATCAATAATAAAACTAGAAGCAAAACAATTCACTTCAGCAAACGGCTCAAACGCAGGAAATTTAAAATGAACAAACATCTCGGAGCCATTGGTCCAAAGAGAGCAGGACTATCCAGAACTATCCATTAATGTTAATACAAAAACGTCATCTATTTTTGTTTGTATTTGTTTAGTTAATGTTGCATAATTATTTTTCAGTCGGAGGGCAGATGCAAATACACCGATATGTGGAATACATATTTTTGAAAAAGTATAGTATTTAATAGTGTTTAGATTCATATTATTCTTGTATCTGGAAGTCCTTTGTACTGGCCAACATCGTGCATATGTTTTTGAATATTGTCATTACTTCCTGATACATTAATTAGAATTTTAGACCACAGTTGTTCTGACTTTTGACACTTACCGTAGTTACATTTCTCAGGTACCCTCCACCAATAAAAAGTTAAATTCCAACAAATTAGTTGGGTTAGGGTTAGGGTTTTATTTTGTTTACTTCTGACAATGATTTAAGGAGGAAATCCAAGTTCAAAATGACAGGTATAGATTGTAGCTAAAGTGGCTATATCTTATGTAGCATTCTCCTATTTGCACATGTTAAAGCTTGCTAATACTGTCTGAGCTTTACACTGGTATGAAAAACTATTTATAATTGTAATAGCTAAAGTTTTAACTGGACCTATGCCTGGTTTTCCACTTGAGAAATTTAGTTTTGTGTTTTGTTCCAGTGCTGTTGCCAGTAGCAGCTTAAAACCACTAGGTGTCAGCAACAAATACCACCAATCTATCAAGTAGTGAGTCCCGCCCTCATTTCCACTGTGTCCTCTCCTGATTGGCTCCTCCGCTTGTGCATCATTGATAAAGAACTGTTGGTGTTTGAAGGAGAGAGAAGCATCTGTGCATCTGCTTTAGGCCAAAACGACTGCAGTGAAAACACTTCATCATCTCAGCTGTTTCCCACTAATCCTGTTTTTACGGCCTGGGTTTGGAGCAGGTAATGTCAGATTAGGGCCACTCTATCAGGGTTATTGCACATTCAGCTTCATTTAAAGGACTGGTGTTAAGTAAAATAGTCTGTTTTGAGCTAGTAACCATTTAGGAACTGAAATATTGGAAGAATTTCCTCATGAGCTCCTGAATCCACTGCAGAAAGTGATGAAAAATAAGTCTCAAATCTGGCAAAATGTATCTTATGTATTTTACAACAAGATTAGCCAATGGGACAAAGCAAAATGGTTTTGTTTTTAAGAAATAAGAAATGTCTCTCTTGGAATGATAAAATAAAGCAGTTCTTGAAATAAGACTCAATGGCTTTGGTCCCGTTGGTGATTGCTGTTTTAAGACACTCAGAATGTGCACAGTTTAAGATAAAAACCACTTGATTCAGGCAATTATTAACTGATATTTTACCATCTTTTGCAGTTCCCTGGCTTTCAAAACACCAGGAGATGGGAGTGATCCTTATCTTTCAAACTTTTGTTATGCATAAAAATTCTACAGACATTCTCTCTCTTACACATACGTTACTAAAGTACATAATTTAAAGATCGTGTTTAAAGTTGAGGTGCCTAACTATTCTTGAGTCACTATTTGACATTTTGGACTGAGAGCTGATTGGCTGAGTGAGGGTGACATAAAGAGGCATATGGATAATAGAGATAGAACCAAACTGTTTGAGAGCGTGGAACTAGTTACATGGATTATATTGTTTGCACACTTCTGTCTTTTGCACAATCTGAGTGATTCTATCTGTGCCAAATGTGACATGTTCCTTTCTCCAGTGTGAGATATAAGTTGCAGCTTGTTGTATGGTTTGAAAATATGAGTATCCCAGATTTAGGGACCAAATCAAACAAATAATGCGTACTAGTTGTTCTAAAAGGGACTTTGAATTGACAAGCGAAAGGGTCGTTGATGGGACTAACGTCTCATATTTCATCTTTAAATCTTTTCAATGCTAAGTGATAGTAACTTGAGGCCTAAAATCTGTACAGAAAGGGTTACGTAAAAGTAAAGGTGAACTTACAGTATTAATCCTCCTAGGGCAATTCAATCCTCTGCATTTGACCCATCCTGATGCCACTAAGGCTTACGTCAGGAGCAGTGGTCGCCATAGTAACAGTGCCCGGGAACCCATCTACAGATGTTGATGCTCGGCTTGGTCAGGACCGGAGCTGCATATTTTTAGTGGCAGGGGAAACCGGAGCACCCGGAGGAAACCTACGCAGGCACAGGGAGAACATGCAAACTCCACTCAGAAAGACCCTGTTCAGACTGGGATTCAAACCCAGGACCTTCTTGCTGAGAAGCGAGAGTGCTATCCATCGTGCCGTGCCCATTCCGGGTTTGGAATGTTATCAATTTTTATGAATGGACGATTGAGTTAATTCTCAGTTGCTGACAGTTGTTTTTCAAGGACGCTTACGATAAATGTTTTAGAGTTTCTGATTTTGAGAGGAATTTTGAGAGGAATTTTGCTAAACACCGCCGCTCAAGCCTTCACAAATATCTTTAATTATTCAGTGAATGATCCAAAAAAATGCTTTTATATTTGAAGTGTGTTTTGAAGCTGGGGCTCGGTCACGCTGTCTCTCACCCTCTGATGATGTGTAGTTTGATATGAAAGACTGAAGAAGCACGTGGGGGTTTGTTAGCGCCTTCTTCTCATTGGCTCACCCTGGATTTCTCAGCTTGTTGGTCTCCGATGCCTTCGCTGTAATGAGAGAAGATGGATGTTGCCTTCACACCAGAGCTCTCTCAGTGTTAAAGAATCCATCTGTATCTGTCGTTATGTGAATTCTACACATACATTCTGATTATTGTGACTACAGCGGGTTCTACGCAAAGTGGAGCAAGCCCAAAGTGGCTGAAGCGGAGTAAGAAAAGACCAGTGTGGGGTCTGATTACTTGCTGGATAAGTGGATTTCTGTCCATACCATGGTCTGTTCTTTTGTAGGAACCTTTCTATTTTTAATAATATAAATTTGCAGTATTGTTTGTGTTCTTTTGGAACTTGTGGTTCAACGGTTTGATTCCACGGTGTAGAGTTTTTGTGTTCTCCCCTTGTTTTCCTCCGGGCGATCCGGTTTCCCCTTCCACTAAAATCCAGTAGATAACATCCTCCCCAATCCGTACTCCCACACTCCTCTGAAAATTGAGATATTCTGAAATCTCAGTGGTAATTTCTGGTTAAATAAAGTCCAATTCATTTAAAATACAAGTTCATTAACATTTAAAGACCTTATGCCGGGTTTAATTTATTTAGAAATACAGTTTTAATACCACTTTATATTAGAAGAGAACTACTAAAGGTTTCAAAATCAGTTGTTGTTTGTTTTGTCTGATCCCCCCAAATCGAAATAACCCCATAGCAACGCCCTTAGAGACGAAAAAACTTTACAGCCCTTGGTGACGTCAGAGCGGTACGTTTCAACGCTGTAAGTTGTTTACAATTTGGTATTTGTTCTTTTTTCTTTTTTGGCACTGAGATAGTCCAGTGGTTGTGTCGATGCACTGCTAATCCAGATACTTGGGTTCAAATCCCACCTCCGACACATTTTCACTCTCAAAACGGTAATTTATGTGTAGTGAGCAATTGTCACCTGTAGAGTGCAGTATTGTGTTGGGCATCAGTGGAGAGAAGAGAGAAAAGGCAGTCCTGTGGCATAGATCCATGGTTTTCAATGCATGGGCGTTACCCGCTGTGACGTCACACACAGGTTAGAGCATAGACTTAAATTCATGAAAAACACGTTCTTTTTATAAAATATAGGATTTTTTTTTTGCCGGAACCTATTTCAGATCGACATTGTCATGCAATTTTGATATCCACAAATCTTTTTTTAAAAACCCCGCATAAGGTCTTAAATGACTCTGTTAATTAAATGCAAATTACCAAAAACTGTTTCAATGTCATTTAAAAAATTCAGCTTTCTGGAGACGTGAGCTGTACATTTTGCATAACTCAACCTTTTCACTAATAAGTCCCTGTACGTCGTCACTAAATATGCAAAAACACAACAATTTAATCACATCTTAAAGGTCAATACTTTACATTTTCACCACTGTCTGTTTAATAAAGATTGTGTGTTTTGAATAGATGCCACACCATATATTGTGAATAACCATTGTGAAAAATATATTTCCATTTTTAATTGTGTTTTGACAAGACCTGACCCTCTTTTCATTACCGTCCTCACGCTAAGGTCACAATTTACATAATTTAATCCACCCTCAGTATATATTTAAACAATTCTATTATGTGCAGCGTCGAATGTTTAAACTCAAATTGAATGTGCATCAAATCTGACTGCGTTTCCTCACTGATAATTATGAAGCCTTTTCTCTGATGAGTCAATTACAATAAGCCTTCTCAACCCACGCTCCAAAGCTGCGTGTTGTGTGTTCATAGTCTCTTCTTTGTGTTTTCCTTTTACATTTCCTCAATCTTCTTGCAATCTCCGCTTCCTTTGACCCTGTGACCTGCGTCAATGCGGATATCATCTTTGAGGAATGGAAAGCAGAGGCTCAGGATTGAAAACAGGATTTTTTTCATTTTCTAGCCCGTGTGTCTCCCTGGGGTGCTCTTATAGGACCATGGTGTAAGGTCCAAGACAAGATCAGCCTCTTGTGCTTTATGCAAAACGTTTTTTTTTTTTTTTACAGCGGTTATTCCCATCTGCATGTGACTCGGCAGGTCAGCTCTCGAGATGTAGTTGTTCCTTTTCCCAAAGTCGAGGTGTATGAGGAGAACAGTTTTGTTTCAATCTTCAGCTGCTTGGAATCGGCTTTCTATGGCATTATTTTAAAGGACACTAAAAATAATAAGAAAATAAAACAACAATGCTTGAATGAAGGTCTTGGGATGATGTGAAATGTTTATTCAGTCTTGTGTTATTTTGTGTTGTACATGATTTTTATGTTTGAAATCTTTTCATGTGAAAAAGGAGTGGACCCCAGGAAGACTAGGGACCACTTTTGGAAGCTAATGTGGATCCAAATAAATAAATACACTTGCTGCTGCGGCGAATAGTGTAGAATAAAAACGTTTAGAATAAAACATAACATTACTGTCTGGTATTATAAGTATGTATCTGTAATAAAATAGATTAAGCACTGTAAAGCACATTACAACCGTCACTTTATAATCTCAGACCTCTGGTCACTTATCTGTTTCATGTCTATTGTTTGTATTTATATATTTGAACTGTATTAAGATTTTTAGGTTCATCCATGCTCTTTTTTCATAACTTGTTTTCACCCTATACCAAAGCAAATTCCTAGTTTGTGACGTCCTATTGCCAATACAACTCTATGGGAAAGAAGCCATTTTTGAAAGAAATGTTGAATAAGAAGCTAATACATTCACAAATCAGCATTATTATTCTTATGCCTCTGAAAGTCCTTCCTTTTGGATGAAACATTATGCCTGATGTCACCACAACTTTATGAGAAAATAATGTTGATTTGTGCTAAATATTGTAGAGGTGGGTTTTATGAGACGACCCAGGGAAGAGCTCTGAACTTGTTACCATAAATGTCCTTTTCACCTTCCTCTCTTTGGAGTGTTGTGATGTTTTGTTTGTCTGTTACAAAAACAGTGGCCCAAAAAGGCAGAGTGAATCAATGCATCCGGTGTAAGAGAAAATAAATGACTCAAACATGAATGAACCGCTATAAAAACAACTTTGCGAGTCTCTATGACATGGGAGTAATACTAACATATGTCTTCTTTAAATTCCCTGCCATTGGGTCTGTTGCATTGCTACATCCTCATCATTCTCGCTGTATAGCTTCTGGGTCAAGTGTGTGCGGATGGCCGTGTGGATATGTTGCAGGGGAATATCTCTTTAACAGGATGGAGGAGGAGAGAGAGCCAGAGAAGCTTGGATCACGAGAGCAACCGTGGTAGGAGGAGTTTGCTCAGGCTCGAGCTGGGGAGGGGATGAGAGCCAGGCAGAGCAGCAGCAGCAGCGAACCAGAGATGTAACGCTTTTTTTTTCTCCTCTCTGCTCCCTTTTTTACCGGTGTTTGCAAGCGGGGGGTGCAACCAAGCAACCGGCAACGCAAGAGCAAGCTAATCCAGGAGTAGCTGTGATTGTGTCGTCTTTTTGGCCTGTATTTCTGCACGTCTTTAGCTTTGGATTGAACGTTTATCCTCTTGCAATGTAAAGGCTTGGAACAGCTGATTCGAGGGGCCGCCCTGTCTCCACACATGTCACTTGCTGCTTCTCTCCTCCTCGCTTTTTACAATTGCATTTCTCTCTCATTGTGGATGTTGCCGAGAACGCTGTGAGGTAGCCTGAGGATAGCCGATTTTTTTTGGGAACTGCTTGCTCTGTAGTGTGTCGTAATAGGGTAACTTCAGGATTGCCCTTCTGCTGGACAGCAAGTACTCATGGCTTCTATCCAAGGATACCTATAACTCAGAGGGATATATTGTGTATGGTCTGGAAGCTCAAAACGCCCTCAGACTGAACCCAGTTTTGATGCTGTTATCCCGAATGTCTTTTTCATTACATTGCCCTGACATGACTAGCTATTAGCAGCGGCACAGAGCAGGATATCCAAGGGGAAACTGTTCATTTGTAGTGTGATCCATGTAATTTTGGGTGGCTGGTGTTGCTGACTGATACCCTCTAGCGCCCCCCCAAAAGTGTGAATTTTTTGGGAAGCATCGTCGCACTGCACCACCTGATGAAGGGGGAACCAAGCTGGCAGAGTGACAGCAGTGTACTCTATGATTCCACTGTGCAAGAGCATGCCACGGCCCCCCTCCAGGGAACTGACATTGGAATCATAGAGGGGTTTTTGCAGAGAATCCAAGAGGTAGAGGCAAAGACTGTCCAAAGAGATTAAGTCACCCTGATACTGCCGAAAAGGTCAGAGATGTTGTAGACCGTTTGGAAGGTGCACCACAGGTTGGCAAGATACTTTACTGTACCTACATAGTCATTGGGTTTGAGCCAAGGACTGACCAAGAATTCCCTGGATTAAAGCCCATTGTCAAAGGATCACATATCACCAAGTGGAAATGAAAATCAAATTTGACATTTCAAGCCTGACACTTGATTTACAAATCTTAAAAGGAAGCAAAATACTTGAGACCTAATAATCTGGATTACTGGATGACAATGCCTTCATTTGATAAAGCCACCAATGCAACTACATATCTGACTACAATGGACGTTTATCTGTAGCTTAGCGATTCTGATTGACTTTAAGATTGACCATTGGCTGCACCTCCCGCTAATCTGTCTTCCACTGGCTGACTCTACACTATCTCTCCACCTGCGTGCTCTCTCTACAGAATAGCCCTTTTCTCATGTTTTACTACAAGCTGAATTGACAACAACATTAATGCTACTTCCGCTACTGCCACCACCGCCGCCGCCGCCACTGCTGGATAAAATTTCAACTGTCCTCCCCGCTTCAGGAATGATTTTGTTACAGCACTCTGACAGTTCCTGTTCTATCAAACCATAACATCGGCACTGGCGTATGAAAGCATTTAATATTCATGGATTGCTTCTGGCCGAACATACCAGCTTAGACTTGGACAGATGAACGATTGAAATCTTTAAAATTCAAGACGCTGAGTAATCATTGATTCATGGCGTGAGAATCTCGGACCTCACATACGGCTCGGATAGCACACACATGCCACGGTTCACGGAGCAACACTAATGGGCTGAATTACATTGTACCAGACTCTATTTTTCTCAGCTGTACTCATCATTTCACTTGACAGATGGGATCGTAGACAGGGTTTCTTACCTGCTCAAATCCCAGGGATAAATCTAGTCATCTTTACCTGCCGTTAACACACACTCATAAAGCAGATTGTCCTTGACTGTGACCACAAGTCCCTGGGGATCACATGACGCAAACATGTGTGGATGTAGCGTAGCATCTTGACAAATGTATACCAAAGTTGGTTAACGTGTGCTTTATTGTCGTCTGAATATTTTCCCCATCATTCAAATCATATAGAACCGTTCTATGCATTTGCATTTTGGATCATGAATTTGACTTATAATTTCAATTTCAAGTGGGAACTAAAAACACTAGTCATTTTTGGATGTTCTTAAAGTTGTCATGTTTGCTACACCTGCGTTTCCCATTTTACCATACACAAATTACGTCTAGCTTGCTGTGTTTGGTTATGCATTAATCAAACGTGTCAGGTCAATAAGGAGCTATCAGTCACCTGCCAGTTTGTAAACATATTTTTGTACCAGGGCCTGAGTAAATTGTATAAACTTGCATGCAGACATTTGATGGGTCTGCATTTGTAATTGTTTATCCGTTGATTAAATTTCAGTATATCCACTCCAATTTGTAGTCTATTTTTAGTAAGGCTTTTTTGTGTTATTCCAAATGCAGAGAGATTAGTGCCAGTTAACGAGGACTGTATTTTAAAATCCAATTAACTGCCCATTTTGACACATCACTTTACATTTGGCCACGCATACAATGTGTTTAAAAATCCTTGTTAATGCTTTCAAGTGGGTTAACAGTTAATCCAAAACAGACAGTCTGTTAGAACTGATCATAAACCAGGACTTTATTGATCTGACACTCTCGGCGTGACTAGTGAAGCTTGTATGCCCTGCTCCTGTGTCAAAACCATGGGGAACTCCATTGGTTGTGTAAGACCTCAACCTCCAGAGGGGCAGCATCCAGGAGCGGCCCCGCGTTCACCAAAGAGGCGACTGCGTTTTCGACGAAAGCATAAAAACAAGAAATCCAAGAAGGGGGATGTGGACTCTGATGAGTACAAACCTCGAGAGGAAGATCAAGAAGACCAAGAAGACAATGAAGAAGATGTGGAAGAAAGGGAAACGGATTCAAAAGTGTGCAAGCCTAGTCTTTTATCAGTGCCTGTCTTTTCGCCAAGCAATACTTTGTCCCCTATGGTTTACAGCAATAGGACAATTGAGTCGTCACCTAAACCGAGCCCAGCGTGGAAAGGCGTCTTCTGCTATCCAGGCGAGGAGGACTCCGTCAGTGCCATTGTGGATGTTTCCAGCATTCCCAGCCAAACCACCACCACCTCTCCCATCAACACTGCTGTTCCGTTGCTGGGTAGCACCACGCCAGGCGGAGGCAGGGTCCTCAGAGTCAAGGGTAAGGTGCAAGGCGAAATTGAAAAACCGTGGATTTTACAGCCAAAGAAGGAGACGCACGGCAAAGAATGTGCAAAGAAGGACGTTAAGGAGAAGCCGGAGAAAAAAGCTCCATCAGAAAAGGAGCGTAAAGGCGTGGTCCATATCCGCGAAGTCGATGGTAAACTCTGCGTGGTCCGGACGGTTTATCCAAGTGACTATGGCTCCCCAGTTTGGAGAGGCGACACCGAGACACCTGGAGATGTCAAAGTTCTGCATCCAAACATGACTCCGACACGAATGGGAGAACTTACTTTCCCAAAACTGGATATCACGTCAAAGGGAACGCCTTTTGGAACGCCAGGCGGTGCGTCCCAGCGTTCCCCGTCTCTGCTGGAGTCCGGATACACCAGCGACTTGCCGCTGACGTCGCCAGGGACAACGGGGACCACGCCCAGTCAAACGGAGTGGGTCGTCCCGGAAACGAGTTCATCCGAGAGACTGGACTCAGCGATGGACAGTTGTCAGTCGCCACAGCAACCAGTCCAAACCACGCCCCTTCCCAAGGTTTGACTTTCTATATTATTTAAACCATGACTATCCTTAACACCATGGGTATCTTGGTATCTTTATTTCCTCTATAAAAGGGAACAGTATGGATCAAAATCAGTAATAACAACCTCAAGTTAAGATATCCATTTACTTACAGGTTTTGTAGATGGAAAAGATTATAACACAATCTGAATGATTTTGTTTACCATTGTAAGTAACAGGAAATCACAGACTAGGAATTTGCTTTGGCTCGAGTTGTATTGGTAAAAGGATGAGTACAATGTTTAACTACAAATACGAGGGATAAAATGAAGACTGGAATAACTAAATGTTGAATTAAATGTATGTGTGATCAATAATTACATTTTAGGGTACATTTTTTATGTTTACAGGGAAAGTGTACAATCAACATTAACCAAAAGAAGAGATGCATTGTACCAGGTTATAGCAGGAGTTCTAACTTACACCTGTGGACCCTGTCACTGTAAAACAAAATTGGATGGATACAGCCATATATGACATCATCAGAGGTTACACATGTAGCTCAGTAAGTCGATACAAGTAGAGGCTATTCTTGCTAATGCATTAGTTTCCCAATTATCCAAGCTGATTTTAACTAGGAAAGTTTAATTATAACTATTATCAGAAACCGTAAAAGACCAAATGAAGGAACCTAGACCTGAACGATATCATCCTGGAACTGCTGACACATCATAAAATTTACTCACTTGTGTTAAGACTTGAAATGAAATGAAATTGCAAAAATTACCAAGCGCTCAAGTCTATAAATTACACATTATTCAAAGTTAATAGGTTTTAGCTGAATGCAGAAAGGGAATATTGGCTTCAACTTCATATCAAAAGCTTTTTTTCAGTTGGTAGTGATGCATCGTTTCCTTATTTAGCCCATGTTTTGAGTGTCTGTCGTTATCAGCTGTAAAAGAATAAAAAGCCTTGTGTTTTTTCCTGGAGTCTAATCAACAGCAAGCAGCCGCCATCCTTTTCAGCGCTTGTTGTTGCGTGACATCACCAGACAGACTAAATGAGAGAGAAAGCAAGAGTCATTTGTGTGTTTTTACTTGCAATTCATATGTTTACGAATTAAAAACACCCAACATGGCTTTTCTTGCCAATTTTATTCAATTTCTGGCAAAAACTAGAAGGTCAAGATCACACGCTAGCTCCATAAGGAATGTAATAGTTCTTTTTTTACACGTTTGGATACATTTATGAAGGGTTAATGGTAAGCTACTGTACTATTGCATCCCTTTAAAATGAATCTGACTTGTATTAGCATGATAATTTTTCTCGTTCCTATTGGCTTTTCCAGTAATACTGAAAAAGTCATGTCTGTATAGTATAGAGGATTTTCTGGGACTAAGATGTGGATGATAAACAGTGGGTTTTCGGGGCCAGTGCATAGACCAACCTGAATTTCCTTGAGGATCTGAATTTTAAATTGGGTTCTTGGTCTAAAAATAATACAAAAACATTAAGAAAGCTGTCTGTAGTGATAGCTATGGAGACATTTTGTTAAAGTTGGCTGCAGCATAATGGTAATAGACAAGACATGAAATTACTCTCGGTGGTTTTTCAGATAGATCTCCGTGTTATAAATAAGTAATATTTTCCGAAAGGAAAAAATCCTTTGCAGCATTGGCCGAGGCTTGCATCAGTTGTAATAATGAAAGTTGATGTTAAACCTGCTGAGTCACTACCCTCTCCTCCTCACAGAGCGTAGTGCAGCTTTCAGCCTGTCCTGGTTAATAGCACTTTCATTTGACTTCACAGATCAATAAGTCTCTCTCCTTTTGCATTAGCGACATGCGTTTGTGCCGAGGCCAAATCCTGCGTTTTGTGTCGAGAACTCCGTGACGTCCCATTTTGCATAAAGAGAGATTTGGGATTCAATGGAGGCCCTCCAGGGATGTCACAATCTCTAATTTGTCCAACACAGCCACCATACTGTCATACCCCCTGCTTGGCATCCTCTCCTCTTTTGTCTTCATACACAAACGCATGCAGGGATGGCCTTTTGCAGTGACGTTATCGACATCAAACATATTTCTGTCTGGTTTCGATCCCGGCCGGCACTCCCTCCTCTGTCTGTCCTTTTAAACAGACTTCAAAGTGGTTGTGTTTCTAAACAGGGATGTGCCCCAAGCCTCATGAACTGGAATCATGCTGCTGGATGCAAGTCTGAGGTCGCCCAGACTGTTTTATGTGTTCCATGAAATCTGTTCTATCAATTGAGTTTCAATATTAACCCACAAATGCTGATGCTTCATATATTCCATAACTTAAAGCTGGTGGTTTGCCACTGGGTTTTTGGGTTGTTCCCTGCAAATCCAGGAGGGGAGGAGAGGAGTCCTGCTCTGCTCTACTCTGCTCTACTCTACTCTACTCTACTCCTACTCTACTCCTACTCTACTCTACTCTACTCCTACTCTACTCCTACTCTACTCTACTCTACTCTACTCTACTCTACTCTACTCTACTCTACTCTACTCTACTCTACTGTAGGCAAGGCAAGTTTATTTGTATAGCAAAATTCATACACAAGGCAACTCAAAGTGCTGAACAAAACAAGAAAGCATTAAAATCATAAATAATCACAGTCCATTAAAAAGAAAGATACAAATATAAAATCCCTCAGTTGTCTGAAGCTAAACAGAACTGGTTTTAACCTGGATTTAAACATTGTCGGAGAGGAGGCCTGTCTCACATTTTCAGGAAGATTACTCTACTACTCTACTCTTACTGTTGACACCATTAGCTAGAACAATGTACACATTGATGATTCTCTGATCTGTTTTGGCGAATCGACATCTTTGTAAACTCCTCTGGGCTAACTACTGTTGTGAATAAGGGCTATAAAAGAATACATTAAATTGAATGATGGAAATGCAACTTCAGACACTTGTCATTAGAATCATAGTTTTCCTGCCAGACAGTATTTCTGAAGTTTTATCCTCATTTTAAAAGTGCTTTTCTAGGACATACCTTCGTGACCTCAACACATTCTAAAAACTGGTCAAACAGTTGAGACTAAAGCAACATATTTGATTTCATCCATTTTCCATACATTTTCTTCCCCTTAATCCAATTCTGGGTCCTCCTGCAGGTGGTGTGTTCACAGGAGCCTTGATCTTTCAGTGGGGGCTTCAGGCAAAGTGGAGTTAAGTGTCTTGCCCAATGACAGTAGACATCAGTTGGTGTCTTGAGTAGGTCTTGTGGTGGGCTCAAACCCACGACCTTCAGGCCAAAAGACCGATGCTCTACCAACTGAGCCACTGTCACCCCTTTACCCTAACCCTAATAATATCAGTAAGGTTACAATATAATTAATATATATATATATATATACAGTATGTATATATATATATATATATATATATATATATATACATATATATATATATATATATTTGATAGAAATATGCAGCGAGGCCATGATGTCACATGAGCTGAAACGTGAGCGTGAGAGTAAAGTTCAGACTTCTATGGGGGTTTATGGGTCATGCAGTAAAGCTTTAGATACAAAACATATCGACAAAGACCTCACATGCACCTAAATCTCATGTTTTTAAAGTCTGGCATTTACGTACCAACTCGAAGTCTGACCACTAATACAAAATTAGCTGTTTTTCTCTTGCTGACATTAACAACTTCTAAAATGATGAGCAGCTTTTTGTTTTGTAATTGGTTGAAAATTGGTTGAGAAAAACCAAAACCTGTTTCTTTCCTGTGACCTGTCATTCCGTCTGTGTTAATCTGAAGCCACTTGTTGAAGTTTAACTGTTCTGTAATCACCTGCTTTTTTCCACTCGATGCAAATGGCCTCTAGGCTAAATTAGCGTGTGCATGGTGGAGGTTAAATTAGCGTGTGCATGGTGAAAGCTAAAGCTGGCGTCTTCTCATTAGCGTACGGATCGTTAGCATTCACCTCCTCTGCATTATTTGTGACAGACTTTGGTGGAAAAAAAAAGCTGAGGTTTGAACGTTTCTCGTCAATATTGGAAATGAGGTCATTAAAAAAATCAATTGAATAATTTAGTCAAAGCTCATGTGTTATTCACCAGGTTTATACATGACCCTAGGTACATTACAAGATGAGAAGTTCAGACTAATACTAACAATAAAGGAGGCCGTAAACAACTTTCTGTATTCATAAGAAATGGAAGTAAAGTACTCAAGAAGTACAGTGATGGGAGTTGTTTGTGTTTGTTTGTGTGTGTGTGTACCTCTCCGTCTGTGTACCTCTGTCTGCCTGTGTGTGTCTCTCTCTGTGTGTGTGTCTGTGTGTCTCTTCTGTGTGTGTGTCTCTGTGTCTGTGTGTCTCTCTGTGTGTGTGTGTGTGTCTCTTCTGTGTGTGTGTGTCTGTGTGTCTCTCTGTGTGTGTGTGTGTGTCTCTTCTGTGTGTCTCTCTGTGTGTGTGTGTCTCTCTCTGTGTCTGTGTGTCTCTCTGTGTGTGTGTGTCTCTCTCTGTGTCTGTGTGTCTCTCTGTGTGTGTGTCTCTCTCTGTCTGTGTGTGTCTCTGCGTTGTATGAGGAAGAGGTGTTGGAACCAAACTAGCAGCTTCTTCCAACCCCCTTTTGTGTGTTCCGGTTTCTTTCTTTTAACCCGTTTTTGTCTCTTGCTGTACATATGTTGGATAAGCTACTATTGCTATATATTTTTATTGCCTGGGCGGAATTTTTATTCCCATACTTGTTCGGAGCATGGAGTAGAGCTGCTGCTCGAAATCGAAAGAGATGGCTCTGACATCTGAACTCCTCAAGCTGAACGTAATGGAAAGGAAAGTCTACGCTTCTCTGCTCATCTGTGAAGCGGCGGTGGATGAAGTGGATCAAAACTGGATGATGGATGGATCTTGGCAGTGGCTTAATTTAATGAAATACACTTTTATTTTTGTCACAAAAGCCTTCTCAGCCGCATAAATGTGAACTGCTGCCTGCCCAGAGTTAGAATTAAACATCAGGAGACAACATTGCAGATTTATACAGCTAACATCTGGAACAGTCTCCCTGAAAATGTGAGGCCGGCTTCTACTCAGAAAATGTTCAAATCCAGATTTTTATTGTTTGGCTGCTGACAACTGAAGTTTTGCATCTTCACTCATTGAAATGTAGTGTGATTATTTGAATGCCTTGTATGATTTTAACTCTTCACTGCAAAAAATAAATGGTAACAGTAAAAAATGCTTGAATAAAGTGGCTTTTATCTTAATGTAACTGTCACTTTATTTTTTCATTCCAAGGGAGACATTTCTTTTTTTTTTTTTTTTCAAAACTAGATCATTTTTCTCATTGGCAATTTTTTTATTGAGATTTTATTTTTCCAGTTTTGTGCACATTTTTGACTTATTTTTTCACTTTTTGCAGTGTATCTTTTTAAGCATTTTAGGTGTCCTTGTATGGACTGTGCTATAGAAATAAAGTTGCCTTAGACTTATTTCTTTGTCTTTTGCACAAACATATATGTATATCCAATGAATTCCCAGGCCCCACTGTTATTTTTTTTCCCATTGGACTTTTTAAATATTGAACAAAATAGCAGCCTGTAGAGTTCGGTATTGCACATTCTGCTTGTTCCCAGAGCAGACTTCCCTGACTGTGATATTTGCACTGTAATAGACACTTTGACGCAGCCTCTCTCGGCTCTGCATCCATATTCACAGGGAGGATTATCTCTGGCGTGTCTCTGCACAGGAGTTCGTTGGAGCATACAAAGAGATACTGCAGTCTGTGAACATTGGGAGATTGTGAAGTGTGAGGAACAACCTGTTTCTGATGTCAAATTAATATTTATAGAACTATGCAGCAAACCGAGGCCTTGACTTTTAAGTGCCGTGTTTCTCAGAGCGGAACAGACTGCTTTTAGTGGCTCAAGGCAAGTCCTTCTCTATAGCGTGGTTCATTCACAAAGCAATTCAATTATCAAGACCAGAAAAGAGGCGTTGAAATCATAAATAATCACAGTACATTCAAAAGAGTAAAGTTACAACCATTTCAGTAGTAGCACAAAGAAGAAGCCTGTGTCACATTTTCAGGAAGATTGTTGCAGATTTTGGCTGCATCAATCTAGCAGCAATAAGACCATGTGCTGCTTGTTTGAGGAGAGAATTTGAACGCATATTGATTATTGACAGCTTTGGTTCAATGTGTTTTTTAATTGAGAGAATGTGGAGGAGAACCCATGACCAATGAACTAGTTAAATTGATTTTATGAAAATGTTTCTGGTTTCATCTGGTTTCGAGGGGCGACAGTAGCTCAGTTGGTAGAGCATTGGCCTTAAGGCCAGAAGGTTGTGGGTTCAATTCCCACCTCTGCACCATCTCCACCGACTCCCACTGATGACTGCTGTCGTTGTGTCCTTGGGCAAGACACTTAACCCCACTTTGCCCAAAAGCCCCAACTGAAAGATCAAGGCTATGCTCACACTCAGAGAGCAGCCGCCCTCCTGTGGACTCACCACCTGCAGAGGGTCAGTGAGGGGCTGGTGCTATGAGACTTGGGTGGCATCTCTGACTGCCACCCCCCTGACCCAGAAATGGATTAAAGGGTAGAAAATGGATGGATGGGTTTCTGGTTTCAAAGTTCCTAGCTTTAAGTGAATAATTAGTCTTGCGTTTTGCTAATTGAGAGCATTGTGAATATCTTGACTAATTGCTTTACACACTTTCTCCAGTCGTACATCCCACTCTATTCAGAGCTCTGTCAGATTTATACCTTTTTTGGCCTTTTGCTGTTGCCATTGGAGACAGAAGCAAAGCGCTGACACATTTGTTTTGATAGAATCTTGTTTTTTTTCTTACTCCGGAGCAGCTTGTATCTGGTTGAATGAAATGACTTTACTATCAGAGACGCAGGAGTCCCGAGCACGAGGCGACAACAGATTGATCCATCTCTGTGAAGGGGGGAGATGAAAGCAAGTGAGAAATGGAGCTGACATTTTGGGCTGGGGGGTTGTTTATGTGTGGGAGGGGAAAAAGAGAGGAGGCGGCTTTTTATACAGTGTAGACAATAAGGGATGAATTAGTGAATTTTTGTATGAGATTTTGCTGTCGTTTTAAGATATACCACAAATGCTAGTTCACCATGTACAGCAGGAGTCTGGGTGAAGCAGGGCCACAATATTATAACATTAATCACCTGTTTGTGTGTGTGCAAAATATTTATAGAGAAAGTGTACTTATGGGCGCGAAACAGACACAAACAGGAAAATCAAGAAGTTATGAAGATAAGGGAAGACTAGATAAAATAGACTTTATTGATGTCACATTTGGCAGAGATAGAAACACTCAGATTTTGCAAAAAGACACGAGTGTGCAAAAATGTTAAAGGTTAAAAATATAGTCTGTAGGATATAATTATGTACAATAAAAAAGTGGCAATAGCAGTGCAGGTTTTTTAGTGACTGAAAGTGACTCATTGTACAGTCTGAGAACACAAAATGCATTGATTAGGAAGAAAAACGCTTTAATTAACTTACTTCCTTCTAAAACCTTTGAACTAAGCCCTGCATTGTTTTGCTCTGCAGTTTTGTCTATAATCTCTATGAATCCTAAACTATGCACTCCCGGTGCCGTCTCTAGTTTAAATGCCATATTTTTTTGTCTCATCTAAATTGAATACTGTTGTTTTAACGTCTGGAATCTACATTAGTCAGTCACACTGGAAACTCGAGCACTATTTATCATTGACCTGATCCAGTAATGGAAACCGACCAAAATCTATTACCCAGTTATGGTTCAATGCTTTTTAATTTGTCAGACGTATGGTCCCAATGCGAGTGTGTCGTGATCATTTAAGGCTCCAGTACTTTAAGGAAGTCTTTAGTTGCTATTAATAGACCAATTGTTATGTTTCTTTTTGCAATGCAGTAGATGTATATGGACTAAATCTGAAGTACGTCAAGAAGAAGATTATGGAGAACAAATACTGAGATAACCTTGAGTCTGGTCTCTCTCTGGTCTCTATCTCTGTCCTCCCTCTGGTCTCTCTAGTCTCTTGCGCTCTCTCCCTCTTTCTCTAGATCTCTGTCCTTTTTCTCTCTCTGGTCTCTCTCTGGTCTCTCTCTGTTCTCTCTCTGTTCTCTCTCTCTCTCTCTCTCTCTCTCGCTCTCTGGTCTCTTATCTCCCTGGTCTCTCTCTCTCCCTTTCTCGTTTTTTATTCTCTTTGGTCTCTCTGTTCTCGTTCTTTCTCTGCTCTCTCTCTCTCTCTCTGTCCTCCTTGGTCTCTCTCTGTTATCTTTCCCTCTCTGGTCTCTCTCTCTCTCCTCCTTGGTCTCTCTCTGGTCTCTCTCTGGGTTTTTCTTTCTTATTTTGTGCCCTTGTCCCCTTTATATTCCAATATTTATGTTTTTGATATTTCATATTACAATGACAGTTTTTCTTCGTAGACATTGTTTTTCAGCATTTCTATACAAATAATAATCATAATAACGCATCTTCATCTCATATATAACCTCGTACCTCCTTCTCTGTGACAGATTTCGGAGATCTACGTGAGCGGCGAGTCTGGAGACCTCACGGCCAAAGAGAAGCTGCTGCTGTGGAGTCAGAAGGCCACAGAGGGGTACCCCGGCCTGCGCTGCTCCAACTTCAGCTCGTCTTGGAGCGACGGACGCATGTTCAACGCTCTGCTGCATCGATACAGGTGCGTGACTCTGCTGGGACACCTGTATACAGTATGCACCTATAGATAGATGGATAGATACAGATATATGAAGTACTAATATTAAACGCAGGTGTATTTCAGTTAAGGGAGCAGATAGATGAAGATAGAAGAAGATGGATAAATGACAAGTGAAAGTAATGTGCAACTAAAACATTATGAGTGATGATTGGTGGATTATATTTCACCGTTTTGCAAATTGTGTCCAGTTTTTATTTATTTATTTATTTTTCAAAGGTTTAGGCAAAAATAAGCGAATACACTATGAAGTCGTCAATTCACCAACAGCAGATCAGAGAGTCAAACCGTTAGACCTTAGAGCCATGGGTCCATAAGATGACCAATGTCCATCCATCCATCCATCCATTTTCTTCCTCTTAATCCATTTCTGGGTCGGGGGGGTGGCAGTCAGAGCTGCACCCAGTACACTGAGCACCAGCCCCTCACTGATCCTTCTGCAGGTGGTGAGTCCACAGGAGCTGAGATCTTTCAGTGGGGGCTTTGGGCAAAGTAGGGTTAAGTGTCTTGCCCAAGGGCACAACCACAGCAGTCATCAGTGGGAGTCGTGAAGTAGGTCTTACGGTGGGCTTGAACCCACAACCTTCAGGCCCAAAGGCCAATGCTCTACCAACTGAGCTACGGTCGCCCTCACAGAATATATGTCGGTGTGCCCCAGGGCGGCTACAGTAGTGTATGTGTAGTGAATGAATAATGAAATGTGAAGCGTCCAATAGTGTCCAAAAAAGCGCTTTATATAAAACCCATGCATTAATATTATTCGTATTAATATGAAAAGTATTTATTCTTTGTGCATTTCTTATGTAATGATAAAACAAAAAGCAAGACAATAATACAAATAACGTTTAAAAAGACACAGAACAAACTTAGTGGCTATTAGAGTGACATGACAGAAAGTGGGATCTATGGCTTAGTAAAGTAGTAAAAGTACACATTATAAAAAAAACTATTACAGAAAATAAGCAAACTAATCTGGGTTGGATGTTCATTTAAATCTTGCACTATTCAAAACAGCGGCTGCCATTTCAGTTCAAACATATTAACGGATGTTGTCTTCTGTTGTGTTCAGACCCGACCTGATTGACATGAAGCTGCTGGAGCGACAGAGCAACAGAGAAAACCTGGAGCAGGCCTTCGAGATCGCCGAGTCTTTAGGAGTCACACGACTGCTCGACGCTGAAGGTGAGACAACAAACTACATAATTTGTAGTCAATATTTTCAGAATCAGAATTATTTAGGCAAGGCAAGGCAAGTTTATTTATATAGCACAATTCATACACAAGGCAATTCAAAGTGCTGAACAGAACAAGAAAGCATTAAAATAATCACAGTACATTAAAAAAAAGATAAAAATATAAAATCCCTCAGTTGTATGCACAGCTAAACAGAACTGTTTTCAACCTTGTCTTAAACATTGTCAGAGAGGAGGCCTGTCTCACATCTTCAGGAAGACTGTTCCAGATTTTAGCAGCATGAATCTGAAAAGCAGCCTCCCCATGTTTAGTTCTGACTCTGGGCACTAACAGGAGTCCAGTCCCTGTGCTCCTCAGAGTCCGGGCTGGTTCATATGGGACTAACATGTCACTAATATAGTTTGGTGCGAGGCCATGGAGAGATTTGTACACAAGCAGAGCTGTTTTAAAGTCTATTCTCTGAGCCACAGGAAGCCAGTGCAGGGACCTGAGGACCGGACTAATGTGGTCATACTTCCTGGTTCTAGTCAGGACTCGAGCTGCTGCATTTTGAATGTACTGCAGCTGTTTTACAGCCTGTTTGGACAGACCTGTAAGCAGGCCATTGCAGTAGTCTAACCTACTGGAGACAAATGCATGGATAAGAATCTCCAAGTCTGCTTTAGACACTATGTTTTTGATCCTGGCAATGTTTTTTAGATGGTAAAAAGCTGCTGATGTTACTGATTTGATGTGGCTATTAAAATTTAAGTCTGAGTCCAGTATTACCCCTAGATTTCTGACCTTGTTTGAAGGTTTTAGGGAGAGAGACTGTAGGTGACAGATGACGCTCTCTCTTTGTTTCTGGGGACCAAAGACAATCATTTCAGTTTTGTCTGCGTTTAGCTGAAGGAAGTTGTTTTGCATCCACTCACTGATCTGTTGGATACAGTGAAGGAGTGAGTCCACTGGTCCATGTTCTCCTGCAGTCAGTGAGACATAGATCTGAGTGTCGTCTGCATAGTTGTGATAGGACACTTTGTTTCTGCGTATTAACTGACCTAACGGCAGCATGTAGAGATTGAACAGAAAAGGTCCCAGGATCGACCCCTGTGGTACTCCACAGGTCAGGGCCATATGATCTGAGACACAGTCTCTGTTTGCTTGTGGTCTGGGGAGGGTCTGTTGGGCGGTCGGGGGGAGGGCATGGGCAGGATTGTTTTTTAGCCAAACTGTAAAGCACTTTGTGTTGCATCTGTTGTATGAAAAAGCGCTTTATAAATAAACTTTGATTGATTGATTGATTAACCCCACTTTGCCCAAAGCCCCCACTGAAAGATCAAGGCTATGCTCACAGTCAGAGAGCAGCCGTCCTCCTGTGGACTCACCACCTGCAGAGGGTCAGTGAGGGGCTGGTGCTATGAGACTTGGGTGGCATCTCTGACTGCCACCCCCCTGACCCAGAAATGGATTAAAGGGAAGAAAATGGATGGATGGATGGATATGTTGCAAACCCCCATCTCACCATTCAACAAAATAATACACAGAATACAATGCAATTAATGATCCTACAGAATACAAATGTGAAATGTGTAGTACATATTTGTGCGGTACATGCAGTAAGTAAGTAAGTAAGTATTTATTTATATACCGCCTTTCACAGACCAGAGTCACAAAGCGGTTTACAATTGTTATTTTTTGGGCACTTGTCCTCTCACTCCACACAGAGATGGGAGCGGGGTCGCCGAGCAGGAAGCGCATGCCAGACCTATTGTACATATTTTTAGTGGTAGGGGAAACCGGAGTACCCGGAGGAAACCTACGTAGACACGGGGAGAACATGCAAACTCCACTCAGAAAGGCCCTGGTCCGGCCGGGATTCGAACCCAGGACCTTCTTGCTGAGAGGCGAGAGTGCTATCCACTCAGCTACCGTGCCGCCACGGTAACATACAACACCCTACTGTGGAGTACAAGAGACGATAGACTTTATTGATCTCACACAGGAGGAATATACAAGCACACAATATTAAGCACACAATACACACACACACACACACACGTCATAGATGGCCGTTAGCACACACCGGCCGTTAGCTTACATATACATATCTACAGCATATACCATTGTGCTGCTGGCTCTCCTCAGTCCAGTCCCTCTCCGTCTCTGACCTGACCTTGTTCTGTGGCAGATGTGGACGTTCCATCTCCGGACGAGAAGTCGGTCATCACATACGTCTCATCCATCTACGACGCCTTTCCAAAGATCCCCGAGGGAGGGGAGGGCGTGGCCGCTCACGTACGTTACATCATGAGGCTTTGATGGTTTCTCCTCACATCTTACCCTTGACCTTTGTTTACTCAGAGTGGGAGGGGGATCCTTGACTCTCCTGTGGCTCTCATGATTGGTCCTAAATTAGATTAGGATAAATGGAGAGATTGTGAATTATTGCAATGTACTTTAAAGCACTACACACACAGCTCTGGGATCAAATGTCAATGATTTCAGCTGTAAAGTACAGGGGGGTAAATAAAGATGAATGATTTAAGATTGGGCCGTGGTTAAAGTGGCAGTTGTGTATGTGTATGCTGTTCTACTTGCTTAACATGTATTTTAGGCAGGTTTCTGTAGCACAATTCGAAGTGCTTTACAAAACAAAGTACACACTTAGGATTAGAAGAAAGTTAGAAACCCCTTTATAAAACCATATATAATTACAGTGTACATGTATTTATTCTTTAACAGTCCAGAGCAAATATTTGAGTGGTATTCACAGCTAAACAGTACCTGGATTTGGACATCGTCAGAGTAGGCAGGCAAAGCAAGGCACATTTACACAAGGAAACTCAAGCACTTAGCAAAACAATAAAGAGACATTAAAGTACATGAAAAAAAGTGACTATAGAATCCTTCAGTTCTATGCACAGCTGAACAGAACTGTTTCTGAGAGAAACCTGTCTCTCATTTTCAAGAAGACTGAAGAGACTTCCTGAACCATCTGAAACTTTAGCTTCTTTAGCTTCTCTGTCTTCTTCTATGTTCAGTCCTGCCTCTGGGCACCTGCTTCAACAGAAAATTGTCCCAAAAAGCTGAGAATGTTCCTTTTCCTAATTCTCCCTCCTTGTGACTTCTCTCCAGGAGGTGGACCAGCGGTGGTCCGAGTACCAGGCCCGGTTTTCGTCTCTGCTGCAGTGGAGCCGCCAGCACACGGCCCTCATGGCCAACAAGAACTTCCCCCAAAACCCTGTGGAACTCAAGGTAAGAAGAAAAGTGAATGAGTTAATGTGAATCATTTATGGAGTCGTAGTCAAATGAAACTTGTTTTAGTTTGATCGATTTCACTGTGCCAATTGTTGCCTGCACTTTTTTAGTTTGTCTAATTCCTGCACTTTTAACCTCGTTCTATATTACATACTTGTCTGGTGCACACTGAGGACCTTTGTACATGTATTCCAATGTGGTTTTAGTGCAAATGGCAACTAAAATGAATCTGAATCAATTTTATATAAAACATACAATGCATAGTACATATACAGTATATATGCAAAAAGAAAAAACTAATATAACACAGAGTTGAATTGAAATAAACTCCAGTATGCATCAGGCTAAGACATTCTCGATCTTATTTTCCCGTCTAATTGAGTTGATTATTTCATCATGATTGAAACCAATAATATGGAAAGAAGTGATACCCGTTGGCGACTTAAACCCACGCACAAGAGTCATTGTAATTGGTTAAATGTATCGGGTCGTTGAGCACAGAGGACAAGACACATCACCTTCAGTGACATTATAAGTTTTCCCTTTTGTCTTGAGCGTCCTCCACTCACTCCTCACACTTCTGTTCGCAGGCACTTTACAACGAGTATGTCCATTTCAAAGAGACAGAAATCCCCTCAAAAGAGAAAGAAAAAGGTCACATCGAGCATCTCTACAAACTACTGGAGGTGAGTGACTCGAAAGGATGAAAAGGAGATTTAGGGTTTTATGGATTTAGCAGCAAATACAGATGCAATAATTAAATCAGTGGTGTTTGTATTGCACACAGCAAAGTGGTTTTAAGATGAAGACTTCCTTTTGTCATCCCACTGAAATGTCAGTGTTGCATCACAAGTATTACAACTCTATACTTAAAGTAGTCTTCAAGAAGCAAGACTAAAGTATTCCGTCGAAACACATCAAGCGAATCACATCGCTAACTTACTATTTATTAATCTATTTGAATTTAGGACAGTACATATTCATCAATGTGTCTGCAAACAGCCTCAATATAATTATGCTGGAATTAGCACAGTAGCTACATTGCATCCATTGTCCTAAGGCAGATAATATTCACACAAACACATAGTTACGTAAAATTACAAACAGGTCGACAAGCACAACATAAAGAATTTAAAAGAGAAAAGAGAGATAAAGTCCAAGGAAGAGCAGATCTATGGGAGCATGAGTGGTTTGATTTAAACCAATGTTTCTGGACTCCTTTAAATGTTCGGTCCCACAGTTTTGTTTGTGTTCTGCCAAAGTCTTCCATAATTGTCTGGTATAGAAGAACCAAACGGGGCGACAGTGGCTCAGTTGGTAGACCATTGGCCTTTGAGCCTGAAGGTCGTGGGTTCGAGCCCACCATAAGACCTACTTCACGACTCCCACTGATGTCTGCTGTCCTTGTGTCTTCGGACAAGACACTTAACCCCACTTTTCCCAAAGCCCCTGCTGAAAGATCAAGCTATGCCACAGAGCAGCCTTCCTCCTGTGGAGTCTGCACCTGCAGGAGGATCAGTGAGGGGCTGGTGCTCTGTGGACTGGGTGGCATCTCTGACCGCCACCCCTTGACCCAGAAATGGATTAAGGGGAAGAAAATGGATGGATGGATGGAGAAGAACCAAATACTTTTATTGCTACTAAGACAGCAAGATGAGCCTTTCTAAACTCTTAGTGTTTCTGGTGTTTAGTCCATCTCTGGGTAGAACTGTGGTAACTGCTCCGCACATGTGCAGGTCTCATTTCATATCATGGGTTTAGCTCAGAGGCGCTAGCATCGTATCATCGCTGTTGAACTTCCCTCCATGAAGCCACGTTATCAATGAGTTTGATTGTTTTAAAGAGAAACACATGACGGTGACCTCAGAGCGATCCTGTTTGTTTGGATCAGCTGCTGAGGCCCAAGTGTGAAAGAAACACTCAGGACGTTGACTTTTATCTATATGTTGTTCAGGATCATTACAACAAGTGTCGTTTTCAGGGACTTGGACTCGAGGCTTACTTAATGCAGTGAGCTGATTGGAAATGGTTCGTCATAAATTAAACTCTGTGTGCCCTATGGCCTGTTGTGTGCCATTTGAAATCGAAAAACAATGATTATTTACAAGCCCCATTGACAGTTTCATTGCAAACTTAAACAATAAAGGATTCTTCTGCAACGAATTGGATGCAGGAAACTATTTGAAACTGTAAATAACAAGTTAACATGATTATAGATTAGGAGTGGAATGATGTCACCTTAGTGTTAGCTGATTTGAACATTTAGCTAGCTGGAGCTAATTTCCTTGGGTTATTGTTTTGAAAGGGTTAGCTTAACAGGGACAGCAGTGTTGCTAACAAATTTGCTAAGGCAAGCTGGACTTTCTCTAATGAAAACAACAGGATCACAGAGAGCACTAAACCAGATTTTTAAAGCTCAAAATGGTGACTATGACACAAACAGTTCCTGAGATAGAGGAGTTTAAGGTATGACAAGTCTATGTACTTATCCAAGTCCATAGGAACCAGAGCGAGTTGGAGCAAAACTTTGTTAATGAGCCCTTCCCTATTGGGCATCATTGAGCTAGCAGGTTAACTTCTTCCATCTATTTACAGTGTATGGACCTGAGGCAATAGGAATAATGATCATCGGAATGAATATTTGGCTATTTCCAAATTTGCCATAGACCTAAGTGTGCCAAAATATAGGTGGATCTTTTTTTTCCTTTAAGTAAGTAAGTAAGTAAGTTTTTATTTATATACCGCCTTTTCACTGCAGATCTGAGTCTCAAAGCGGTTTACAATTGTTAATTTTGGGCATTCGTCTCTCACTCCACACAGAGATGGGAGCAGGGTCGCCAGTACAGGAGGCACATGCCAGAACTATTGGACATATTTTTAGTGGTAGGGGAAACCGGAGTACCCGGAGGAAACCTACGCAGACACGGGGAGAACATGCAAACTCCACTCAGAAAGGCCCTGGTCCGACCGGGATTCGAACCCAGGACCTTCTTGCTGAGAGGCGAGAGTGCTATCCACTCAGCCACCGTGCCGCCCTTTAATATTCTTACTACTCTTGAACTGTGGGTTGCTACACTGAAATCTCCTCACTGTGGAATCTATCGCTCACAAATTATATTATGTGGACCATGCAATAAAGTGTTTTTTTTTTATATGATCAGTTACCTAAACACAGCCTTGTTTTCTGTGTGAACTAGTGCATTTGGAACTTACCCTCGGGTCACTGCAATGAAACTGAGGTTGAAGCCTGAGCAGGTGAAGCCGTGAGACTCTGGGGACTAAAACGTCTTCTGACCTGATTGTCCAAATCCATAAATAAAACACGTAGGAGCAACACTGCAGATTGGCCTGTTTTCTTATATCCCTTTAGAGCAAAGGAAAGTACATGTTGCCGGCGTATAAGAAAAATAAAAAGGTGTGCTAATAAATCATAGACTTTATAATGGGGACAGACAGAGCCACCCTGCGATCTGAAGTACTCATTAAGTGCAAAGCTTTTCTCCCTCTGGTTTTGGCTTCTGGTTGGCAGCTCCAGTATATTAAAAATGCTGTAGACCTGACAAGATTCAGGAAGTACAAAAACAGTAGTCCAGTTCTCAGGTCTCCGCACTGTCTTTCTGTGACTCAGATTGTGGCTTGTGTACAAGTCTCTCCATGGCCTTACACCAAAGTACATCTGTGACATCTTGGTGTCATAAGAACCGGCTCAGACTTTAAGGAGCACAGGACTAAACTTGGAGAGGCAGCGTGTGAGATATATGCAGCTACAATCTTAACAGTCTTCCTGAAAAGTTGAGACTTGATTCTTCTCTGACATTACATACTGTAGATCTATATTGGGCATGTATTTACAGCAGAGTAATGGATTAAACAAAGAAATCTTGTGTAGTGTTGTTGATTGTGTGTATTTTGTGTGTTTCAGGTGTGGATAGAGTTTGGTCGTATTAAACTTCCTCAGGGCCTCCATCCAAACGACTTGGAAGAGGAGTGGGGGAAACTCATCCTGGAAATGCTGGAGCGAGAAAAGGCTCTGAGACCAGCTGTCGATAGGTTTGTGTAATTAAATACATATTGTTATATATTTATTTGGTGAGAGTTTATCAATCACAACATACCGTCCACTCTATTACTTGACTTCTGTCCAAAAGAACCAGTTGTTGTGGTTAAGAAATCTTGTGTTGTCATGATTCAAAGAAATAATACGCATTATTACGTTGTCATTTTATGTTTGAGAGTGTGAAACAATATTTTTATAAAATATGTTAAATAAAGTCCTGGTCTACCAGCCAAGGGAGGTGAACAAGTTTTTCCACATTTAGTTAGTTTAGTTTTTCAGACGTTTCTGAGCATTTTGGGACACAATCCATCTCCTTTCAAGCTGTATTTTTAATGTTTACTTTTCCCTTTTAGACTGGAGCTGCTGCTACAAAGAGCCAATAAGATCCAGAACATGGCCCTGGACTGTGAGGAGAAACTGACGCTAGCCAAGAACACGCTACAAGCCGTGAGTGAAACTTTGGTCTCTGTAGTAACAAAAATCTAGTTATGGCTTTATGCATCAGGTGTAAACTAAATATATATATACGAGGGGACATTTAATGACACTAAATAGTTACAAAATACATACGGAGACAACAGAAAATACCATACATACACACAAGGGCACATGGTGGAGAGAGAGACTGAGAGAGAGACTCAGAGAGAGATTGAAAGAGAGACTGAGAGAGAGACAGAGAGAGATTGAGAGAGAGATTGAGAGAGAGATTGAGAGAGACTGAGAGAGAGAATGAGAGAGAGACAGAGAGAGATTGAGAGAGAGAGACTGAGAGAGAGACTGAGAGAGAGACTCAGATGTTCAGAGAGAGACTGAGAGAGAGACACAGACACAGAGAGAGAGAGAGACGGAGAGACAGACGAAGACAGAGACCATTGATTGCAGTACATTAAGAAAATTCCCTCCCGACCGTCTCCTTTTAATTGGTCTGACAAATTTGCACAAAGACTTAGGTTAATGGAGGAGCGACTGGGATTTATTGTCCGTTAATGCAATGTCTACACAGTTAAATATTTGCGTCAACTTCAGAATACATATTTGCTCATCACTTTCTCACCGTCCTGCAAACATACTGTATTGTGTGTAAGTTGCTATGAACGTTAGCACTTAGATTTCAACCTGAACTACAACGATACTGTCCACAAAACCGTTTGGCTAATCAGATTCCAAAGTGTAGTAGTAGTAGTAGTAGTAGTAAGTAATCTTTATTTATATACCGCCTTTTCACTGCACATCGGAGTCTCAAAGCGGTTTACAATTGGTGCTACAGTATATTGTTAGTTTCTGGTATTAGGGTTCACAAAGACTATTTTTTGCATGTTCTGTGAATTTAAAGCTGGTGTACCTAACTTTAAAACCACAAAAAACATATCTTTACATAAGCCACCCAGCTCTCAGTATGTACAGTATAATATGAAGTGTTTTCTAATAGATTGTATTATTTCTGATGGGATGGACATAATGTATTTATGAATCCCACAAAAGTCCAGTACCCCAGCTTTAAATGCCAGGGTGTTGATGGAGTGTGTGTCTGGTGCAGGACATGTCGCGGGTGGAAAGCGGTCAGACGGTGCAGTGCGAGCGGGAAATGGCGTGTTACCTTCAGGACTGCGAGTCTCTCATCAGGAACCTGAACCAGGAGCTGAAGGTTCTCAGGGACGAGCGGTACTACCAGGTGGAGCAGCTGGCCTTCAGGTGGGCGGAGCCAGGACTGGGCCAAAAACATGGATATTGTTTGTGCTGATAAACTACATCAATCCATCTTTATTTGTAGAGCGCCTTTCCTACACAGGGAAACGCAAAGCGTCTCACAATCCACATTACACAAAACATCACATACAAAAAATCACTAATCTTTAATCAACAATATTATTAATAATGCTAATAATAATACAAATGTCTTGTGTGTATATTTCCTCAGGGTGTCGTGCCTGCAGGAGGAGCTGGTCTCCCTCCGGCTGCAGTGCTCCAGTCTCTACAGAAAAGGTCACTTTGGTCAGACGGTGGGCACAGAGCTGACACAGAGGCCCCAAGACAGAGGTCTCTCTCTGGGGCAGACTCTGCTGGGGGCCGTGGGAGCCGTGGGGATGATGGGAGCGGCTCTGCTGAGGCGGCCCATGGATCGCTCTCAGCTCGTGGCCATGTCGTCTTCAGAGGACGAGGGCAGTCTGCGGTTCATCTACGAGCTGCTGGGATGGGTGGAGGAGACTCAGGTGAGACACAGACCCACGCCTCTGGTTTGTTGATTTAATAAGTAATATGATTATTATAATGATTAATTTTTGGATGAATTTGTTTTATTTCATTTTATTTGTTTATTTATTAGAGACACATTAATCAACCTTACTGTAAAATATTATTAGCATACAGCTAGGTTCCAACTGTGGCAAAATGCTATGTTATGCTAATGCTATGCAAACATATAATTATAGAATATACTTTTATAGATAAACTGTTTAAATACATACAATAATGTTTGGTTTTGGTCTTTTACGACATTTAAACATATTTTCTATTCAGATGTTTTTAAATGTATATATTATTTTAAATGTTGTATATTTTGTAATAATCAGGTAAGCTTGAGGCGAGGATGTTTCTACAGTCAATCTTCAATACATGGAATGCTTCTATAACGTTTTGTTTTTAGTAAAGTGGAGAGAATGTGATTTGAGTTGGAGAACAGTCCAGTCCAGTCCAGTCTGGTTCAGCAGTGGATAAAGCAGAAGAGAATGGATGGAACAGTGAGATGTTTGCAGCTCTCTGAATACAGTTGTGTGAATGTGTTGTTGCAGGACGTGCTGGAGCAGGCGGAGTGGGGCGCTGACCTGCCGTCTGTGGAGAAACACCTGACGGAGCACAACGCCGTCCACACCGCGGTGGAGGAGCTGATGAGCGGCCTGCAGGAGGCGCGCAGCTACGAGGTGCAATACAACATCCTGCTGCTCCTGCTGCTTCTCCTGCTTCTCCTTCTGCTTCTCCTTCTGCTCCTGCTTCACCTGCTTCTCCTGCTGCTCCTCCTGATTCTCCTGCTTCTCCTTCTGCTCCTGCTGCTCCTGCTTCTCCTTCTGCTTCACCTGCTTCACCTGCTTCTCCTGCTGCTCCTGCTGCTCCTGCTTCTCCTTCTGCTCCTGCTTCTCCTGCTTCACCTGCTTCTCCTGCTTCTCCTGCTGTTCCTGCTTCACCTGCTCCTCCTGCTTCTCCTGCTGCTCCTGCTTCACCTGCTTCTCCTGCTGATCCTGCTTCTCCTTCTCCTGCTGCTCCTGCTTCACCTGCTTCTCCTATTGCTCCTGCTTCTCCTGCTTCTCCTGCTACTCCTGCTGCTCCTGCTTTTCCTGCTTCTCCTGCCTCTACTGCGTCTCTTGCTTCACCTGCTTCTCCTGCTACTCCTGCTTCACCTGCTGCTCCTGCTGCTCCTGCTTCTCCTGTTTCTCCTGCTACTCCTGCTTCACCTGCTGCTCCTGCTGCTCCTGCTTCTCCTGCTTCTCCTGTGTCTCTTGCTTCACCTGCGTCTCTTGCTTCACCTGCTTCTCCTGCTGCTCCTGCTGCTCCTGCTGCTCCTGCTTCTCCTGCTACTCCTGCTTCTCCTGCTACTCCTGCTACTCCTGCTGCTCATGCTTCTCCTACTGCTCATGCTGCTCATGCTTCTCCTGCTGCTCCTGCTTCTCCTGCTGCTCATGCTTCTCCTGCTCATACAGTAATAACCTCGTTTGTAACATGTGTTTCTTTCTATCCCCAAAGTCCAAAGTGTCTCCAAACTTCAAGAGCAGTTACTCGGAGACGCTGGCGAAGCTGGAGCATCAGTACTGCAAACTGCTGGTGAGACTTTGTTCCTTGTTTGTTCAGGTTTTATTCAATTAATTCAGAGCCTGACTGAGCCCCATTCACACCTCAGTTTTTCCTCTGCCTTTATGTACTCTGAAAAACTGAAAAATATGTTTGGTTTTGTTGTAGAATTACTGCACATAACAAGAGTAAAATAATGTAAACAACCCAGAGCTGTAATTCCAAACAAAGTGTGAGTTTATTCATTAGTAAATGTGCACAATTACAATGAATAACAGAACCGATACCAATACCACCGGGCAGCCGTCCGAAATCGACTGCCCCGATTGAGGAAATAACTGTACATTAAATAGACCAGAGTAAACAAACACATATCTACTCTAGATATTACATAAATGAAGTCAACATTGATATGTGTTGCTCAAGGCTTCTCCTTACGCCTCCTAACGCTGATACAACTCTGATATATGTAACAATCTGCTTTTGAACTGAACATATTGTTCTATGACCCAGGTCAAAGACATGATGCAGCACGTCTCCATCTATCACTGACCTGAGCCAACAGAGCATCATGGCCTGTATCTGAATCCAGAGTTGACTATTAGTTAATAACTTACACTCATAACTATTTGGTGTTAATTCAGATTGCTTTACTAAAATATTTCTATAACAATCCTATCTCTTGATAAATATAAAACCTTGGTTTATCTTAATCAACTTAAAATAATAATAGAAATCACAATGATTATGAATTAACACAAAATCTGAACATTTGAGCAAACACACACAATAGTTAACTAACTTTATTACAATATTAAAACCCACACTTATATACTTGCTTAGATGAATCCCCTGACTGGGTCACAGACGTCTGCCCAGGGGAGACGAGGCGTTACTGGACCCGATGGGTCATCAGCCGACCCTCACCTCTCCCAGAATCGACGCTGTGCCCGCACAGTAGACACTCCAGCAGTGCTGGGTGCACTCTCTCTCTCCCTGAGAGTAGAACCTGAGTATGTGGATTTAAAATAGACCTGGTCCAAAGATGGTTCCAAGTCCAAGCCAATCTATTGGGTCTAAATGCTTTGTCATTAGATCTGATAACACTTAACCTTAAACATGGATGCCTCACACTTTTCTGACCTCCTGTGCTTTCCACATGGGGTCAGAGTGGGTGGAAGCATCAGAGTTAGTGCACTGATTATCAATGCTTGAAAACCCTAGCATGTGTGTGTACCACAAACCAATGCTAAATTGTGCTAATCCTGAAATGTACACAAAACAGTTTCAAAAGCCCGTTTTGACGCAATGCTGAGATAGCCTCTCTCAGTCCACCCCCATCCTCGGGGTGGGCGTCCCGGCCTCCAGGTCAGACCAGCCGATCGTCCCAGTCTCTGACTCCGCTGCGTGAAAAAGCGGGGAACAATGTACCTGACCCATGGCTCAGAGCTTCTATCTGTGTAACACCTGGTCAGAAGGCAGACCAAGTTTTGTCGTGGGGACCCTCGAGGTGGTCCCTTCCTTCGGCCGTTGGGGAGCAAGCCTTCCTGCTTCGGCTCCACTTCTGCGTTGGAAGTCGGGCACTGCCGCCCCCACTTCTTTGCTGCATCCTTGCGTTGGAGAAGGTCCTCAGACCCTTCTCGTTGGTCCCCTTTGGCTCTGGGCAGCTGGGGTCCACCTGCGGTGGGCTGGACCCATGATGGGGCGTCGACCCTCGCGGTGGGGTGCCCCCGGCACTTTTGGTTAGGGCTCTTCCTGGCATTCGCCGGACTCAGACCCTTCTCTGGCTCGACCCCCGTGGCCAAGGCGTGATGGCGCTCCGTGTCTCCCTCTCGGAGATGTGACCCCTCCTCATGGAGGGGTTGGTCACGTTTCTGAAACAATGTTTTGGCAAAAGGGTTATTTGCCCCCCCCTGCCTGTCCTCTGGGTCTGCGCTGCCAGGGCTTAGCCTCAGTCTATATAATAATAATAATAATGGTCTCCATATCACTTTACTCATGGGTTATCAGTTTGAGTTTTCAAAACACTCTTCTCTCCAGCCTTGGAGAGCAGATAAGTGCATTCTGCTGCTGTCTGCTCTCCTACATGTGCAGTCTCTCACACTAGTCAGGCCTCACTAACTAATTATTCTATGTTGGTAAAACAACAACCTATATCCTAAAGATCAAATGAACTTAAGTGTTTTGATGATTGTGTATCAAGATGAAAACTCATGGAGACCTGCAGGTGTTCAAAAACCAGGCCTGTGGGCCAATTGTGGTCCGCCAGACATTTTAGTGTCTTCTGAAATGATTCTCAATTATAATTTAGTATAAACTGGCAGTCTTAATTGCAAGGTTAATTTGAACCCCAAGGCATTATTCCTAATTTTTTTTTAAAACAAACTCCCTCTGGAAAATTACCATATACCTTCTAATGTGTTGGAAAAACCACCTGAATTGTTAACTTAACAAACTTTGTTAAATCTATTAAACTATTCTAAATACCTTCATAATGTTAAAGAAAAATGTGTATCCACAAACTGGGAAGATTCAACACTTCATTACTTTCGGCCTTGGCGTTTGTTTTGTCTGTCAGACCTCTGCTCTTATCACCCTCAAGAGTCACAGCCTTACAGAGCTTTGACAAACTGAATAATATCCTAATACTCAAAGCTATACTATACACTTGAATTTAAACAAAAAATATTAACAAGTTAAAGTTTAAAATAAATAAAACTACACTAACCACCTGGTGTATGTGGGGTCTCTACCATTTAACAACTAAAAACTATTGAAAACGTATCCAAACATATGGTAAATACTGCTTTATGTGAAACCCATATATGACCCACACAACACAATCCTCATTTATCGACCATGTCCCCCTTACTTTTACTGTAAACATGTGTCTGTAAATACATATATGTGTGTGCTGCTGTATGTGTATGTAAAATACACAAAATGAATGTAACGAGTGGTATGTGTTCATATGTTCTTTGGGTAGCAAACATACTTATAATATACTTGGTTTTATTACGTGTACTGTAGTATCATCACAGTGTTAAAGACTTACCATTTCCATATTCTTGACCTAGAGAGTGTTCTAGATTTATTTACAGATGTGTAAATACAAGTATACATTTATTTACACTAGAGTACACAATACTTTACCTTGTACCTTTACCGAGCCAAATTATTTTACATTCAAAAGTATAGAGTTGTGCTACACTTACTATTCACCTGTCTTGTGTTGTAATGCAACACTGAAATGTCCCCACTGTGGGACGTCTGAAAATCTCTTAATCTTATCATTACTGACTGTTGCTAAAATGAAAACTGACTAAAACAAGTGCAGTCAAAAATCACATAATGCAGCAAAAAAAAACAAAAACTGGGGTCCCCCTTTGGCCTTCGTGCACCTATTGAAGGAAAAATATAAAACCTTAGAATTACAAAAATATGCATTTGCCAAGTCTACCACTACAACAACAAAAATACTTGGCTTTAAACATTTTTGGAGTCCTCATGAGGAAAATAGATAAACGATTTGGACCTATTTTGCTTCTGGTTTATTTTGTTTATTGCAAAGATGGCTTTGTTTACGCCTCTGCAATGATTACTCCAGCCTCTGCCAGAGTTATTTAACACGCCTCATTTTCAGAGCAGTCGCTCTGACGTCTGACACTGTCTCTCTGTGACGTAGAAGTCGAACTCTCCACGTCTCTATGTTTTGGCTGAAAATGTCTTTTCAGCTGTTTTATGCCAATCACACACTCTCGCACTTCTGTTCCCAAGATCTACAAGCCCCTCCCACTCTGCGGCTCTAGGCTCTAACAGAAACAATGTGTAATGTTGTGTGTGTGCTGTGGGTCATTATTGTCCTTATCTCTCTCATACTATTCTCTCTCTCTCTCTCTCAGATACATTCACACCAAACTCTGTTTTCTACATCACAATCGAGCAATGCATATTTCCAAAGTTATGAAAACCTCAGGTCGTCTGACTAAAACATTACATTTACTAAATTGATTGTGAGATTTGGTGACAATTTACATTCAAATACATTATAGACAGACAACTTCTGTCAGAGTACTATTATACTACAAGGGATTTTTACCATCTTATTTCTTATTTTTACACACAGACCACAGATTTAGTCTCGGCTGTGGAAAACAACTGGGCAATTTGAAAACACAGAAACTCTGGTTAACTCACAACCTTCAGATTATTCAGAACATTTCAATGGATTTATGAAAAATTCCTTTGTCATGTTTTGCCTCTAAAGAAAAGAATGTGTCCTTCACCCATTCGGGGACGTTATGTAATAAATAAAGTCCTTAATCAAGGAGTATGTGGCCCACGGAATTGATTAAAGTAACCTATCCCCCACTCTATTTTTCTCTTCTTTTTTTTTTTCTCTGACAATAGGGTTTGTCAAGCTACTCTAGACTTTAGAATAGTCTAAATTTGTGCATACGTCAATGATCACATCCATCCCCAAATGAGTGCTTGTGTTTGTGTTGTCCTGACTTCTGGACATGTGTAGATGTGTGTTTGAGTCATGTTTTGTTTACGATACCCGGACCATGGTCTGCCTCGTCCAGATCGTCCGTGGGACCCTCCCAGACCCTCGTCCTCCAGTCAGTCAGTCCCAGATCGTTCATGCTGGTTCCTGTGGAACTGTCCGGAAACGTGGTGGGCCTGGGGCCATTTTGTCAGAACCAGTTGTTGCTTTGTCTCTGTCCACTCTTTGACTGCTGCTGTGGGCGGGGCTTCCCTTGTCAGTGGGAAAGTTTCTTGTGAACTGCCCTATCTCTTCACAGGGGTAGAAGCCTGTGGTCCTCTCTCTACACAGGGATAGAAGCCTGTGTTCCCACCTGTATCAGGGCGGGTGATGGGCGGAGGGGGGGGCAGAGTTCTTGGCATGACTGGTTTGGGCACAGGGGGCCGGGGACAGAGTTCTTGGCTTTCATGACTGTTTGGGGCACCAGACTTGTCCGTGTTGGGCTTTGTGGGTAACTGACGAGGGTTCTGGTTCAGGAAGGGGTTTGTCTCACCCTCCATATCATTGTCCTCCATCAGAGTCTGAGGTTTGGGGACGTTTAGTCACACGTCCAGGGTCTAGGTCGGGGTCCACACATCTGACCGGCTCAGAAGCATCCACGATCCCAGGGTTATCTATGTGAAAATAGAAAAAAAAAAAAAGATACGGCAGTAACTCGCCCTTTGATAGATTGCGTGTGCGTGTTTGCGTGCATGTGTGTGTGTGTGTGTGTGTGTCGTCGCGCCTATACGCCTCTTGATAGAGTATTCAGATTGTTCGATTGGGTCTCTTACATACATTCATGCTCTCATTCTGACTTTCCATTCGCTCTCCACACAGACTTGTATTTCTTTGTTTATCAGTCACTCTCACAGTCATTCTCGGTCACTCCAGTTCAAGTCTTATCACTCCTGGCTCACTTCACACATCTCATGTCACTTTCATACCAGTCTGAGTCGCCCAGGACTGTACTGGTTCTGGGCTCTGTATGTGTTTGTGTTGTAGGCATGGTGTTGTCCCCAAATTGTCTACTCTGTCTATTTGTTTTCTTTCGTTCCCTTCTTTCTGCCTCATTTATCCACACATTCAAACATTTATCATGTTTAATGATCTCATGAATAATATCAGATGACATTTTCTTTTTCTTGGGTATATTAAGTCTTTCTTTTTCCAAGTTTTCTCTGAGTTTATATAATTGGTTCAAACTGAACGATCCTCCTTCAGGGAAGCCGTATTTCTCGGACCATACATTTAAACATTCAAGGGCCGTTGGCCCATATTTTCCGGCCATTGCCTTCGTCACCGCGGTTTGTGGGACCTTGTCCCTGTCAGATGATGATGATCCCTGATTTTGACCCATCTTGGCCCACTCTGGCTGTCCTTATTCTCCTTACTATGCCCTCACTAGTCCAAGTCACGCTAGTTAATACACGATTAACCCTTAACCCTGCTAGTTAAAGTCCAGCCAGTTAAAACATCTGTTCCATTTAACTCTTAAAACTCACCAGTTCAAGTCAAGCCAGTTAACACCCGGTTAGCTCTTAAAACTTACTAGTTAAAGTCAAGCCAGTTAAAACATTTGTAACCCATTTAACTCTTAAAACTCACCAGTTCAAGTCAAGCCAGTTAACACCCGGTTAGCTCTTAAAACTTACTAGTTAAAGTCAAGCCAGTTAAAACATTTGTAACCCATTTAACTCTTAAAACTCACCAGTTCAAGTCAAGCCAGTTAACACACGGTTAGCTCTTAAAACTTACTAGTTAAAGTCAAGCCAGTTAAAACATTTGGAACCCATTTAACTCTTAAAACTCACCAGTTCAAAGTCAAGCCAGTTAACACACGGTTAGCTCTTAAAACTTACTAGTTAAAGTCAAGCCAGTTAAAACATTTGGAACCCATTTAACTCTTAAAACTCACCAGTTCAAAGTCAAGCCAGTTAACACACGGTTAGCTCTTAAAACTTACTAGTTAAAGTCAAGCCAGTTAAAACATTTGGAACCCATTTAACTCTTAAAACTCACCAGTTCAAAGTCAAGCCAGTTAACACACGGTTAGCTCTTAAAACTTACTAGTTAAAGTCAAGCCAGTTAAAACATTTGGAACCCATTTAACTCTTAAAACTCACCAGTTCAAAGTCAAGCCAGTTAACACACGGTTAGCTCTTAAAACTTACTAGTTAAAGTCAAGCCAGTTAAAACATTTGTAACCCATTTAACTCTGAGAACAGGACAGCCAAGGCCTCTCACTGGGTAAAAAAATGGGGCTTTTAGTTTTGCGCAGAGAGATAAAATACGGGGCTCTTTTGACAGTTTGAAAAGAATACAGCTCTTACCACACTTGTTGTTTAAGTTGGTTCGTTTGATCACCATGCGCTGGACGGGTCCGCCAGGTGTGGAGCCAGAAATCCTCCTTTATCTCGAACGTTGCGAGGGGGAGGACCGACTCAAGGTCGGGGTTGCGACCCTTCCCGGATCCAAACACAGCGGACCCAGTTCCAGACGACGGGACTGTTCGTTGACGCCAAATTGTTGTAGAATTACTGCACATAACAAGAGTAAAATAATGTAAACAACCCAGAGCTGTAATTCCAAACAAAGTGTGAGTAAGTAAGTAAGTAAGTAAGTAAGTTATTATTTATATACCGCCTTTTCACTGCAGATCTGAGTCTCAAAGCGGTTTACAATTGTTAATTTTGGGCATTTGTCTCTCACTCCACACAGAGATGGGAGCAGGGTCGCCAGTACAGGAGGCGCATGCCAGAACTATTGGACATATTTTTAGTGGTAGGGGAAACCGGAGTACCCGGAGGAAACCTACGCAGACACGGGGAGAACATGCAAACTCCACTCAGAAAGGCCCTGGTCCGGCCGGGATTCGAACCCAGGACCTTCTTGCTGAGAGGCGAGAGTGCTATCCACTCAGCCACCGTGTCGCCAGAGTTTATTCATTAGTAAATTTGCACAATTACAATGAATAACAGAACCGATTCCAATACCACCCGGCAACCGTCCGAAATCGACTGCCCCGATTGAGGAAATAACTGTACATTAAATAGACCAGAGTAAACAAACACATATCTACTCTAGATATTACATAAATGAAGTCAACATTGATATGTGTTGCTCAAGGCTTCTCCTTACGCCTCCTAACGCTGATACAACTCTGATATATGTAACAATCTGCTTTTGAACTGAACATATTGTTCTATGACCCAGGTCAAAGACATGATGCAGCACGTCTCCATCTATCACTGACCTGAGCCAACAGAGCATCATGGCCTGTATCTGAATCCAGAGTTGACTATTAGTTAATAACTTACACTCATAACTATTTGGTGTTAATTCAGATTGCTTTACTAAAATATTTCTATAACAGTTTCTATGTTGTTTTTGTGATGTAATTGATCATTCAAGCCATAAAAACCCACAGGGAGGACACAGAGCACAGATGCAGGTTTGGATTTAACACGAAACACTGATATTTGAGCAACATGTTTCTGTCTATGTATCAATTAATACATTGATAAAGTTGGTCAGAAGTTTTATCTTTTCTGATTATAAAGCTGCAATTTCTTTTCTGCAAAAAATTACTGTAAATTCCTGGGTCGCCTTGCATGAGATTCAGATTACAAGAGTTCCTTTATTCGTCCCACAGTGGGGAAATTTCAGTGTTACATCACAAGTTATAGAACAGTAGGAAAGAGGAGCTCACGGCACAAGTTAAGTGAACAATAGCTGTACTAATTCAAATAAAACCAAATCTCTAACTCTAGCATCAAATAACAAGTATAAAATCTCTATCTTGAAAACAATAATAATGAAAAAGAACTAAAAAGTTTTACATATGGCAAAATAAGAGGCAATTATGAGCTGCGCATTTCAGATTTTTTAAGTTTGGTAAAATAAAGGTTGTGTCATCATTCATAATTTCCACAATTATGGCCAAAACAATGACCAGACTGGGTGCGTAGAAATAACATTGTTGGGTGTTTTTAATTGTTTTTGTGAAGCCTTTTGAATTCCCTTGTGTACAAATCGTGCTATACACATAAATTCTGGTGGACGGATTGATGGTGTAGCCCTCGCTGACGCCATGTTGTTGTCGTCTCCATAGGAACAGTCGTCGTGGCGCCTACGGAGTCTGGAGAGTCTTCACGGGTTTGTGTCTCGCTGCACCGAGGAGCTGATCTGGCTCAACGAGAGAGAGGAGGAGGAGCTGCCCTTCGACTGGAGCCACCACAACCACAACATGAGCGGCAAGAGGCAGATACACACTGTGAGTCCCCGGCAACACAATACAACACATGTCAAGCCTGGTTAGCCCTCTCGCTTTTCAGTAAGAATATCCTAGGTTCGAATCCCGGTCAGAACAGGGTCTTTTTGTGAGGAGTTTGCATGTTCTCCCCGTGTCTGCGTAGGTTTTCTCAGGGTGCTCCGGTTTCCCCTGCCATTAAAAACATGTGCAATAGGTCTGAATGTAATGAGTTAGTGAATGGATGGTGTTGGGTCGGAGGCTTTGATGGTCCAGTGTGTTCGGCGTCTCGCTTCTTTCATGACCGTGTGAAGAGAATGGAAAAATATCTGAACATTGTAAAACGTTTTGGGCGACGTTGGTCTGTAAAATTGTGCTATATAAATAAATATTACTCATATACAACAGCAGCTGCCTAAAGTGCCGCGCATGAAATGATTGTCTTTGGTTGCCAGAAACGGAGTGTTGTCCATTTCCTCTGGTCTCTCTCCCTAAAATACGTTTTAATCTTAATCTAGAATAGAGATGTGTTTGTGTAAACTCAGTCGTACGGAGATTATTCAAACGAAGGAAAGTTGCTTTCTCTTCATCTGTACTTTAGTTAGCAGGTTTTCTCATGTTTCGTTCTTAATCCAAAGAACTTTCTCACTCTAACTCTCGGCTGAGCGTTCATTTCCTTGAGAACGTTTTTTTGATTAAGAACAAAAAACGTAGGAAAACTTGTAAACTGAAGCACAGATGACGGGTGAGCCCCCTTCCTTTGTCTGAAATAGAGATGGAACATTTTCCAGACAAACTGATGGCCGATATTCTCTGCCAACATTTTTAACAGATTTTTAGCTATAATTAGACCTTGGCATATTAATCAAATTTACTTTAGTGTACTTACTGGACTTGTATATTGCAGTAATTTGAAGAAATGTTATGTAAATGTTTTTATTTTATGCTTACCTTTTTAAATGTTTACATCTTGTTACTCACAATTGAAATAAATATAGTTCTGTGGCAACCTTCACTTCTGATTGGCTCTTTGGTTGCCAGGTCGTAGCTATCCGGAAATGAGTTAGCCTTGAGTTTACCTATGATATCGAACTAAAGTTCATTGAAGCTATTAATATTACAATGGTGTGTATTTTATCCACTTTTTTGTACTCTGGGTCTTTTTGTACTTCTGGGTCTTTCCCTCACGTCTCAAAAGTAGGTTAACCTAAACACAGTGTTGTTTTAAATGTTCTGCTTCTATCTGGGACATGGGGCAGTTTCCTTTGTTGAGACTAATACAATGCACCGTATTGCCTTAATGCAAATATGTTGATGTCATTCCGCTGATTATCATTTGTAATTTCCTGTTCTGTTTTGTAGGAAACGAGGTTAGAGCTGGAGGACAAACAGGAAGTGATGCGGTCGCTCCAGGAAACGGCCGGACGCCTGTGTCAGGAGAACCATCCCGCCAAACAAACCGTAGAGGTAAAACAAAGAGACGAAGGCGCACAAAAAAACCTAATAGTGCATTTTTTTAATGCATTTTTTATGGTTTAATCCTGAATTATTGACGAGAATTTATGGCAACTGTGGTTTAAAGCCGTGCACATTTTCATTCTAAAGAAAAGCCTCACTAACTGCAGTTACATTATTGTATTTTTAAGTTTTGCATCAGGAACAGGAGGGAAAACACAAGACCACGTAGTGCATTTAGAACCCACCATTTGCATAAACGTCTACACAGGTACATGCTTGCAGTACGGGGAAATCTGATGTTAAAGCAAGGTAAACTGAGGAGTGTGTATTAATAATAATGAAAATAATAATAGCCACAGCTGTCCTGGGGCACACTAACAGAAGCGAGGCTCTGAGGCTACCTCTTGATGGCCACCAACCATTCACACACACACACACCAGACTTATTCTAGACAATGTTGGTGAAGTGTCTTGCCTAAGGACACAACCACAGTTTGGCACTTTACAGCCGGAGCCGCTCCACTGTGGCACCTGGTGTAGAGCCCTGCACTTGAGCCCTTGGCCCGAGTGCCCCGACGGCCCGACAGCCCGAGGGCCGGGCTTCGGGCCGATGACCGCATAATGACCTCGGACACGGGCCGGGCTCGGGCTCTTCATTTTCAGAGCGGCAGAATACATTTACGAACGCACCCACTGAATATAGCGTTCTATCACGCTGTAGTGTTTGTTGTTCTGTGTAGTGTTGTCATTGACGGCACATAGCGTTACTTACAGGTGTGTTGCAGCATCTGGGCATCATACAGCTGTGTATCATACAGATGTTCACTCTGCACCACTCCGCACACACAGAACTCATTGCAACACATCACTACCATGTATAACTCCGCCCTCTAGCTAAGTCTGCGTTCATATCAGTGCGCGGCACTATATACTACGCTAAAACATTGTTATGGGAGGTTACAAAAAAAAAAAAAAAGGCGGGCTTGATGCGGGTTTTGGGCCTGAAAATTGAGAAACCATATCGGGCCGGGCCTATGGAGCTATTATTGTTTCAATAATATTTGTGTGTGCGTAAAAAGATTTGTGCGTGCGTAACCAGATTTGTGTGTGCGTACCCAGATTTGTGTGTGCGTAACCAGATTTGTGCGTGCGTAACCAGATTTGTGTGTGTGTAAAAGAAATATTTGTGCGTGTGTAAATAGATTTGTATGTACGTATCAAGATTTGTGTGTGCGTAAAAAGATTTGTGTGTGCGTAAAAAGATTTGTGTGTGCGTAGAAAGATTTGTGTGTGTGTAAAGAAAAAAAAAAGTACGTTTTTACACACAAGTTTTTTTTTACACACGAATCTTTTGACGCAGTCCTGCCTTCGCAGATTCGCAAGTGTAACTTGGACTGTGTGCGTGCGTAAACAGATTTGTGTGTGTGTAATTTGACATTTGTATCTGTAGCAGAACAATTTGTGTGTAAATAACCGCGTTGTACAAAGAGAAGAACGAAAAAAGCCTAAGTGCTACGCACAGGCTCTGTTTTACACACGAATCTCTTTTTGACACACCTCTGCCGCCAAGCGTGTGTCAAAAAGATTTGTAAGTGTAATGTGGTTGTTCTAGCAGTACACCAGCAGATGGTGCTGTTGTAGCTGGTTATTACCTACACGCAAGCAAACCAAAACCTACTGCCTTGACAAGACACACTACCGCAGCTGTTTATGATATTTTTTTCCTATTTTCAAAATCCTGTCATTCACACCACTGTATGATACATGGATCTATTATAATAACTGGATAGGGTGTTACTAGCTTGGAGCTGAGGGATTCTCACGTACTGCAGACTAAATTCACGTTGGCTACACAGAAATTTTCCCCATAGAACTCAAAGTAAACTAAAACAGCTGACAGATAACCTACAGCTTTCATAAAGGTCGGATTTTGTGGGAATTTTAGTGTTCCTTGTCATCCTGAACTTTTCTTCTTCTTAAATCCTTCGGTTTTCTCTATCTACACTTGTTGGTTTGCTTGCGTGTAGGTAATAACCAGCTACAACAGCACCATCTGCTGGTGTACTGCTAGAACAACCACATTACACTTACAAATCTTTTTGACACACGCTTGGCGGCAGAGGTGTGTCAAAAAGAGATTCGTGTGTAAAACAGAGCCTGTGCGTAGCACTTAGGCTTTTTCCCGTTCTTCTCTTTGTACAACGCGGTTATTTACACACAGATTGTTCTGTTACAGATACAAATGTCAAATTACACACACACAAATCTGTTTACGCACGCACACAGTCCAAGTTACACTTGCGAATCTGCGAAGGCAGGACTGCGTCAAAAGATTCGTGTGTAAAAAAAAAACTTGTGTGTAAAACGTACTTTTTTTTTTCTTTACACACACACAAATCTTTCTACGCACACACAAATCTTTTTACGCACACACAAATCTTGATACGTACATACAAATCTATTTACACACGCACAAATATTTCTTTTACACACACACAAATCTGGTTACGCACGCACAAATCTGGTTACGCACACACAAATCTGGTTACGCACGCACAAATCTGGTTACGCACGCACAAATCTTTTTACGCACACACAAATATTATTGAAACAATAATAGCTCCATACGGGCCGGGCTGGGGCACCACCCCCTCGGGCCAGGGCCGGGCTCGGGCCCAGATAATAGGCCCGTGCAGGGCTCTAACCTGGTGTTCCCAGAGGTCTCCCATCACAGTATTAACCAAGCCCTGCCCTGCATTGTGTGTGTGTGTTCTAGCAGATTAAATGTAGCCGTTGTGACCTGACCTTTCCATTTTAAATTATATTATGTTATGATACATTCAGATTATTATCATGTTACTTTCAGTCACCACCACTATTCTTTAATGTGTGTTTCTAGTTGTTGTTGCTTTACTTTTGGGCAAAATATTTACTCCTTGCTCAGAAATCTTATCCTGTCTAATGGAATGCTAATAAATATCTTGTCAAATATTATAAGTTTGTAGTTGTGTCTAAAGTGCGTGGTCTGCGTGTTCAGGCCTACAGCGCTGCTCTGCAGACTCAGTGGCAGTGGGTGAAGCAGCTCTGTGTCTGTGTGGAGCAACATCTCAAAGACAACACTGCGTACTTCCAGGTAACTTCCCCATAACTTTACACATGTATTTATATGTTTGACAATGCTTTCTGTTGTAGAAAAAGTGGTTGTGATGAAACTCAATTGTTTTAATCTGTAAAGAATTACCACCAAATATGGATCAAAATTGAAACCTCCTGTTTCCTCTGTCTCCAGTTCATGAGCGACGCCCGGGACAGCGAGTCGTACCTGCGGCAGCTCCAGGACACTATAAAGAGACAGTACACCTGTGACAAGAGCAGCAGACTCAGCAAACTGGAGGATCTCCTGCAGGACTCTATGGTCAGATTTGACTTTTACACCCTCCATTTTAAGATGCTAGCAAAGCAAGTGTATTTGTATAGCACAGTTCATACACAAGCAACTCCAAATTGATTAACAAATAATAAAACAAAACATTAAAATCACAAATAATAAAACGAGCGAAGATACAATCCTTCAGTTGTAGCACAGCTGAACAGAACTGTTTTAACCTGGATTTCAACATTGTCAGAGAAGAAGCTTGTCTCACATTTTTTCAAGAATCACCCGGTTGTGCAAAAGACAGATCAATAAAGTCTATCTTTCTTATCTTATCTTATTCTAAAGTAGAGATGTATCATTGGCTCTTTTCTGCCAATAAGCTCTGTTCACATTTTTTCCATTTTTACTATAATTCTATCACGGCTAATGATTTAACTGTATTTGAAATTGATTTAGAAAGCCGTAGTCTCTCAGTTCATACCAACAATAACAGTCTGACTTGTGTCCAGCCGTTAGCAGATCGTCACAAATGAAGTGAGAAAGCGTTAGCCCGGTCTTTAGCCTCCGAGTCCCGTCTCACGTGGAGCAGTGAAGTGTCGCTGATTCATCTCCCCATCTTGTGTTCACACGCACAAACACTGTCCTGACTCCAACAGATGGTGGCGCCGCAGAGGGCCACAGGACCAAACAAGCGCACAGGGAGACCAGGGTTTGCACACACGGCTGGTTAGTGAGAGGCGGACAATTCAGGCGTTCAAAATATAAATATAAATTTTTCCCAGTTTTCTAGAAAAAAGTGGTTGTGATGAAACTCAATTGTTTTAATCTGTAAAGAATTACCACCAAATAAGGATCAAAATTGTTTTTTTTGCTTATTTTACTTATTGTATTTTCTATTTTAAATTCTTATTCTTTGAGTCTAAGAGAAAGACAACAAAATACACTTCAGAGAAATACCAAAACATGACGATTTGTTGCAACAAAACATGAATTTTACAATTTTAAAGAAAAACCATTGGCCCTTCATGATTATTAATCTATACACTTTGCTATTTCATGGCTTTGAATGTGAAATAATATCTTCTGTACAAAATATATATAATATAAAATAAAATGATGGAATTGGCCTGCACTACCCTGCAGCCCTACCGGCTGCTTTTCAGATTCATGCTGCTAAAATCTGGAACAGTCTTCCTGAAGATGTGAGACAGGCCTCCTCTCTGACAATGTTTAAAACCAGGTTAAAGACAGTTCTGTTTAGCTGTGCATACAACTGAGGGATTTTATATTTTTATCTTTCTTTTTAATGTTCTGTGATTATTTATGATTTTAATGCTTTCTTATTTTGTTCAGCACTTTGAATTGCCTTGTGTATGAATTGTGCTATACAAATAAACTTGCCTCGCCTTGCCTTACCCTCTGCTACCACCTGTATTTACGCATTTTTGTGTGTGTTGTTACTGTGTTTTCAGGAGGAGAAGGAGCAGCTGATCGAGTACCGGCGCGCAGTGGCCGGTCTGGTGGGACGAGCCAAGAGTGTGGTCCAGCTCAAGCCTCGCAGCGCAGACACCCCCCTGGCCTCCACCACCCCCATCAAAGCCATATGTGACTACAAGCAGATAGAGGTAACACACACACACACACACACACACACACACACACACAATACTGCTCTAGTAAAACACAAAAAAATATGTTTGAGAAGATTCTAGGTTTGACTCCTGGCTAGCTCGCCACATTTATTTATGTAGCATATATGGATATTACGAGTCCATTCTTGGCCATTTCTCACAATCACCAACTTTCCGAGCCTCCTCCCTGGGTCACTCCTCTTTTTTAATACAAATTACAAACAATTAGGGATATTTAGGGAAAGACTTATTTACGTAGGTTCAAAATGGTATTTTTTGGTGCTTTGTTCAGTCCACAGATTAAAGTTGATGACAACAACGTTTTTTAAAATAATGTATATTTCTGACCATTCCGCTCTGTACTAATAGTTGGTAGACAGCAGGTATTGCTGGAGAATAGCTGCACCAATGACGAGGATCCTCAAGGAATATAACTAATTTCAACCAATCAGATGGCTGCTAGGGTAATCTATTATTCAGATTAAAACTATTATTAATCGCTCTAAAAGATCATTTTGTGTGTGTAAATGATTGAAAAAAGGTTAAGCGTGTTCTGTTGCCAACTAAGTGTATACAAATAAGTATTGGAGTAAACTTTTGTTATTGACTAATTACTTTTTTTCCACCATAAATTACAAATAAATTCTATTATATCTGTATTTTTCTTCTCATTTAGTCTCTCATAGTTTAGGCATACCACTGATGAAAATTACTGGAGAATCAAACAGTTCCAACACATCTTTTAAAGTGGAAGAACTTTTTCACGATTGATGGCTGACTAAATACTAAATACAACCCTTTTGCCAATCACAGAGTACAGTAAAACCATTTCTGTAAGAACCCAGACTTCATCATTAATAACACTTGTTAGAAGACGGTTTTCACATAATATGCAGTGGTTTGGAAGTATTGTGTCTGTCTTGATAACCTTCTGACTGTAATCTGTCTCTTGGATGTGACCTCTGCCCATACCTATTCAAAGATGCATTAGAAAACACCAAAAATAGCACGTGAAAGTAACTCAGCAAAGTGCATCTGTCTCTTTATGCTATACCGTGATGCAGGGCTCGCAGTCGGCTCTTAAACCTCATACATTATACATAAGAAGTGCACCTTTCACTTTACTACCACCCACTCCCCACTGGACCTGCAGCTTTTGTAACTTAAAAATCTCTCTCTCCTTCACTTTCCTCTGTCTATCTCTCATCCCTCCTCCTCCATATTGTTTTTGCCTCATCCTTCACCCCTCCCTTGTTCCCGACACTTCCCCCCTCGTCTGTCGGCCGGGTTGGCAAAGACAAACGTTCAGGTATAGCTGCCAATGTTCTGCCTCTCTCACCTCAAACTCACACACTGCACACGCCGTCCTGCACACACACGTGACTGCTGGTTTCACATGTTTCGACCCACACGTCCTGATGATTGAAAACATAAACAAAAAATAGAAGCATGGACTGTATATGTCACATGTCATTTGAGATGGATCTGTGGTCATGTTTTAGCTAAATAGCATATGGAAGCCATGGATGCTTTTTGATTTAGTACCATAGATTATAATTGGTTCAAATTCAATGTATTAGTATGCATAGCCCTAAATCACAACAGTAGTCGTCTCGGACTATGCAAAGTTGTTGATTTTCCAACAACAGATCAGAGAGTCAAACAGTTCAACACACAGGAAATGCAAAAATAACAAACATATAGGAGCCATTGGTGAATAGGGACCACTGTCCTAAGGAACCACCACTGCTAGTACTACGTATCATCCTGCCATTTTACATTCTATATTTTAGATAAAGATAGAAATGGATAGATAGATGTTGAAGCATTTACAGCTAACTAAGAAACAAAGCAAATGTTACAAAATATACCCACTGTGCGATGAATAAAGGTTCCGATCTTATCATATATTATCTTATAAAAATCCAGTGGGAAATAAATTGAGAAATCTTGGGGAGACACGCATTGAGAGGCCTATTAAATATAAAATTGCATATTTGCTCTGATGTATAGGTTGACCTGTAGTTATGGACATTGTTTTGAACCACTTTCACATGATGCATTTCAAACGGAACATTATGCCAAAAACACATCTCCTGAGTAAATTGGCCGCTTTATAAACAGTGAGCCAACAGCCCAGTTCACTGATAACACGTCTCTAAATCAAACGCAGGGTGAAATCAGCAGGTACGAGGGCAGGCGGAGCTGAAGTAATTGGTGTGTGCAGTTCGTTCAGCTGTGTACTTTATGTGAATGTTCCCGTGTCGTTTGTGACGTGTGTGAGGGGAGAGGGGAGAGAGAGGGGGGGGAGAAGGGGGGAGAGAGAGGGGAGAGAGAGGGGTGAGAGAGAGCGGCGTGAGTGGGAGTCTATGTGCAGCTTCAGTCTCCCACCGCATACATTTAACTGCTCTAAAATTATAATACTACGCGCTTTCCTGAGTCAGCAGTATTCAGTAATCACCTCCTTATTACTGCTCCCATGTCGACGCTTAAGTGACGACAGCTTTGGCTTAACTTTACCTGTGCAAAAGCAAAAGCAAAGCCATTCTCCTTGCATTTCTATTTCACTTCTGCTGCAACTTCATGAAGAAAAGAAAAACCCATACGCATTTTGTTTTGGATTTAGGGCCATTGATTTCTATTAATTTATGTGTATACTTTATTTTTTTTCTCTTTATTTTCTCTCATTCGCACTGCATTCCTCTGTCAACTTTCCGATTTCGGTTCATTCATTCTCTTCTGTCATTTCTCCTTCGTCTGTCCATCTATAACACCCATGGCTTGTTATTCCAACCTAAATTCTCCTCATATTTCATCTGGTTTTGCTCCTTCCCGTCTCTCTTTTCTGTCATTTCTGTCTTGTCCCCTCGTCTCCGCTCTCCTCTCCTCTGTCCTTTCTGTCCCGTCTTCTCCTTTCCCTCCTCTTTCTCCTTTCTCTCCTTTCCCTGCTCTCTCTCCTCTCTCCTTGTCTCCTCTCTCCTTGCCTCCTCCATTCCCACGTTTCTCAGATCACCATAAACAGCGGAGAGGAGTGTGTTCTGGAGGACAACTCACATCGGACCAAATGGAAAGTGATCAGTCCGACGGGAAACGAGGCCATGGTCCCCTCCGTGTGCTTCACCATCCCCCCTCCCAACCAGGACGCCATCGACACGGCTGCCCGGTGAGCGAGCTAAAAATACACCTGAGAGCCCCCTGTGGCGCTGGTAACTGATGGGCTGGGTTTACTGGTGTCAAATGAATTAAGATTGTCTAGAAAATTATATACATTCACCTTTTACGGTTCAATTCAATGCAGTTTGTGGAGCCCTAAATCTCCTCAGAGGACTTTACAAAGTTGTCGATTCTCCAAAACAACAGAATCAACTACAGTCAGTACTAGGGTTTAATCCCGGGACACAGGATTCCCGGGAAATCTGATCAAAACAATTTCCCGATTCCCGGGAAATGTTATGACGGGAAACGGGAAATGAAAGTAAAACAAAAAATACAGTGCGCTCCTATTATAAAGTACGTTTATTGTTCTTCAAAGTTCAAACATATTTCATTTACAATCAACATGTCTACAGCTGAGAGGATGGCTCATAAATTGTGTTTTTGACAACAAATATGGGTCTTAATCGCGCTAAACCACGACTTGTAATGAGGCCGGCCTCAGGGTACGGGGCACATGTGAACCCAGAATTTGGCTACATCCAATTCTATCAGAAAGCTCCTTTCTTTTTTTCCATCTGCTAAGGGACGCAACAGGTTTGGCTAACATACAGATAACACATTTTAAGATCATATAAAATGCATTTAGGGTAATGTTCTGCTTCCAATGACGATAGGAATGATAAGGAAGAGAGGAGAAGGGTAAGAAGGTTGATATTAGAAATTGGATGCGCCCGAGAGCCGGCTGCAGCGAAACACAGGAGTTTATGGAGAAGACACCCGTTTTGTTTTACGCTTTAAAACTCTTTGGGCTTATTTCCAAATGGGGGATTACATATCTGCGCTCAAACTATTATCTGGACTTAAACATGAAACTGGTCTGAACTGAAGCGGTCTGTGCTGTTCATTAATAACTAAGGTAAGACCCATAACACAATTGGAAATGTGCCTTTTACGAACTTTTGCGTTTTGTATGAGCAAACAATGCGGGCATGGAACATATTCTGCTGTAGCCAAACTAATTGTGAATAAGCCGCTTTGTAGGTTCTGTTGATTTATATGATATATGTTCATCTGATTAGGCTGAAGTCAGTGCCTCCAAACCACACCGCACGTCACTGGTCGACAAGTGGATTGCGCAGACATTTAGAATCTCATAATAGTGAAATTCCTGAAGAAAGCCCATCAACAAAACCTCTGAAAACGCTATGGCTACTTTAGCAAAGCTAGAAAGTCGCTTGGTGAAACACTAGTGGAGATGGCAGCTTTTGTTGGATTATATATTTGAGTGATATCATACATTACTTGGGCTAAAAACAACAACTACAAACAACAGCTATTTCCCGGGATTTCCCGGGAAAGGCGTCGTCTTTTCCCGGGATTTGATATGTCTCATTTTCGGAAAAAATATTAAACCCTAGTCAGTACTACATCAGTCTGATTCTTGGTAGAGTGGGATGGCTGCTAAATCGTCGTTTTGCAGCTAGGCAACACACCTCACCCACAATGCAAAGAGAAAGTCATAGCATCTTTGGATGTGTCTCTGTGGAAAGCGCTTCATAAGAAGCCACATCTAGATGTGGTAAGATAACTTACCACATCTAGAAAGAGAGCATTTCTTTGCTTTTGTGTGTCGGCAAAACCAAAACACAGAATACATTTGATTTATTTTGTATATTTGTTTAAAATTGTTTTTATTTATCTGTTTGATATGGAAACAACTGTTACATTAGACAGACTAGATGCGTATATTTAACATTTACAAATATAAAATTAAGTAAATGTACAATTCCTTAAACATGTGATCAAAGTTGCTTGAATTTTAGCCACAGTTTCAGACGTCTGATGAAGAGGTTTAAGTCTGTTTGTAGTTTTCAGTCAGTGAGAAGAGCGATGCACAGTCTAGCCTGAAAAGAAAAGGTCGACTGTCCAAAAGATGTTCTGAAAATGCAGTTTGTTTATTAAGATAAAACTTTATTGATCTCACAATGGAGAAATTTACAAATGTTCCTAAGCCTGATTATTAAAGAGCGACTAAACACCTGTGCCCAGCTTTACTCCGCCCACATTAAGATTTGAAATTTTTATCTAAAAAGGGCGTTGCCTGGAGGACTAAGGGACAAGAAGGGGGGCTTAGAGTTGGGCGTGGTCTGGGCTGTGATTGACAGCTCACACACAAAAAAAAAACAGACAGTTGTCATTGCTGCTTAAAGCAATAGTTTACAGACCAGAAAGTCTCATTCCACCCTTGTTAACACACTAAGATAATTGTAAAGCTACACACCTGAACCTAATCACACTCAATAATATCAGAATGACTCATGTAATTTAATTTTAATCCACTAGATGGCGCCAGAATACTCCAAACTGCAGCTGGGGCGTGTGTGAGAGTTGAATGGGTTTATATCACTGGCTCTGACAGACTGACGTCACACAAAACATAGAGAACTTCAGAGTCAATGGAGAGGACAGGACCAAATTAAAATGTAGTACCACCAAAAAGGTTGAGAGGGCGCCACACAGACGTTTTTTGGCTCAAAAGTGATATTTTATCTAATTTGAACTAAAATGTCAAAAGAATGACCAGGATATGTAGACAGCACTACAATAAACATACTTATGCAGTTTATGAGTTAAAAAAAGTTGATTTGGTGTTTAGTCGCTCTTTAAGTGTCATGCAGTGTGATCTTGGCGCTGAATCACAAATTATATATGTTTTGTGTGTGACGTGTCCTCAGGGCCGAGCAGCTGTACCAGAAGGTGATGTCTCTGTGGCACCAGCTCCACGTCAACATGAAGAGTGTGGTCTCCTGGAACTATCTGCTCAAAGACATCCGCACGATCTCTGCATGGAGCCTGGACACGGTCAGTCCCACAAATCACCATTTATCATACGTCTATCTGTAGATGTGCAACCAGAGACTGTAGATGTAGATGGACAATGCTAACACGCTCAATGATGGGATAGTGCTTATGGGCAAAGTTTTTGGCTCAGATTGATAAGTAAATTCCTCTAGCACAGGGGTGTCAAACTCATTTTGGTCATGGCCAAAATTAAAAAAATAAGAGCTGGTTGGAGCCAGAAGTATAAAAGTGATATACAAAAAAATGTCCACCATATTTTTGTCTTTTGACAAATTAACTGTAATAGACATGATTTTGGATATTATTCCTAATAGATTTTAATTCCACCATACCTGGGCCAAATAATTTTACTAACTATAACTTCTATGCACATTTTAGTTAACAAGTATAACATGCTATAGTAGCTTAGCATTACAGGGGCCATTTAAAATTGTCTGCCGAGCCAGATTTTCCCCATGAGCCTGAGTTTGACTTGCCTGCTCTAGTAGCTCAGGAACCGTTTGTGTCATACTCATCATTTTTGGCTTTAAATTTCTGTGGTTTATGATGAGATCTGAGCCATAGATTGGATTTGACCAATCACATGGCCTCATTAATGGGGGAAACACCAACTTGCATTAGCAACAGGTCACCCTTGTTTGTTTAAGGGAAGGAAATATAAGGGAATTGGCTCCAGCTAGCTAATGTTCAAATCAGCTTCTTCCGTACATCCGCACTCCTACTGTACAGTCTGTGTGACATCACTACTAGTCTTTACTCGGTAGATTTTGTTTTTGTTCATGAAACTTGAGTTGTATCAGTCTCACTTACTTTGGCAAAATTATACTCTAGTTTTAGGTACTTCCTGAACCCGAGGCAAGACTATTTAGGATAAGGAGATTTTATTTTTGGCGTGCAACAGCGTCTTGTAGACAGCGCCTCAGGGTGATATAGATTAACTTAAAAATCCAGTATTGTAAATTATTCAGGCTTCAAACTATTAGCAATGCGAGGGGAAATGAAAGGGTGTTGACCAATGTTATTTTAGTATTCAGCTTGTGTCCCACATCTGGTTGAGATACAGTCTAGTGATAGCTGCATTCTTGAGTGTAGTGGTCATTTTGTGTGCCACCAAACTGTTGAATGAAGTTGTCTGATCCTGAGCTTCTGACTCCTTCTGGTGGTAGCATAGAGAGTTACACCATATATGTTCTACTTCAGATATACAGCAATTTCACATTCTAAAACCTGAAATGGAAATGGTCTTGTTATACCTTATTAAAGGCCAAAAACAATGCATACTTTAAAAATACGTATTGGCAGAATGTAATATCCCGCTTCTACCACTAGATGGGGGTGTTGTACTAGTCCAGATCAAAACAAACCCAACCCAAATAGTTGCCTAAAGTGTTTACATGTTGATTTTGTGTGGCTCAGGTGCGCTGTCAGTCCCCGTCAGAGCGGCAGCAGACCCTGGAGCACTTGGAGTCTCACTGGTCGGACTTTGTGAGCGACAGTAAAGAGAGCGCCCTCTTCAGCGTGGAGGACAGACAGGCGCTAGAGCGGGACGTCCTGCAGGCTCAGCAGCACTGCCAGGACCTCCTGCTCAACATGGAGACAGGTGAGACATGGGTGCACCTCTGTGTGATCTATGGAGACAATAGGGAGATGACAAGACCTAGTTGTTTTAAGGTCCATTAAAAAAAATAGCCGAGAAGAGAGAAGGAGAGATAGATGAGGGAGGTGAAAAGACTGACTGAAGAGGAGGTGAGACTAGAGAAAGAACGATTTGCACAAAAGGTAAAGAGGCTAAATTAAGAAGGCAGGACACCAGAAGAATAGAGACTGGAGATGTAGGGTCTAATGTCCAGGTCCAGTTTCAGCTGATGACTTAAAGATGCAGTCAATGATTTATCCAAACACAATTTTTAAAATACTGTGAGGAAACGTCCCCAAACTCCATACTTTAATTAGTCAAGTCATCATGTGTTATCAAATGAGACACGACCAGATGCCATAGCCCCAAAAAATAAATCATCAGTCAGTGAGCTCACCTGTCTGAGTTTTTACTGAGTCAGATTTTCTAAAACATCTACAATGGCTGAACCGAAACCCTCAACGTTCCAATTTCACTCGCCCTGTTGTGGCAAAGATGAGAAAATCAGATGAGGAAAAGGCATTGTATAAGACTTGAGTCCTAATGTAGTGTAATGCTTTCACATTTCAAGCTGGGAGGCTTCGTCACAGACTGCGTTATTACAGAAACGGCGTTCATGTGTGCAGGGGGTGTGGTTATGACTCTCTGCTACTTAGGTGCTATAGCTAAGCTAACCTTTACCCCACCTGCACCTGCACACGGACAAGTCATAATAGATAACATGCACTGTCACTTCTCTTTCTATCGACAGTGTTTATATTTGATATCTTAAAATGTATTATTAACCACATTAAAATGCATGTCTACTTGTTAAACTGAAGTAAAGTGTTGCTACTTGAATTTGAACATGCCTAAACCTCTTACCTGGTCTTTCTCTCGTGTGGCAGAGGAGAAGGACGAGTCGGTGTCGCGGTCGTACCTGTCGGAGCTGCAGAACATCACTTTACGTTTAAATGAAGCCGAACAGAGACTGACGAGGAGCATCCAGACGCCTCTGCCCATCCTCCTGACCTCTGAACCCAGGGACCTCTCCCAGCACGGCCTGCACATCACAGAGCAGGAGGTGACCGCCATCTGCTGGACACACCATGAAATCACATGTCTTTACTCATACTGTATTTGCCCACAGCAGATTAGAAAATAAACTAATTAGAACACAAAACCAAATTCAACAATTTCCAACTATCCATCTTCTTCCCCTTAATCCATTTCTGGGTCGAGGGCTCACAGAGCACCAGCCCCTCCCTGATTCTCTGTGAGTCCACAGGAAGATGCCTTCTCTGTCTGTGACAACATAGTGTTGATCTTTCAGTGGGGGCTTCAGGCAAAGTGGGGTTAAGTGTCTTGCCCAAGGACGCGATGACAGCAGACGTCAGTGGGGGTCGATAAAGAAGGTCTCGTGGTCTACCAACCAGTGGGGGCGGGTCCCGGCTCAAAAGTGGCCAAATTGATGTGCACTGACAGACTTGCAATACCACCCCGGGGCGAGGGGGGTGGACCCGGAATAAGAATTAGCCAATGCTAACATATAGCATCTTCTTACCTCTCGAAAACACCTTTACAGGATGGTCCAAAAGTTGGCTCTTGGCCCAAAGCTCCATTCCACATTTGTGTCAATGCTGAGGGGAGTGAATTTTTTTGGACCACTCTAGTTTAGTCGCTGTGAATTTTTGAAGTCACTCAATTAAATGAATGGAGCTCGCGCCGCGTTTATTTCACATTTTCCAGCCGCCGCTGCCATTTTGAATCACTCCATGGGAGCCCAATTGTTCAATCAATCAATCAATCAAATTTTATTTATAAAGCGCTTTTCATACATAAGATGCAACACAAAGTGCTTTACAGATTGGTTAAAAACAATCCCGCCGACCCAAGACCCCTCCCCCAGACCACCCAACAGACCCCCCCCAAACCACAGACAAACACACACACACGTGCTCATGAACACTCATACACACACACACACACACACACACACACACACCAGTAAAACAATAAAAACATGATGAGAGACTTGGCAGGGTTCAGATGCAACCAGCTGAAAAAGCGTCATCCAAGGAGCCGTCTGCACCAGGAGCAGAGAGCCGCCCGTAGCCACAGGGGACGACACAGGACCCAGAGGAGACATGAAACCGAGGCCCCAGGCCCCCACCAGGCCCAAGAGTCCGACCCCCGCAGCCACACCGACCACTGCTCCCGGTGCAGAGGGCTCCTCCAGAGGAAACACTGGGTACACTAAAAACAATACAATAAGTAAAACACTAAAATGTGAGACTAAAAGGAACACACAATACATGAATAATAGAAATAGCAATATAATAAATAATAAATAATAAAAGATAAATAGAATGGAATAATAAAAACTAATCAAAAGCTACTCTAAAAAGGTGCGTCTTGAGCCTACTTTTAAAAATATGAACGTTCTCTGCGGCCCTGAGCTCCTCCGGCAGACTGTTCCAGAGACGGGGGCCGTAGTGCTGGAAAGATGCCTCGCCGTGAGTTGGCTCATTGTTGGCTCATTAGTTAGAACGGCGGAGATGGGCATGACTACGTCCGTTAATATATACAGTCTATGGTACCAACTTAGACACTGTCTGCCCGCCAATACAACTACAGTACAAAACCAACACCTAAAGGTCATTGGCCCATACAGGATCACTGTCATAGAATCAAAAGCTAATGTTCAAAACGTCTATGACAGAGATACTCACCATAAAATTGTACCTTGTGTCTTACGCTTTACCATTGGCACTAATTTAAGTTAAATCCTGTTGTGATGCCTCAGACGCTGCTGCTGGAGCTGGACGGCCTGCGCTCCGGTCTCGGCGATGTTTCTCGACGCTGCGTTCGTTTCTTTGAGGAAAAGCCGTCGTCGTCCAGCATCCCGGCGCTCCGCTCTGAACTCAACTACGCTGTGGAGAAAACCGACAAACTGCACAACCTTTCCTCCGTCTTCCTGCAAAAGTCAGTCACTTTTTTCTCTCTATGAATTATTATAGTATTTTGTATTTGTGTGTAACCACCTGTTTATTATACAACAAACACACATACATTTATTTTTTATTTTTCCTCAAGTTAATGCTCCTAGCAGATAGATAGCAGTACCCAAAAAATATAAAACAAAATCAAGATTCAAAGTTTAATAACTGTTTTTTAAAAATATTATAGACATTTATTATATTATTATACATACAAAGGAAAATCCAACTGTAACAAAAATGATATTGGTTGAAAAAATACAACAATTTGGAGCTTAAAGCTGGGGTACTGTAGTTTGTAAGAAAGAGCACTGTGAGCATTGAGTCACTATTAAAAGCTTTAGGTTGATTTCTGTCTAAAAATGTAAAAGAGGCCAATTATACATGCATGTGAAAACAAGAGATAAAGCTGTTTTTTGATAGAGGAATTAGATACATGGATGGTGTAGATTGATGGATGTAGTAGATGACACTTGTAGTTACTTTGGTTCATTATTGTATCTCTGAAGTATGGCTGACCGGAGAGACTACTTATATTTTACCCCTGCCATAAAAGTCACAAACAAAACACATTCCCAGTTTTCTCCCTGCTCCATGTTGTTGTCTAATACGTCTCTTGCGTTGTGTTCGCTCTGCAGGCTAAAGACTGTCGATGTTTTGATACAAAGCCTGGACGAAGCGGAGGGTCAGGTCAGAAAGTACGAGAGCAGACTGAGCGAAGAAGACATCGTTCCTCCTGACACGGCGGCCATTAGGACCCTCAGAGACCAGCTGCAGGTGAGTCACCGGAGGAAATCCTGTTGCTGGTTACTCTGGGTTTCACACATCTGGACTCATCAGACACTTACATTCAGAGATAAAATCCTACTTTACCCGTTGGTTGAATTGAGTTATTGAGTACTACAGTCCCTAGTCCCCTCTCTGACTGATCCCTCTTTAGCCCTTTACTTGTTTTTGTTTGTTAGCCTTATTTTTTCTGTTTTGTTGTGATGAGTGAAGACATCTTACTTCCCTTTAATCCTTTAGGCATATGTTTTGTTTCAGAATTGCATGTGAAGGAGGCAAACGTTTTGTTTTGAAGCTTTATCAAGTTTTTTGAAACTTTATCAGAAATAAACACAGTTATAAAATGTAAGAAACATGTCTAAAAGGCAGTTCTCCAATGCTTGTTAGTAGTGGTGGTGGTAGTAGTAGTAGTAAATAGTAGTAGTAGTAGTGGCAGCAGCTGTTGTGGTAGTTGCAGTAGCAGCGGCAGCGGCATTTAATGTAGTAGTAATGGTAGTAGTAGAAGTAGTAGTGGCAGAAGCAGTAGTTGTAGTAGTGGCAGTAGTAGTTGTAGTGGTGGTGGTGGTAGCAGCAGTAGAAGCAGAAGTAGTGGCAGTAGTAAGAAATTATTTGGTTCTGTATGTACAAAGGTATTATCGATTAGTTATAATATCCCGACTACACATCCCAGGAGACACATAATCTCTGTTATCTGTTTATATCAATCCACACAAAACATTTGAAAAGCTTGTGTTCCTCGTGTCTGACCTCTTGTCTGTGGTGGCGTTGCAGAGATGGCAGACTGAGGTGTCGGATCAGGAGGGAGTGTTCCAGTCTCTGCAGTCTGAGGTGGTCCAGGCCAAAGAGGCGGGGTCTCAGCTCAGCAGGATCCATCCGGACCGCAGCCCAGAACTGGACCGATACCAGGAGAAGGCCAACCAGATGATTGACAGGTGGAGCAGCGTCAAGAGGCAGATAGACTCCAGGTGAATTAAGATAAGAAATAAAATACATTAATTGTGGTCATGTTATTTCTGTACTATATTCAATGTCAAAGCAAAGGAAGGTTTCTCACCCATCATCTGTACTTCTTAGCAAGTTTTCCCGACGTTTCGTCCTCAACCTAGCGGACTTCTTCAGGGAATGAATTCTCGGACCGCGCGTTGGAGATTTATAACCTATGGGTGTGGTAAGCCACACCCTAATCCTGATACTAACTCGTAAACAATCTCAGGTCTGCTTGATGTAGAAGGGGAGCAGGTCTAACGACCCTGCTGAGGCTAACGACCCTAACTCCTTAGCATGTCACAGACCTATTATCTGCTGGGATGCTCAAGTGGAGTGTAGGTCTCACCCCTCCTAACTCATTAGCATGTCACTGACCTTGTCCCAAGTTAGGGCGTTGTTTTTAGGATGTCGTCATAGATGCGACGACATCCTAAGGAGTTAGGGTCGTTAGCCTCAGCAGGGTCGTTAGACCTGCTCCCTTCTACATCAAGCAGACCTTAGATTGTTTACGAGTTAGTATCAGGATTAGGGTGTGGCTTACCACACCCATAGGTTATAAATCTCCAACGCGCGGTCCGAGAATTCATTCCCTGAAGAAGTCCGCTAGGTTGAGGACGAAACGTTGGGAAAACTTGCTAAGAAGTACAGATGATGGGTGAGAAACCTTCCTTTGCTTTGACTAATCCCTGTACGACTGAGGGCTTACACAAACATATATTCAATGTCAGAAAACTTAGAAAAACATTACACACAGAAAGGTTTAGAAAATACATTCAAACCATATAAGATTTCAACCTCTGTGAAAACACGATGAATGTTATAAGATAGGATTTTGTTTTAGTTGATTGTTGATTTGATTAATAACAAATATTACATTCACTGACTGTATTACAACAAAAAATGGGATGAAAATTCAAAAATCCCATTGAGATTAAGAACCCTTTTTTCAAGGGAGTCCTGACCCAGAGGCAGCGAAGTTACACTTAAACACAACAGACAGATACAATTACATAAACACTAAACACATCAAGTAAAACAATAACCGGTAATTGAGGCCATCTCAAAAAGTTTGTATTTGTATTGAGCTGAAGCAACTTTTATTGGGATGAAGCAACTTTCTTATGTAAGCCCATCTAACCCCACACTATGTATATGTTATGGTATGTTTAGTTTGATGGTTCCAAGTCATATTTTTATAAGAACAATATTAGTGTCAATTCAATTCAATAAATTTTTTATAGTCTTATATCACAACAGCAGTCGTCTTGTGCGTCTTTGCAAAGAATCAAATGGAATAATAACACACACATAGAGCCATTGGTCTAAAGGAAGCAGGATGACCACTGTCTATATTTTTTTTTGTTTTTATGTCGGACTCAAACTCCAATATCACCCGCAAGACAGTTTTAGTGACCCTTGAGATTATTTTCATTGTTTGTTTTTTGTTATTATCAACCGGCAGAATGTATTTATTTATTCATTTTTTGTCCTTAAATGTTACTAAATGTCCCATAGACCCTCCTGCATCATCAAATATATTTTAATAATAAAACTACTATATTTGTATTCTCTTTTTCAGACAAACGGAGCTGGAGGCCCTGTGCTCGTCTCTGCAGCTGTACAGAGACGGACACTCGGCTTTGATCAAATGGATCGAGGAAACCACAGACCGACAGGAGAACACCCACCCGAGCCAAAGCGACAGCAAGGCGCTGTCCGAGCAACTGGCCCAACAGACGGTGAGCCCACTGTTTATTTAGATCAGAAGTCTCCAACCTTTTTCACCCAAAGAGCTACTTTGCTGGGACGATAAAGGCAGAGAGCTACTCCTTTAAGCGGCCCTGGGAAAAAATTAGTGATATTGGTGTGAACGAGACTGATATTGGGTACAGTCATTATTCTCATCGCATATTTGTTACTGGTCATCAAAGTGAGAGCATTTACAATAATAAATAATGATAGTGAATAGTACAATCTGAAATATTAGGTATAATATTTGATTTGTTTATTTCTAAATGCTTTGGCGAGCTACCTTGAAGGGGGTGGCGAGCTACTGGGGGCTCTAATTAGAGGTTGGAGACCCCTGAGATAGATTATTCAAACCTGCACAACACATATGTTTACATAAATCAACAAGTACATGGTTCTAAAAGGGGTTGGATTTGAGCCATAGCTTATTTGATTCCAATCCCCATCACACATGCCACACAGTACACTGCTATAAGATTATCTTGCACACTACAACAGATGGTATAAGACGGACAAAACACACACACTCGCATGTGCATACTCAAACACACAGGCCACAAAACTCTGACCCTACACCCATCTCCCACTTTTATCCCTCTGATTAAGGCATCACTCTTTCATTTCCATATACTTCTTTCTTTGAGCATGTTTTTAATTCTGATAAATCCTTCCAAATAGTAGCTCCATGCACTACTTTCTGAAATGACTTATCATTATAAAGTCATAACACTGTGGAACTGTAATGAATATTGTATCTTTTATGAATACCTTAAATAGACACATTCTACCACTTCTTTGGTGAATGGTCTGCTCTCCTCACGCTCATATAAAGTCTAGTCTCATGTTTTAGCCAAGTGTTGTCTATCGATAACATCTTCTTAAATGAATCCTCTCCTTCTCCTTCAGGCCTTAGTTGCTGAAATAGAAAGAAATCAGACCAAACTGGACGAGTGCCAGACCCACTCCAAACAGTACTGCACGGCTGTGAAGGTGAGATCGCGGCTGTTTTCAGATCGCTTCAGTGTTTACCTTCATCTTCCTGGTCTGGATTCACACGTGTGTTTGTATAATTCTGCAGGATTATGAACTTCAGCTGATGACGTACCGAGCCTTCGTGGAGTCCACTCACAAATCCAACGTCACGAGAAGAAGGTTGCACTCTTCCTCAGACGCCGTCACTCAGGAGGTACGTGACTGCAATTGCTTCTCCCTCTGTATACTGCCATACATATATACAAATACTGCACTACACTGTATATAGTCTATCACTAATATGAACTAAAATGATCTTATTTATTGGTATATGCTTAGGCAGAGATATAATATAGTACTGAAGCCTAGTTCTTTGTTGTGTTTTACATTCATGAATTTTCCGTCTGCAGTTCATGGACTTACGCACACGCTACACGGCGCTGGTCACTCTCACCACGCAACACGTCAAGTACATCAGCGACGCCCTCCGCAGACTGGAGGAGGAAGAGGTCTGTGTTCTCACTGTTTTAAGATAAGATCAGATATTGCTTTATTTGTCCCACAGTGGGGAAATTTCAGTGTTTTTGTTGCGCACATTACAGCAGAGAAAAAGAAGAAAATAAGAGCACTCGGATTACACACATCAAATACAGTCTATTATTTTAGACAGTAGGGTTAGAATAATAAGATGTTAAAACAGAATAAAATAAACTCTGGAGATGTAATTGCACGTGGTTCAGAAGTAACTACAGATGTGTATATTGTACTTTAGCAGCAGAGAATATGAGCAGAATAAACTTGTCTCATTGGCCACAGCTACTTAATTTACATTTAAGAAGAAACAGTGTCAAAAACTATTTATCTCAAAGTCTTAGTTCAGCAGTTGAGTATTGAGAAGAGAGTTGAGTATTGAGAGAGTGTGAGAAAAGTTTTTAGTCTGAATATGCTAATCTAAAGATATGACAGACGGAAAACTAGTGATTGAACCTAACCCTTGTTGGGCAAAGAGCTAATTAAATGGATTTCATCAGTGTTCAATGGGTTTAGGTTTTGAAAGTAAGGTACCCCAGCTTTAACTGTGTACACCTGACATCTTCAGAAAGAGGTAGAGGAGGAGAAGCAGGCCAGAGTGGGTCAGGTGTCGGATCTTTTGGGATGGGTCAAAGGCCTCCAGGGACGAACGGGAGGTCCCAACGCCGAGTCCTCTCTCGCTGCTCAACAGGTAAAAACAACCACTTTCTGTTTGAATCAATATTGTCCTTTTTTTCTATTCTTTACTATAATCTTTGGGTTCTTGCTCCACAGGCCATCACTGAACAGCTCGCCTCCAAAAAGGATGAAGTCGCTGAAGCCATCCGAAGCACAGAAGTCTTCCTCAAGTCTAAACAAGCTAGCAAGTACGTTCAGGAAGCAGATGGGGTGTCCTAGTTTTTGGACACATTTTATGGAAGGGTTTAATGTATACAAAGAGCGCTGTTATCCACATGAAGCTAACATGGAGCTTAAGGACTGGTATTCAATTTACAGTAGGCAAGTTTATTTGTATTGCACAATTCATACATAAAGCATCTCAAAGTGCTGGACAAAACAAGATAGAATCACACAAGGCATTCAGACAAATCAAACAATCCAAACACAGAAGTTGCAATAATAGCATTGGTCCATAGGGGGCGGGATGACCACTGCCTGTAAATATCCGGGGTCATTGCTGCCTGTAGACTCTGCATCAGCAAGGAACTTTTCAAAAAAAACAAAAACAAAACGTGAGGAAAACGGTGAGAAACCACTGGGAGAGTGATCCGCTGCCCTGGATGGACAGGCTGTAGATCAGTCTGTGGTCAAAGATGAACAATATATACTATGTTCAAAGAGTAAGTAAGTAGTAAGTAACGTTTATTTATAGAGCGCAGTAATGTTTATTTATATAGCACATTTCACCCAAAGTGCCAATTTTTCAGAGTTCAGATAGTTTTTCCATCCTCTCTACACATGGTGATGATGGAAGCAAGTCGCCGAACATACTGGACCATCAAAGTCTCCGACCAAACACCATCCATTCACTCACTCATTACATTCAGACCTATTGTGCATGTTTTTAGTGGCAGGGGAAACGGGGAGAACATGCAAACTCCACTCAGAAAGGCCTTGTTCCGACCGGGATTAACCCACGACCTTCTTGATGAGAGCGAGAGTGCTATCCACCCTAACACACCGTGTGACACACCTCCTCTAGAGCGAGGCATCACACATTATAGCTTTATTTTTTGTTTGGACAAAAATGTTCAGGACTATTCAAATGTAACTATGCCTCATCAGCGGTTTCCTCTTGTGTGTGTCCAGATTGTCCCCAGAGGAGCGCAGACAAGTGGAGGCTCAGCTGGACGACCTGAAAGCCACTTACAACCAGCTCTGCACCTCCTCCAATCAACAACTGCAGCAGCTGGAGCAGCAGCTGGCCAAAGAGGAGGAGAGGAAGGTAAAAAGTCCCGGACGAGGTGTTCAGCAAAAGGATATTCAGCTACACTGGGTCATTATGAGAGTTACAGTGAACCGTAGCAGAAAGGAGGAGGGAGAATTGCTTGCAAGCTAAATGCGCAATGTGTGTGAGGCGCTCCTGTGTGTTCTTCAGCATGTTGTGTTTCCATGACGATCGTTTTATCACATTATATTTGTTTGACGATGTTTCGAGCACAAAACCCTTTCAGGCGGGCATTCAGTCAACAATCAAACTGTGTCTATAAAGTTTACTCGCTCGGAGACGGATAAATGCTCTCTGGTCTCACATACAATATTAGGCCAGACAACAACAAAAAAACTTAAAGGGGCAGTATATTTATAAATTTTTCCATTTCAAATTATGTCTTTTTTATGTGTCATCAAATAACAGGTCACATTTACTAATCATATGTGACCTTTACTGAACAAAAGTTGAATGTCCATAATAATTACGTTTACAATTTTCAAGCAGATAATCCAATCAGAGAGCGGAATAGGCCCACATTTGGATTGCCAGATTGTTAGATGAAGAAATACAGCTTTGATAGATAGACAGATAAAACTTCTCTGTAATAACTTTTGTCATACATACCATATAGTTTGTACTGTTTCCCAACTCAACCCCAGCATTTGGATTGCATCAGTCATCACTTTTGTTGAAGATTCTAGCAACAAAAGTGTGATTGATATTGAGAATGTTACATACTGTCCCTTTAAGATCTGTAACTACAAATTTGATCTTTGATAGTCACTACTCAATGTTCAACGAATGCGAGAAATATTCAAATTGAACAAAACCAAATAAGTAGACATAAATATGTAATGATCCTGGATGCCACTGTCTGAACTGGGTTTTAGCATGGTCCATGTCCATCTCACGTCCACGTAATACAGCTTGTTGAAACCTCATCGTCACCATCACGTCATCACCATCACAAACACACATCCGCTAACCCGCTAACGTAGCTAATACTTGGCCCTAGACGCGCCGCAGTAGAACAACACTGCCGTAGTCGTGCTAGCAGTTAGCCTCAATGCTATACGTCCTTTGTTGGCATTTTTATTTAGAACTTGGATGAGTTTTCAACCTCATCCAAATTCTACGGTCTGTCTGTCACATAGAGTATTATCAATTTATGTTTACATCCACAATTATGATTTTTGTATGCACAGTAGTTTATTCCCGTTTTGTTTCATCATTGTGAGTCCTCCCATGCTTTAATGCATATTTGTAGGCAAGTTCCTTTGTTTGTCTTAAAGCTGGCCTACCTTACTTTAAAACCACATACATTAACGTAATACAATCCATGTAACTAGATCATTGCTATCAAAATAGTTTGGTTCTATTGCTAGTTTTTCATGCATGTAATTTTGGTCTTTGCCATTTTTTAGATTGGTTTTTCAGTGAAAAAGAGGCCAAGCTAATACAGATTTTGGAAAATGTTTTCAATTAATCAAGACTGCATTTTGTGGTCTGATTTGTTCCCAAAGTTACTGAAACAAGACCTTTTTCTGCTGGAACACAGACAAGAGTTCTTCAGCTTTAATTACATTTCAGTTTTCTATTGAATTTATTTTTAACAGATCACAAATAAAAGCCAAACATATCCATTGACAAATATCTTTCCAATAAGTGTTTTCCATCTTACACACACACACACACACACACACACACACACCACCCTGTTTTATTATTAAATGTTTTGGGAGTCTTGGTGCAGCAAAGGCCAGCTATGCAAAACCTCACCATTTGAGCATGTTGTGTCCAGATCACAGATACTACTGAATGTGTGTGTGTGTTATGCGTGAAAATGTGTGTTATTTTCTCCTAATGCATTTACTATTAATGTGTGAGGCACTTCAAACCAGCATTCTGCTTCAACATCACTAACAGCTGCCAGAAGACGCCGCCAGCCACACATGGAAAGACATACAAGAGATAGTCAGTGTGCTTTTAGTGCAGTCAATAAGCTACCATTGACAAATACAGAGATAGCATGTAGCTAATAGTTCAGTGAGTATAGGAGTGAGGCATGTCAAGTGCTAACAACCAGCTTCTCGTGCGAGTGTGTGTTGCCATGGATCAGTCCTGAACGGTAAGTGCTGCTTGCTTTCTCTTATTGTTGCCTTTAAGTTCCTTTTAGACTGTTTTAGATCAATCTCTTCCTTTCTCTGTTTGGCTTTTTGTATTTTTCAATTGCGCAAAGTGCATCTAAAATAGTGGGATATTACATTGAAGTACAATATTATTAAATGTGGCAATAATTTCACAATATTCCACTTTTTAGACGCACTTGTTGTCGTGTGCTGTTTTGCTTTGTTGCATGCTTTTTAGATTTGTGGTGGTAAGTGTTGTATAGGTTGCGTTCATGTGACATCACACAAATTGTGGTGGTGTCAACTCTGGTAAATGTCAAAAAGTCAGATTTCTATGTTTTAGCTAGATTTCTTTATAATTCCATGATCCGAGAAACATCCTCTGAGACACCTTTTCAAAATCTCTTTCAAAAATTGCTTCTTTTTCCCCATGCAGTTGTATTGAAATTTAATTCTACATCATGAATGCAACCTATTTTGTGAATAAACCTTTACATTTAACATTCGAGATGCTAATCTATTTTGAAAACGCATAAAATTGAAGCCAATTTTATGCTTGGGATAGCATGTAAATGTGCATGTGGTTCTGGTCGATACTTCAGTATACAATCATCAAGATTTGCATACTACTCGACTATCCCTTTGGTTTTGGCTGTGGGTTTCTACTTTTTTATTGTGATACTCTTGTAGTTTTATTTGGTAGATATAAGATTAACACTCCACAAATAATACAACCATTTTCTTTCAGTCTCTACAATACTGACTTAACTTTGTTCTATCTTTCTCTCCTAGACCCATCCTGTAATTGCTGGAGTGATAGACCTGGCGACAGTGGAGACCTTCCCAGTTTTCCAAGCTGCTCAGCGTGGACTCATTGATCAGGACACATGTCTGGCTCTCCTGGAAGCCCAGTTAGTTTGGGGTGGTCTTCTCCAACCTCAGTCTGGCGCCACTGCTTCACTGGAACTGGGAGAAAATGAAGGACTTGTAAACCACCACATGCAGCAGTGTCTTTCAGAGCTCAACAGTGCCCTCTGTGTCGTGGGAAAGGGACTGCAAACAAATGCTAGATCTATAGTTGACGCAATTGGAAATGCTTTAATCAGGGAGGAGCTTGGTCTTCGCTTGTTAGCATTTCAACTGAACTCTGGAGGGCTTGTCGGTCCAGATAAAACTCTAATAAGTATTGAGCAAGCAGAAAACAAGAAAATCTTAACTCCAAATCTTGCTAGAAAACTGCACTCTTTGTTGAATACAAAAGAACTGATCGACCCAAACACAGCTGAGAAACTAAATATATCAGAGCTTCAACAACGCTGTATAGGTGATGAAGGTTCACAATTCCTTCTGCTCCCTGTTAAACAACAAGCTGGAGGGACTGTTTCTGTGCGTACAGGGAAAAAGGTGGGGATTTTCAGAGCTGTCCAAGAGGGAATAATAGACCGGAAAGTTACTATCCGACTTCTGGAGGCACAGCTTTTTGCGGGTGGTATTGCTGACCCACGCTCGGGCCATAGACTCACCATTGAAGAAGCTGTGTCTCATGGGCTGATGGACCAGGATCTAGCTTGTGCCATGTTAGCGAGACAGCTCCAAAATGGTGGCATTATTGATCCGTTCTGTGATGGAGAACGCCTGTGTTTGGAAGAAAGTATACGCAGAAACTTGCTCTCCCGCCATCTCGCCTTGTTGGTCCTAGAGTCTCGTTGCTCTTTTATGGGAATGCTATGGACTAAATCTGGTGAAGTCCTTCCTATTGCTGAAGCTCTGCAACAAGGTGTTATATCAGCAGAGCTAGCCAAAAACATGCTTAGACAGAGACATGCCATAGGAGCCCTGTATAACCCTGAAACATTGCAAGTACTTCCTTTCAATGATACTGCAAAGGAAACTCTTGGCATAAATACTGTCAGAATACTTCAAGAGACCCACATCCCAGATCTCATTTCTCCTTCGTCCTTGACCTCAAGCTCCCCTACACCTCCTTCTTCTCCGTTGGCAACATCTTTTCCTACTCCACCTGTATGGAACGTTCAATCAATAAATAATCAAGATCCAGAGGAAGAAGCTAAACAAAAGCTTCTGTTTCACATAATGACACATAGCTACATGGATGCACACACAGGGAGACGCTTCGTCTTGCTTGATACAGAGCTACTGGAGCTAGTTGCAACTTCTGACCACCTTGCTGGAGAGGAAAATCAGCTTGAAGGGACTGAAATTGCAGCTGTGCCAGGGCTAAAACATTTAGAAAAAGATGGAGCTGAAATTATGAGAATACATGAGGTAATTCGGAAAGAGGCAAAGTTGGAAGTTGACAAAATTATCAAGCAATCTAGTGAGATTGTAAAGCTACTAGATATACAAAATTATAAACAAACAAAAGTGACTATGGAAAAGGTTGATGGTAAGCAGAAAAACATCTCAACAATGGCTAATGTAGAGGCCTCCAATGATGTGATAAATGCTAAACCTTTATCAATTGATGCCACTATTAGTCCTTCAGAGTCAGAGAAAAATGTGTTGCTGAGAGATCCTCAAATGGACAAACTTGAGCCTCCTTTGTGCGCTTTCCAAGTGATGGATGCAGGTGTTGATTTGAAACAAATAAACAATGATCAGGAAATAATGTCTCAATTAGTTGCTGAGTTAAAACAAGGAGGTCTGAGGACTCCTGAAGGAGACAGGCTCCTTCCGGACGAAGCCGTTGCTCAGGACATCCTCCCAGGCCACACTGCGGTCAAGCTGATGTCCCAGGCGGGATTATTCGGAGGATTTCTTGATGCTAGAAGTGGAGAGGTTTTAGCTATGGACAATTTGATGAATGAAGGTATGGAAGACGAAGACCTTATGTGGAGTATACTCAAATCAGACAAAACACTTTCTGGAATTGTTGATGCTAAAAATGGGAATATTTTGGGAGTGACAGAAGCAGCTAAGGAAGGACTGATTGATACAAATACTTGCACAAGACTTTTGGAGGCCCAAGTGGTGTCTGGGGGAATTGTTGACCTCCAACAAGATAAAAAGATCTCAGTGACCCTTGCATCAAATATGGGACTTATTGAAAAGGAGCAGAGGGAGCAATTGATTGCTTTGGAAAAAGCTTACAAAGGGAAAAAGACAGATCCTGCCAACGCTTTAATCAAAGCTACATTACAGCTACAAATTGAAGGGATTGTTGACCCAAAGTCAAAATCTGCTTTACCATTGGGGATGGCATTAGAAATAGGCCTCATCAAACCAGAAGATGCTTATAATGTTTTGGCTAAGCAGGTTGCAGAAGGCGGGATAATCCATCATGAGTCTGGATTGAGGTTGTCTGTTTCAGATGCAGTTAATCGAGGACTTGTGGACCGATCACTCGCCCCAGGACTAGAAGAGTTAGAATGGGTCTATCATGGAAAAATCAGTCAGTCATCGAACCATGAAGCTATGGTTTTGCAAGCATCGACAGGTGCTATTATGGATCCAAGTTCAGGCCAAAAACTGACTTTGACTGAAGCTGTCTCTAAAGGTCTTCTAGATGAAGAAATTGCTAATAACGCGATGGCATCTTCTGTTGTAACACACAGTGTCATTGACCCACAGACTGCTTGTATTGTACCCTACTCAGAGCTTGCCAACCAGGGAAAGATAGATATTGAAACTGGAAAGCGCTTCCTTGAAGTTAAACCATTTAGAGGTGTTCAAGATGAGAAAACGGGAGAAATTATGACACTTTCACAAGCAGTTGCAGCTAAAATAGTTGACCCTATTCCAGCAATAAGGATTCTGCAAAGCCAAGCGGACAGCGGAGGCATTGTTGACATTAACACTGGAGATAGAGTTGGTTTAGTTGAAGCTATGGACAAAGGTTTAGTCAATGAAGATATTGTTAAGGCCATAGCCATTTATCAGGTAAACAAAGGTGGGTTAGTTGATCCTACCAGTGGACAAAAAGTTGCAGAAATGGGTGATGCTATTGCTAAAGGACTTGTACCCAAAGAATTAGCTCAAGATATTTATGGTAAAACTCCATCCATGGAAAAGGAAAGCTTGAGTGATAGTTCTACTCCTATCTATCCTCTTTCTTCTGGAAGTGAACACAGCCCAGCAATTTCACTATCAATATGCTGTGCAGACAGCAATGAAACCTGGTCAGACTCAAACATTGACTCAAAATTGATAGAGTGTTATGAGGGAGGTTTTGTCGCACAAGAGAAATTGTCCCCTGAGTCAGAACAGTCAACAGAGGAAATTTTGAAAGTAGTGCCCGATAAGTCCTTGGACGTCCTCTCAACGTTTGCAGCCAATGTTGAAAAAAAGATACAAAAGGCAATAGAAGAAATTTCCCCTCAAAAAGATGGAAATGTTGAAGTGAATGCTACAAAGATGCCTACATTTAAAACTGAGAATAAAGATATAAATATGAGTGACAAGGTTTTAACGACTGAAGACATTTCCCATATAGAGTTGGCACAATCCAGTAGAGGTGTGACATTGCCATTCGTGGGAAGCTCACCTGAAAATAATACTCAAAATATTCCAGAAAATAAGGGGCATAAAAGCTATGATTCGATTAAACCAGTTTGTGAAAGTCAAGTTGTTGCCAAACCTGAAAAAGATACAGCAATGTTGAAAGAAGTCGATTCTCTTCACTTTGAAGGCCAAATAATCCCAATGGTGTCCAGGCTGGCTAGCTCTGATAGTGTAAACCAAACATTCACAGACATATTAAAACCAATTCAAGACAATGCAGGGGAGATGGCACAAGTTAAGAATGATTCAGAAGACTTTTCACAAACAAAGCTGAGAAAATCCAGCCAGGATGTGAAATTGCTGTCTGTGGAAAGTCCACTTCAATGTCATACTGAATTTATTTCAGAAAATAAGCAGCGGGCAAGTGATGATACAATAAAAGCAGTCTGTGAAAGTAAAGTTGTTGCAAAACCAGAAAAAAATATAGCAAAATCAAACAAGCACACAATCAAAGACATTTTAAAACCCAATCAAGAACGTGCAGGTGGATTGGCACAAGTAAACATTTCTAACAAACCTTTGGCAGTGCCTTCTTCTGCCTCTGAGAATGGGAACACTAAAGATAAGACTCTGAAGAGGAAGGAAGTTTCTAAGGATGGCAAAGAAAGAACTGATAACGTTGAGAAAGATGATGTTGTTGAGTACAAGGAAGAAAGCAAAGTTATAAAACCTGGGGTAAAGAAAGATGGAGTAACTGTTGTTGACAAAACGCCAACTTCTGTTGGTATTAACCTTAAGACATTGGAGAAGAAATCTAAACTTAAGAAGGAAGTTTCAGAGAAAACTAAGAAAGGCATAGGAGCTAAATTACCGGGGATGATTCTGGCACAGCAATGCCCTGAAAACATGGACATTTCTTCAAAGGCTGTAGAAAACAATGTTATTGAAGAGGAAAGAAGACCATCTAAAAGTAAGGGCACAAAAATTGAGATTGAGAATGAAGATGGCATCACAAGTAAACCTGTAGAAAATCTTGAAAAAGTATGTCCTGTCATTGAAACATCTGATCCACTTGATAAGATAGGAAATCTTGGTACCAAGGCGATGATAATTGAACGAAGTATTCCAATCATGGGCAAGGAAACAAAAGACATAAATCCTGCAGAAAGTGAAGCCAAGAGTTCCACTTATGTCGTTAAAGATGCCAGGCTGGACACAGTTACAGGACCAATGGTAGCTGAAATAAAGTCATCTGACCCGAAAATGACAGTTACTACTTCTTGTGAATCAGAATCAGATGCAGGGCAATGCACATCTAAAGAACCAAAATCTACTGCTGAAACTACAAAGAAAAATGGACGTGCAAAAGGAGGTAAGAAGATTAAAAAGCCAGAAATGGTAAAGCCCATATTTAGCCAAGATATAAAGGCTACTCAACCACATGGGTCATCTCCTGAAATCAAGCCTGATGCTAAACTACAAAATGATTCCGTGCAAGAAGACAAATCATTTGAGATTGCATCGGTTCCTAAGGACAAAGACGTCCATGTAGCTATACAACCTTTACAAACTCCTGTCAAAACTTACTCTGATGTGAACATATCCAATGAAGTTTTGGCTCCTCCTCCACCGACAGACGTGGATGGCAAAAGCAAGAAGAAGAGAAGAAACACGAAGGCCAAAGGTAATGGGGCAGACGCTTTGGAGGAGCAACCAATTGTTCCATCTGAAGCTGATAGAAAAACTGAAACATGTCCTGAGGTTGTAAATGATTTTGAGAGAACCAAAACTAAGGATGAGCCATCTTCTGTAGAGGATGTTCAAGTTAAGATGTTAGCAAACACTGCGACAAAGATGAAGGAAGCACCGGTTTTGCAAAAAGTTATAGAATCAGAGGCAAAAGAAGTGATGGGGAGAAAGAAGATGAAGAAAGTTGAGAAAACTGATGGAAATGATGAAACCAAAGATGTATTTGAAGTCCTAGAGGAAAAGGTAAAAGAGGAAGAGTGTGTGTCGCTTCAGAAATCTCCTCTCCCTGAAAATGAAAAAGCAGCCTTAGTTATGAAAGCAAAAGAGAGCATTTTGAAGAAGGTGTTTGAGAAGGGAGTGAGTGAGAGGCAAGCTGCTGAAGAATTGCAAGCGTTACGGAAAGAGGTGGTTAAGAAAGACGATGTGGTTAAATCTAAAGTGGAAAGCAAGGTACCTGGCAAAATGCAAATAGATTTGAATGGGCAGAAGGAGGGTCAATCGACAACCAATAAGCAACGTGTAAAAGAAAGTGATGACAAAATGGATCAAGTAGCCAAACTCAAAGAAGTTGAATCAAGTAAAGTTGTTCCATTGACAGACGTGACTAAAGTCCAACAAGACACTGTCAAGGAGACCCATTCAAAAAGACATAAGAAGCACAAGAAAGCCAAAACTGAAATGAATAGTTCTAGTGATATCAATGAGGAAAAGCCACTTAGCAAGGACAGTGTGGTTTCTGGAGATACAAAAAATATGGACAATCAAAAACCAACTGTGTCAGGAAGTAGCATTGATCAGCAAAAAGTCTCAAATTCAACCCAATCAGAGAAGTGCAAGATTGGGTTAACAACTCCCCCACCAGGGCAAACACCTGACCTCCTAAATACTGGAGATTTTGGGCAGTCTAATCAGGCTGGAAATGCATCAGAAATTCAACCCAGATTTGCATCTGGAAAAATGGAGATGGCTAACAAAGGGATAAAGATGGAAGACAAACTTGAAACGAAACCCCCCATAGAAATTGAAGTGCAAGAAGTGGATAGGCCAGAGGTTTTAGAAATGATTACGACACCTAAGAATGTCAAGTCGACTAAAGCAGCTAACAATTTGACTGAGGAGCAGGCTAAAGGAGCAGAAGGTCCCATAATGAAAAACCAACCTGCATCTCTGAAAACTGGAAAGGTTAGTACATTTATATCACTGAGTTTTGAAGCCTGTTGTTGGTGCAATGTTTTTTTGTTTTGCGTTCTGCAGGCATCACTGAAGAAACAGGAGTGTCTGGAGCTGGATCAGCAGATGGTGGCTTTGGTCTCTATGGTCAGACACATCGAGGTCCAACTGAAACAGCAGCAGCAGCAGTCTGTGGGACGCAGCCTCATCGCCCTCAATGACATCATACAACAGTCTGAGGTGGGAGTTTTGACATTGATTGGAGAGTAGAAGTGAACTTCCGTTTAAATATGCAATTATATGTACTATTGTGGTATACCGTGTATTGTAATGTGTGCTCTAATGGGATTTATTTGTTGCTCTGTTTAACAATCATGTCAAGTCCTATGTCCAATACCAGTAATAATGTAAACCCTTTTGACCTTTTTTAAGTTTTTATTCTTCTCTTATTGATGTGAAACAGGCAAAAACTTATAGCAGAATTGATTAAAAGAAAATTATGTTAGCCGGATGCCAGGTAGCAACTGTGCTACTTTGTCTCTTTAAGTGTTAATATGTAGTAATCTGAGGTAAAAGGCTATTGAACAAAAGCTGAAAATGAAAATGTTATTATACTTAAGCAGTGACTTAGATTGTTCTGTACAAACCAACTATAGCGTGCAACTTTGGAGCACCATATAAATCTGAAAAGGTTCCATTTGATATCAGTCACTAATCCTCTCGTGGATAATCCCTTTTACAGGCGCTGGACCTTGAACTTCAAGACCTGGAGCCACAAATCCACAACCAGCTCCAGGCGTCGCAGCAGCTCCTGAAGCCCACCCCAGAGGACGTGCCTCCTCAGCTGCTACTGGCTCTGGAGAAAGACCAGCGCAGTCTGAGCCGAGGATACGAGGCGGCCAAGGCTCTGTCTGAGGGCATCCTGAAGAGTCTGAAGGAGCAGAGAGACACACACAAGGTCACAGCAACAACATTTGTACCTTTTCTTCTTGTACCTAATTACCTACTTCTAAATCAGTGTTTTCCAACCGTGGGCCCCTAGAGGTATTGCAGGAGTTACTTTAAATTATTTCCAAGTATTAATATTAACTTGAAATAATGTATAGAATTAGGTTTATATGGGCTACCATGATACAGTATGTTTGCTTCAAACCAAAATATCAAGTGGATACTAAACTGACCCAGTTTTTTTTTTTAAATTGCACAAAAAGTCTCCAAATACTTTACTTTAGCGTTAACATTGAACACATGATTTAATTACTAATACTGTAATACTTTTTAGTGAAAACGTCTTAGGTTTGGTCAGAAAAATCAAGGACTCTAATAAAATGTCCTTTGGCAAACTAACATTTTGCCAAAGATTACCTCAAAACCAAACTCTCCTTAAAGAACATGATGAGGCCTTAGTGAAATACCCCTAATAAAGGTTTTAGCTCCAATAAATATTTGTTTGATGTGGCAAACCAGAATGACTATGGCCTTGTGGGTACACGTTCCCTGTATCCATAGGTGAATGCCCAGGGTTTAATAAATGAATGTATGTATTTACTTTCTGTTCTCTGACCCTGCAGGAGGCAGTAGCGGTCGAGCTCTCGTCTCTGAGCGATCGGGCGAAGGTTCTGCTCTTGTGGCTTAAACAAACTGAGGCCAAAGTGAGTGAAAACATGACGGGGACAGAGGAGCCAGCAGGGGGCAGTCCTCTCACACAGCAGCTGCAACTCTGTAAAGTGAGTAAACTTTGTAATATATCCCCTTTATAAAAAATAAACTAATCTTTAACTCAAAATACTAATACTATTTTATGGGGCCACAATGTGTTATACCAGTTTTTCAGATATAGTTTTAATTTGAATACAGATTTTTAAATAAATGTCTATGTTTATGTATTTTTATGTCTAGTTCCAATACTTGTTTTAGTGTCAATTAATATTGGACTTTTGCCAGCTCTTATGGATACACACAGGTGAAACTTGTAAAATGATAATACCATTTAAAAGTCAATTTATTTTGGTATAATATTGATAACTTGTAAAATAATAATAGCTCGTATAAACCCAAAAAAAACCCCTCAACATTCTCAAAATCCACAACAGTCGAACAACCAAAAGCTACAACAGGCTAACACTATCAACCCCTATCTAGGTTTCCATCGTTATAAGTTTGTCCATTTTTGATGACCTCATAGGAGCTCCAGAACGCTCTGAAACCACGCTCCAATGACGTCCAGGACCTGGCCTTCGACATCCAGGTGTTCATCTCGGAGCGGGCGCAGGACCTGAGCCCTGAGCAGAGCAGAGGGGTCTTAGGACAGCTCCAGCAGCTCCAGAGAGAGCTCCAGCAGACCACTGATCACATCCAGGCCTGGTCTACAGCACTGACAACACAGAGAGACACAGAGGAGGAGCAGAGGAGACGAGAGAGGGCCAGAGAGAGAGAGGTTTGGATGAACTGGAGAGAGGCCCAGAGGGAGTGTGCTGTGCTGTTATCGAGACATGCTCTTTCTAAAACATGCTTCTCATTCACTATTGCTTTCTACAGATATATTGGAAAAACGCATAGACACCACACGATGATCCCATTGATCATTTTTAGTCTAAATTGGATTACATTTAAAAATACATAAGTTTATAATCATACTGTGGAACCTTTAAATAAAAGTTATATCTGGACAGTATAAACAGTTTGGACCAAGGATCAGGGCTGGATCTTTCAGAGCCTTCCGATACAATACATACATGTATCTGTGTATGTGCATGACACCATTTGTGTAGCAGCTAGATACACGAGACTTTATATTCGATCCAATATATTTCTATATAATATGGACACTACTGATGCATTTAAAATTCATGTAGTGAAAAATAATTGTTATTAAAGTCAGAATGTAGCAACTCAATTTATTTAGATTCAGATAAATAATTTTTAAATTTGGATGATATTTGATGTTTGAAAATATTAGTAATCAGTATATATGTATGAAGCATATGCAATGCAGACAATAAAATGAAAAGTTCAATTAGTAAAGTCAGGAAGTGAAACGGCTGTATTCAATAATTACTTACACATAGAGTGGAATACTGAATTTCTAGCTTTTATTTTTATATTGACAAAAATATATATAACCATTTCTCATTTGTCTGAGCTTTTACAAAACCAAAAATAATTCTTAAACAAAAAAAAAAGTGAGATTATCTGTATTTCTTTCTTACAGACGCCACAGTTTGATGCATGAGACCGGTCTAAACATTCACAGATACTGCTTTAATCTCACACGTGCATCGTACTTACAACCACATATATAAAAACCTAACTTTCATTTTCATTTATAAATCACGCTAAAACTCCTGCTCAGAAACAGATGTGCTTCCTGCATGTGGTTTAACATTGTGTGCTTTTTAACCTGTTTGCGTTGCTCTTTCAGATGCACCTGACTGAAAATCACTTTTGCTGCCGCAATGGAAAACAGCTAGGAGTTATTATGGATAAAATATGTTGTTTTGAAGCTAGAGTCTTGTCTCACTTTAATAAAAATGAACGGGGAAATGCCTGATCTGTCGTTTTGTTGCTTTGCCAAATGTTTAACTGTGTGAATGGTGTGATCATGGACACAACATGCGAGTTATGACAAATACAAAATGTGTCAAAACTGTTTAAAATTCAAACTTGTTCGCATTTTTTTGTCTCATATTTTGTCCTCCTTGTTTGTGGCATGGCAGGTGGTGCAGCAGCAGAAGGCAGAGTGCTCTCAGAAAATGGAAAACCTGGCGATGTATTTGGCCGGAGCAGCGAGTCTTTTGGCGAGCCACGTGACAGGAGGACAGACGGGAGACGTGAACGTGCTGCAGGAGAAACAGAGGAAGCTACAGGTCTGTGTGGAAGAAGAATCCATAATAATAATGAGAATGATATCATGGTATTCTAATATCTTGGCTGTAAATGTTATAGTTTTTCACATGTTGATTGTGTGCACTTGTGTACACTTGAACCCATCCAATAGATAAATAGAAATGCTACTACCACTACTACTACTCCTACTACTACTACTACTCCTACTCCTCTTCCTCTTACTACTACTACTACTCCTACTCCTCTTCCTCTTACTACTACTACTACTCCTACTAATATTGAACCCTCTACTACAGGGGTGTCCAACCGGTGGCTGCAGGTTTTCTATCATACCCAACAGCAGACTCCACCCATTTCCTCAAGAGAGTTCAGTCTTAACCTGAAGATTTGAGGAAATAGGTGGAGTCTACTCTGCTCCTGCTGGGTATGATAGAAAACCTGCAGCCACAGCAGCCCTTTCTCGACCGGTTTGGACACCCCTGCTCTACTACCACTACTACTACTTCTATTCCTCCTTCTACTATCCTCCTCCAACTACCACCACTACTACTACTACTACACTGACACTTCTGTTTTTAATCACAATGGTTTTTCCCCTCATCTAAACACACCAGGGCTTGTTTTATGCTCCATCTATGCTAATATCAGAGAATATTGGTACAAATCGGCTCAAATCGGCCTCCCCTTTGCCCCATCTGTCCAAATTATCCTTTTTAAGCACATCACATACTGTATTATCCATTTAATAATTCACATTCTAAAACATGAATAGTCTCAGTAAGTGTTCTCAAGATTATGTCAAAAAGAGCAACATAAACACACATCTTTGAATTCACACATTTACGGTTTGGTCAAAATCTTAATGTAACAGCTATAATCATATTTTACTGGAAATACAATGGCATAGCGTTACCATGGAGCCAGAAAGACTTATATACTTTGTTCATACTTTGCTCACACAAGACTCAATATGTGTTTTGTGATTGGATAATCTCACACTTTCTCCTTTTTCAGGAAGTACAAAAGGACCTGCAATCCAAATCAGAGGGAATCGCAGATGCCATTCGCTCGGTGGAGGAGCTTCTGGCTGAGAAAGGAGACAGTCTGAGTCCAGAGGAGAAGGCCAAACTGCAGGTGGCGCTAGAGAAGATGAAGGAGCAGTACAGTGCATTGAACGACACGGCAAACACATCACTGTCTGAGGTGACCTCTGCCATCAGCACCACGGTCCATCAAAACACACAGAGGGTAAAACATACAGAGATCATGTATCTGTTTATTATCTTTGTGAAATGTCTAAATATGTGTTTTTGATGTAGGCGAAAGCAGAGGAGGAGCTGCAAGAGACTCAGGGGCAGATAGATTCACTTTTAAAAGAATTGTCAAGCCTCGATCAGCTGGGAGCCAAAGGAACCGGTGGGAATGGCACTCAAGTCGACTCTAAACTTTTACCACCAGAGGGCGCTGTCAAGTCACATACAGACATGCTGCAGGTTGGTAGATCTACAATACATTTAAAGTAGTGCTGTCCAACGATTAAAATATTTAATCGCGATTAATCGCATGAATTTCATAGTTAACTCGCGATTAATCGCAAATTAGTCACACATTTGCGGCACGGTGGCTGAGTGGATAGCACTCTCGCCTCTCAGCAAGAAGGTCCTGGGTTCGAATCCCGGTCGGACCAGGGCCTTTCTGAGTGGAGTTTGCATGTTCTCCCCGTGTCTGCGTAGGTTTCCTCCGGGTACTCCGGTTTCCCCTACCACTAAAAATATGTCCAATAGTTCTGGCATGCGCCTCCTGTACTGGCGACCCCGCTCCCATCTCTGTGTGGAGTGAGAGACAATTGCCCATAATTAACAATTGTAAACCGCTTTGAGACTCAGATCTGCAGTGAAAAGGCGGTATATAAATAAAAACTTACTAACTTACTTACTATTTGCGTGCTGTGTGCAATTGCTTTTTTTATTGAAAACAATGTGTAGTGTTATATTACACACTAACATTTGATGCAAAATCATCAATAAATGGATGACAAAATAAATAATTGGTAACAAAAAGCCCCTTCAATGTGTGTGTGTGGGTGTGTGTGTGTATGTGTGGGTATAGACCATAGACTGTAGAGAAACATCATGGTGTCATTATGATGATGATAAACAATCTGTAAATATTTTGTAAATTTGTTCATGTAAATACTCTATGCTGTTTCTCTGTTTACCTTCGGTATATCTATGACTGTATACTGTTTGCTTGTATTGCCTTTTTTATTAACCCCCCCCCCATCTCCCACTTCCCCCCCCCCCCCCCCCCCCTCCTATGTGCCCTTCTGGGTTTCTTCTTTGGCCCCCTGTATCTCCAACTACATATTGTTTGTAATCTCTGTCTACAATGTATCTGAACTAGTCCTTTTCTTTGTTTCTATTTTTTTTTCTGTATATGTGTTTGTCTGCAATAAAAAGTAAAAAAAAAAATAATCTTTTTTTTTTTTTTTTTTTTAATCGCGCGATAAAAAAAATGACGGCGTTAATATTGATTTGCGTTAACGCGTTAATAACGCGCTATTTTGGACAGCCCTAATTTAAAGTAAATGTGTTCTGCTTATACCAGACAACTGTAAATTTGAAACGTTACCTATTATTACTACTAAGAAGACAAAAAATTATATTACTTCGCTCCCACTTGTTCCAGGATTTCTGTTGACCTGGAAGTCTGAAGATTTTGTAAAAGCATGTCTAATCATTTCTGGGCTGTCTTTTGTTTGAAAAACTGTTAGAGATCTGTAAACTTTTCAAATAGCTACTGATGCCCTTTGGTTTCATGTCAGGTTGGACACATTCCTCTGGAGAAAAAGCAATTATTGCAGCATTCAATACCATTTATTTTGGATATTTTGGAAATAAAATGGCTCAAATCAAGATCAGTAAATCAAACGGTTGAAACACAATGATATGCACTAAAAACAAACACGTAGGAGCCATGGGTCCATAGGGAGCAGGATGATCTCTACAAGGTTTATAAATGTCCTTAGACATTTATAAAAGTATTTACAGCTTTTCTTATTATACATTGATTTTTGTTTCTCCTGATATAACCTCTTTATAATAATCGTGTGTGTGTGTGTGTGTGTTTTCAGAGTGAGTTGCAACAGCTCCAGGCGCAGCAGGCTCAGCTCCTGCAGGTGTCTCAGTCTGTGCGCTCGCTCCTGGAGCAGCCAGACTCTGCTGTTCCCCCCGAAGAAAAGCGCCGCCTCCGAGCCGAGCTGGACCAGCTGCAGGCTCAGCACCAGGACCGGCTACACAACTGTCAGGTGAACACACAAGGACACACACACACACACAAGGACACACACACATAAGGACGGACACACGCCCGCACGCACGCACACACACACACACACACGCACACGCACACAAGGACACACAAACACTTCTGCTTGGTTGTAATGACTCCACTGGGAATGAGCATCACAAGTAAGATTTCCTGGAGGAGAATAGTTTTAAATTCATTGTGTCCAACCAGGAGCGGTGGGGGCGGGTAAAGTAACTGAATTCACCTTAAATGATGAGAGGTTGACCTAGATGTGCTTGTTTTGCAGCTTTCACTCACAAACATATTGGGTTAGGTTTGATTATAAAACTGAATTTATAAATGATTTTCATGAGTTTCAGTTTCCTGGACTTTTATCACATTCCAAAGACATGTTTTGTGTTGCGAATCACGGTAACAATCCTAATTTTACATAAACTTGAAATCCACCAATGGTAACATCAAAATCTCATGTAATTGTATTTATAAGGAAATCCAACACACCTTTGTGGTAACAGTTATATTTACGAAAAAAACCGACAACAACCAACCTGCCCTGTCTGGTCTTAGGAGCGCTTGAGGAAGTCCGAGGCCTTGAAGGACGAGCTGACCAAGTTCCTCCAGGAGCACGGAGGCCTAGTGTTGTGGCTGGATCAGTCCGAACAGGAGCTGAGGTCTCTGGGAGAAGGAGAGACCGACGCCCCAGGGCTCAAGGGGCGAATGGAGGAGCACAGAAAGGTACAGTACAAACAAACTGTGACTGAATGGTGCACCTTCTTGTTTTGAAGCTTTTTAATGAGAATTTATACACAGTAAATAGTCTTATTTTTTCTCCAAATGTCTTTATTAATTTTTCAATAATAAATAACACACACAACAACATTGGTACATTGTACAGTATGTTAACTATTGTCTTGTCTGCCTGTTGCCTGTGGAGACGAGAGCAGCTAGCATGAGGTTGAGTTAGCCTGTGGTCCTTGTCTGGCTTCCTGTGGAAATTTCAAATGCCCACCGTCCATCAAAGATGTAATTTATGGTCACAGAGAGAAAGAAAATAAAGTTCAAGGCCTCACCAACACTGCACAATTTGAACATTGAACACTACTCCTTAGTCTATTTTCAATTCACTTCAATGTTTTTGTGTATAGCTTTATTTTATGTATTAGTTTTTTGATATATTTAGTAGAGAAAAGTGTACACAAACAACATTTTAAACACAACAACATTTATAGCCAAGGCTAATTTGCAACGTCCGTCTCCAGAATATTTAAATTACAAGAGCCGTCTTAATGGAGGACTGTAGTTAGTTTAACTGCAAATGGCAAATTAAAAAAATCTGAATCAGTTGTCGATTTGCCAACAACAGATCAGAGAATCAAATGGTTCGATAAAAAACAGGAAATACAATAATAACAAACACGTAGGAGCCATTGGTTCATAGTGAGAGGGATGAACACTGTCCATAAATGTCAATAAATACATTTCTTCTGAAGCTCAAATATGAAATGAATCAATACAAACCTATATTAAAACTAGTGTCCAGCCTAGAACCCACAAAGCCCCCCGACTGAAATGCTCTGGTTTCTCTCTTCACGTGTTTCTGCCGTCACCCCAACGTCATGATGAGGATTCCAGCTTTGTAAAAAGGTTGAAAACAAATCACCTCTGAGCATCTGGAGTTTTCAAACTGCAGTAAAAACAAATGCAGCCTTTTGGACCTTTTTCATCTTTAACGGCGCGAGCAGCAGTTTCCCAGAGTCTGTGTCTGTTCTTTGGCCTAAACGGGCAGAGATTTATTCAGTCACACATCACAAAGGAGCCACAGGGGTAATTTCACTTGTTAGGAGTCCCTTGGCACCACATTAGTGACTTACATGTGTTTTCTTCCACATGTTTCTCAGCCAATTTGATACAGACCATTTCTCTGCTCTAGCTTCCATTACCAACGTGGGCCCGTCTGTATTGGACAACCACGCGAGGCATTTCTCATTATCAGAATGAATCAAGTTTACGGATCCATAGACGTCAGCAAAGTGAAAGAAACACAGCTCAAAACTGTGGCGTTGACCACAGCGTTGTAAAAGTTTATTGCCTTTAAATGAAAACTCGAACATGGGAGCTTTTTCTCATCAGATAATTGAGTGTTATAAATAATAATGTTCGTATTTTCTAGACGCCTGAATGAATGCCCTTTGCTGTTTAAGAAATAAATAGAGATCTCATTAGAACACAAAGAATAATGAGCATAATAAACCGAAGGAGTGCTATAAAAGTACTGATATCCAGGATTGTAAAAGCTCAAGTGGATCTGTCATTATAATTACCAAGGGCTTTTCTGACTCACAGCAGCAACAGTTGCATTGTATAAAGTGGAAAACGCATCACAAATCATAAATAAATCCTTTTATATGATGGTTGTATTTATTTTTGCCATATGGTATTTCCTTGCCTGCTTACTCCTGTCTCACTAGAATGACCTAAACCCTCTCGTTTGCAGCTGTCTGAAGACGTGATTTGCCACAAAGCCGACCTGCGGTTCGTGTCCATCTCGGGGCAGAAGGTCCTGGACTCGGTGCAGGGGGCTCTGGAGCAGGTGGGAGGATCGGACCCTTCTCTGGACTCCACCAAACAACTGGTTACAGACAAACTGCAGGACGCCAACCACAGATACACAGCACTGCACACGAAGGTAGGTGTCTGCACCAGGAGGTGAGAGGAGGGCAGGCATGAAGTGAATAACTGTGTGTTGTATCTGTTGTGTCTCTTAAGGGTGTGACATTTTACCTGTATTGGCTCGTTAGGTCATTTGTTTGGTTGCTGTCACTTTGCCTCTGCCCTGGGACTATGGATGACAATTTGCTAGTAGCTATGGCTCGTCTGTATAATACATTTATTGCACAATGTCCCTGTCAAATAGATATGTAAATAGATAACGAGTGAAGCTAGCAAACAACATGGTGGAGCAGTGTTTAGCGCTTGTGCTTCACAGCAAAATGGTGGTTCGATTCCATCTCATTATCTCGGTGTGTCTGCTTCGGTTTCCCCTTCCTGACCCCACCCCTGCCCCCTCTCTCTGGGGCCAGGACTGAAAAAGAGAATCTGCAATCTGACTTTCCTGATTAAATAAAGGTCAATAAAATATTAACCCATTGGTTTACTGGAGATACTTTCTTCATTTTTAATATGTTAGGACTTAATGCTTACTTTCTGCACCAATATATGAATAATAGCTTGTTTCATGTGCAGCTAATTGTAGTCCAACAAATGCTTGCTAAAAAGAGATATAACTCTTAAAGGTATATACAGTAGGAGGATCATCCGGGTGGTTCATCAAGACTGGTCATCAAAACTGGTCCCATTTGTCAATCATTCTGGTGATACGTGCTCGTCAAATAAGACTAGAGAGTCTTAGAGAGGGCGGTTCTCTCCTAAAATTTGGTCTAATCTTCTAATAAACCTTTAACCTAAGTTAAATATATTAATTTCTTGGTTTGAATTGAACAGCGAAAACATTCAATCTTCTGTTTCCCCCACTATTATCTCTCCTTGTTTGTCACTGTATTAATAAACATCCATATTAAGTCCTCTCTGTGTTGCTCCAGTCCACAGAGCTGAGCGGGCGTCTGTCGGGCCTGTTGGAGCGGTACCAGCAGTACCAGGATGAGATGGTGTCTCTGCACTCGTGGCTCAGCGCTCAGGAGCAAAACCAAAGCATCAACAAATCCACTGTGGACACGGACCCTCAGAACCTGCAGAACACTCTGAGACAAGTGCAGGCAAGTCTGTGACATCACAACAGTTCTGGACCAATGGAGGAGAGAGAGACCAGGACATTTTTCAGTTAGAAATGTCAATTATACATAATCAATTAAAGGCTTTCGATCGATAAAGGAGAAGTCTTGTTGAATTGTACTGGTGTTATTGTATGGACAACTGAATAATTGAACAAAGACTTAAAGCTGAGGAAGCTAAATTTCAAACTACAAACATAATTAACACGAGAATTTGACAGCTTTTATTTTTAGTAGTATAATTACATAACTTCATGTTCAATTCATGATCAATTATCTTTTGTTTTTGAAACGTGAATACTTCTACAACTCCCAGAGAAGAGCCAGTACTAGTTACCATAGCATGTATCTGTGGCCTCTGTCACAAGTTTAAATCATAAATTAAATACGCTTTGTCTTTTATCGTGCTCCAGACGTTGCAGGACGAGATGGCGGAGCGCTCTGTCCAACTGGAGAAAGTGAAACGAGCCGGACGAGATTTAGTGAGCACCGAAGAGTCGCCGTGTCTCAAAGCCGTGGACATTCTCTGTGCTGCAGGTAATTATACACACACGATTCTCAAACTGTTGTCCTTGGAATCACCTGCTGTTCAATTAGTTGTTCAATTATATTTTTTAGTTAAGGAGAAAATTAAAAAAGTAACTGTCCTTTTATCTATTTAGCCTGGCCTTATCCATCCGTACACTCTGCTCAATCATCATTTCCTGCAAGTAGCGTCTGGGTCTGGTCCCTGTGTTTGCGATTACAATTGGTTGAATTCCATCCGACCAATCAGCGTGTTGTAGTTAGATGTGGGTGACGTCAAGAGTTTGCGTCGAACGAGAAGGTTGTAGTTTGGCAATGGCAAAGAAGGCACCAATGTAAAGTAATCCGGTCTAGTTCTATCAAGAAATTGAAGCCGGAGCAAGAGGAATGTTTAGCAAGAGTCATTTCTGCCAAAGATTGTGGCGCTACTCCCCACGTGCTCTGTTAGTGGCAAAGAAGATGGCTAGGCGAAATGCTAACGACTCACTCGGGCGCATTACAAACGTCCGGGTAAACTTAGATCCAATCGTTTCAATCTGCAAAAGGAGTTAACCCCTCCCACCTGTTAACGGAGTCAATGGAGCACCCCCAGACCTTAGTACGAAATGTAATTTGTACTATGGTGTGGTACAACCAGGCGTGGAAATGGCGTAATCCGGTGTTAAACTTCTTCTGGTCTTTTCTCCCTGCTGCTGTCAGACTGTACAATGAACATTACCAAATATGTATATGTGCCATTTTTCTGAGAGTCACTATTGGACATTTTTATTTTTTCACTTTTCAGTCTGATTAATCTGATCTGAAGATGTGACGGAGGCCAAAAAATACATAAAACTATTTTAGACAGAGATATAGTTACATATAGTTCAATTCAATTCACTTATCTTTATTTACAAAACGTTCACACATTCTCATTTTGTAAAAGTTTGTAGGTTTGGTAAAAAGGAACTCCCAGGAAGCTGTATTAGCCAAAAGGGCGGCCCAACAATAACATTTCTTGTATCTTTAAAGACCTCGTGAGATGAATCTTTTCTCCCATTTGTTATTATAGAAGTGTAATGTTGCTGCAGTCGGTGTGGCTGTGGGGGTCGGACTCTTGGGCCTGGTGGGGGCCTGGGGCCTCGGTTTCATGTCTCCTCTGGGTCCTGTGTCGTCCCCTGTGGCTACGGGCGGCTCTCTGCTCCTGGTGCAGACGGCTCCTTGGATGACGCTTTTTCAGCTGGTTGCATCTGAACCCTGCCAAGTCTCTCATCATTGTTTTACTGTTTTACTTGTGTGTGTGTGTGTGTGTGTGTGTATGAGTGTTCATGAGCGCGTGTGTGTGTGTTTGTCTGTGGTTTGGGGTGGGTCTGTTGGGTGGTCTGGGGGAGGGGTCTTGGGTCGGCGGGATTGTTTTTATCCATACTGTAAAGCACTTTGTGTTGCATCTTATGTATGAAAAGGGCTTTATAAATAAAATTTGATTGATTTGATTGATTAATGTTGATTGAATGAATGAATGTCCTGGTGTGTGTCCTCGTAGACGGTTTGGAGAAGCGTTTTGGCTCGCTGTCGTCCTCGGTGTCGGAGCGAGCGGAGCAGCTGCAGACGGCGGTGGCTCAGTCGGTCAGTGTCCAGGAGGGACTGAAGACGCTGCTGTCCTGGTTCGACCAACTGCCCCTGCAGCCGGGACCAGTGCTGCCCACTGCCCAGGCTGTGCAGGAGGCCCTCACCCAGAACCAGGTCTGTGTCTGTTTGTTTGTTTGTGTGTCTGTGTCTGGACGTGTCTCTGTGTGTGTCTTGTGTCTGCCTGTGTGTGTCTGTGCCTTTGTCTGGGCGTGTCTCTGGGCGTGTCTCTGGGCGTGTCTCTGGGCGTGTCTCTGTGTCTGTCTGTGTCTGTCTGTGTCTGTCTGTGTCTGTCTGTGTGTGTCTGTGCCTTTGTCTGGGCGTGTCTCTGTCTGTGTCTGTCTGTGTGTGTCTGTGCCTGTGTCTGGGCGTTTCTCTCCTGTGTGTGTGTGTGTGTACGTGTGTTTCTCTGTGTGTATTTACATGTGTTTCTGTGTGTGTGTGTGTTTGTCCGTTTGTTTGTGTGTAACTATGTGTATGTCAGTGTGTTTCTCCTTCTGTGTATCTCTGTCTCTGTGTCTGAAAAAAAATAAAAAAAAATACCTGTTCATATTCTGGCCAGAAACGCTACATCTGACTCTGGGAAGTCCCTGTGCTCCGACACATGTACAACAGAATAAATCGCGTCGGACTAGTGATCAAATGAAACTGTAACTTGATATGGAGATCCCTCCGGAAAGAGACTTGTTCAAGCTCCATTCCAATAAGAATCTCTCTTGTCGTTCAGAAACTTCGGCAGGAGCTGCTGTCCAGGCAGGGCAGTGTGGACGCCACTCGAGAGGCCGTGTCCCGCCTCCTGCAAAGTTCGGACGCCTCCATGGCCTCGGGTCTGAAGCGCTCCCTCGACCAGCTCACTCAGAGGTTCTCCGCGGCCCAGGCCTCGCAGGCGGAAAGGGAGGCTGAGCTCAAAGCACTGCTGCCCCGACTGGAGAACCACGAAAGGCTGGGGGCTGACCTCCAGCTCTTCACCCAGAGCCGACAGAAGGCCCTGAGCCCAGTGGGACAGCCCGACCGCAGCGTGGAGGACTACCGCCAGACGATAGAGGTCAGATATCTGGGAAATATATGGGCATATACATGGATATAGAAATAGAGGGAGATAGATAGACATATCTAATTAGAGATATACAGAGAGAGAGCCCGAGAGAGAGCCCGAGAGAGAGCCCGAGAGAGAGCCCGAGAGAGAGCCCAAGAGAGAGCCCAAGAGAGAGCCCAAGAGAGAGACAGAGAGATGGAGTCTGCAAGCGAAGTGCAGACTCCATCTATAAAGATATATTGCATAATAAGGGTAGAAAAACAAATAATTCTCATTGCGTTTCTTACATTTGGACTTGTGCTGCGTCTGTAATATTGAAGTAATCCATGTTTGCTGTGGCTCTTTCATTCTGTAAATGTCCACGGAAAAGCAACTTTCTTTAACCCCTAATGATGCAAAACACACAAGGTATGTTTTACGCAGCATGTAATTACAGTATAATAAAAATATAAACTCTGAAAAACTGTAACGAGATCATACAGGTAGCTTTTAAGTACCAACACCTTTTTACGGTAATGGTTCATCTAAAATTTGATTAAATGAGTTTGGCACTTATTGGCACAAAGTGTGCCAAATAAAACCGGATGGCACCAGTTTATGTAAAAGGGCAACTGCATCAAAACTATAAAACCTACCGGTCTGAAACTTAGTTTTGAATATTGTGAGCTTACAATGAAGTTTGCCTTTGTTAGGGGTTTTATTAATTGAATATTTTAGGTGACTTTAAACAGTTTTTTCCAACTTCAAAGGATGCAGAGTGAAATAGGAAAAAGATAAATTATTCTATTGTATATTAACATAAACTAGTAGGCTCTAGCTTTAAAATGATGCATCACACAAGCATGTGATGCGTAAAATGTATTTTTAAATTGGGGTATGGCCAACTTTTGTGCACAAGCCAAAAGAGGTGGGTGTTATGAGGTTAAGCATCAAGACACATGCTTCTCTGCTTTTGTTAACGCATATTGTTTGAATGTTATGACTTTTCCAGGAGGTGAAGTCTGAGCTGGAGCAGGAGTCGGGTCAGCTGAAGTCGTTCTGCAGCCTTGGCTCCGAACTCAGCCAATCCAGAACATTCTCCAACACTCAGAGCCTTTTAGACAACGTCAAGGAAGTCTCTGACGAGTTCCACCAACTGGAGACGAGCGTCAACAAGAGGTAACGCCCACTAACACTGCCAAAGTTTACCACTGCTGCATATAGACTGAAAATGAATGTGGAAATAGCTGATTGGAACGTAAGCTAGCTGAAGCCAATTTGGGTTTTTGTTCCGACAAAGTTAGCTTTGCCCTGTAACAGAAGCAGACGTGTTGCTAAGACTGTTGCTAAGCCAAGACGAAGCCTAAGATGCACTAAGATGCTTCAATATTATCATTTATCCTTTTATGAATCCATGTATTTGCATATGTTGGATCTGTGTGTGTGCGCGTGTGTCTGTATCTGTTTGTGTGTGTGTCTGTGTGTGCACATGTGTTTGTATATGTGTGTGTACATGTATCTGTGTGTACGTTTTAAGTATATTGGTTGGTAGCTTATAAATTTGACATCTTCCCACTCCTTGTTGAGAAGTGAAAAGAGGAAACCCTTATATGTATTTTATATGGCTATAAATTCCATTATTGGTTCCTATTGCTTGAAGTAAATAAATAAAAAAAAAAACAGTGTCTGCTCCTGGTGTACCATGAATGACTATAGCTGCAGATATGTAAAAAATGTAACCGGATTATCTCTGGATTAGCTTTCCGACATCTCTCTCCGCGTCGAGAGGCTTTTGCTTTTGGCATTTCTAAAACCGTATCCTTCGCCGGTTGCCATGCCGACCCCGCTTCCTCTCCAGAGGCCCGTCGGCACCAGCAGGGGGCCGGAATGTGTGTGGGATATTTGGACCGGATTTATCTCCCACTTTAAAGTCCTGTTTCAACACGTCCAGGCACAGATTAAGTGACGAGGGCTAAAATAATCATGTTGTCACCTTTGGGACGTGGAGAGCGCTTTAGAGATCATTCTTTAACTTTTTCTTCTTTCTTTTTCAATATGCAATGGACTATATGTATTGTATATTTCTTTTACCTTTAGACTATTAAATGTTGTCCTTAATAAAAATATATAGTAATAATAATATAGTTTTTTGTTTGCTTGGTAGAATAGAGGATTTTGTGAGTCTAGATTATAGCTTGGTGATATTTCCTTATTCAGGGAACACTTGTCCAATCAGATCTAGTCTTAATTGTCTTGTTTCGCTCTCCTGCTTTGGTTTAGAAGAAATATTGTTTAGAGTCAGAGAGAAGTTTCACATTATTCCCTCGTCAAAAACAGAAAAGGTGGAGATGGGTTTTGTACTTTTTAAACCAAAAGTATTAGTTCTTTATAACTGTGTGTCTTCAATCAGACTGTGCAGTTTTAGACTTTTAGTGAAATCTAGATCAGAGGGACCGAGAGAGGGAGAGCAGGAGATGGAGAGCAGGAGACTGAGAGCAGGAGACTGAGAGCAGGAGACTGAGAGCAGGAGACTGAGAGCAGGAGACTGAGAGCAGGAGACTGAGAGCAGGAGACTGAGAGCAGGAGACTGAGAGCAGGAGACGGAGAGCAGGAGACGGAGAGCAGGAGACGGAGAGCAGGAGACGGAGAGCAGGAGACGGAGAGCAGGAGACTGAGAGCAGGAGACTGAGAGCAGGAGACTGAGAGCAGGAGACTGAGAGCAGGAGACTGAGAGCAGGAGACTGAGAGCAGGAGACTGAGAGCAGGAGACGGAGAGCAGGAGAGCGGGAGACGGAGAGTGGGAGACGGAGAGCAATATATGGTTCCTGTGCCAAAGTTTCATCCAGAAAGTGCCAATTTCAGGAGACTCTTTCTACCTGTTCTTTGTGGACAATACTTAAAGGAAGGAGGGGATTTGGTTATTCTACTCAATTGTAAGATAGCGATGTTATTACCTTCATTAACCTTATTCCACTAAGAAGACAAGATGAACTTAGTGTAAGTAAGTAAGTAAGTAATCTTTATTTATATACCGCCTTTCACAGAGCAGAGTCACAAAGCGGTTTACAATTGTTATTTTTTGGGCATTTGTCTCTCACTCCTCACAGAGATGGGAGCGGTCGCCAGTACAGGAGGCGCATGCCAGAACTATTGTACATATTTTTAGTGGTAGGGGAAACCGGAGTACCCAGAGGAAACCTACGCAGACACGGGTAGAACATGCAAACTCCACTCAGAAAGGCCCTGGTCCGACCGGAATTCGAACCCAGGATCTTCTTGCTGAGAAGCGAGAGTGCTATCCACTCAGCCACCGTGCCGCCCATGAGAGAAAGAGAGAGACAGAGAGAGAGACAGAGAGAGAGACAGAGAGAGAGACAGAGAGAGGGTAACAGACACGTACACACGTAGACACACACACACACACACACACACACACTCTCTTGGAAAGCTGACATAGTTAACGTCTCTTTTGAACACTCCGGGACAGAGCCTTAGACGACCCTCCTAAAATTAAACTACATTTGGAAGCGGCCCCTACATTTTATCTTTTTAAACATTCCAAACGTGGCGTGGATCCTTCGCCTGCCTGTAGCCGCTGTATTTGGGCCTCCGCGGTGGACTTTGAGGCTAATCTAAGCAGTGTGGACACGGCTCACAAACTTTTGGACCAGTCCCAGTGCTCTCTGTCCCGAGGGAGAAAAATAGCCTGCGTTGTAATGACACAGTCCTGCTCCAAATGGCTTCTAAGAGCTGTTTTGTCTGCGCTCCGATCACAGAGGCCAGAGCAGAGTCAGCAGAGCCCCCAAGGCCTGTCAGAAGCACTCTGTGGAGTCACTACTATCTATAATCATATCATTAAAGCTCAATATCACACTAATGCCTTTGTCCTGACCCCAACGACAAAGGCTGTTTCTACGCCATTTTTTCAGAAATGGATGGAACGACTCATTGGTGCTCTGTTGTTTTACTTTGTTCAGTTTTGTCTTTATGTATTGGGACATTTTGCCTTAGAAAATGTATCTGGTTCTACTCATTGGCTTTTTACAATAGGTTTATTACTAGTGTATACACAACAAGCATCACACTTTCTACCACATTTCCGTCACAAATGTCCGGTGGATATAGATTTGTGATTATTTCAACAACAACAAAAATGAAGATTTAGAGATCCCACAAGGGGGGAAATTTCAGTATTGTGTCACCAGTTACAGTAGGAGTGAAGAGCACACAGCACAAGATACATGAACAATAACTCTATACTGAAATATAAGTATATAAGTATAATGTAAGTATAACATTTCTAGCTTTAATAAGGAAGCAAGTCTAAAATATTCACTTTTAGCATAATAAATAAGAATTAACAATAAAACCTGTATTTCCTCCTTGGTCTCTCACATTCTTCCTCAGATTTACGTATACTATTGAAAATATGGTGTAATATTTTCTATTGAATTCATTACATACAGCTTTTATATCCACGAAAAAGCACCTTCTCTCATTGTTGCTCCAAATGGCCTTTGATAGAATGCATGTTTGGTTTGTCCATAAATAACTCACATAAAACAACTCATTATCTTCAGTCACACTCATACGATGCTGTCATTTGTCCAGGTTTGATGCGATCCACGCCTGTGAGGAGCAGTTGCACCAGTTCCGTGGGCTCTCTGGCTCCCTCCACAGGTGGTTGCAGTCGGCGCAGGACCAGCTTCCCGCCAAAGAGACCGGCCTCAACACGGACGGACTTCAGCGGCGAGTTCAGCAGCTCACGGTGAGGTTTCTAGTCACGGTACAAAGGGATGAGGTTTAGTGTTGCTGCCCAATGGAGACCTGTTAATAAGAGATTCAAGATTAAGATTCAAAGTCCAGTTTCTTTTATTTCAATTGGAATAACTGTACAGGACTACCCCAGTGTACACCAGACCAAGGAGATAGTACACACAGAGCGTTTACCAATGTCAGGTCCATGCTAAAAGGAGTAAAGCTGGGAAGTAAAAGTCTGCTCAGGTTTCTGGAAGTAAAATTCCCCATGCAAAACCACCATAAGGATTTAGAAAAATGACCATTATAAAAGATTGATAACTTGTGCTGGGCTGATTAGCTATCTGGTGAGTGATAATTAGCAAAAATAAGCGAAATGCTATGTTTAAGTTGCGGTTCTTTTGGCTGTAGCGGTTAGCAGGTAGCTATTTGGCCTCTGTTGTGTCTTTAAACTCTTGATACTTTGATTTTTATTAAACTTCAGAGCTCCATGCTAAATTCAAAGATTAGAGAATTACTTTACTGACTGCTTTGTTCAGGAATTTCTGAATTAAGGGGAACAAATTCTGATCTGACAAAGTTTCCACTGATCTAGCTTTAAGGGGGCAGAGCTCAGAGCGATAAGACAGGACTCAATTCAGAAGTTCATGAACTGGCAACCGTTTTAGATCGATATTGAGATTTCAAATATACTGTGTGTAATGATGAGCCACAGGGGCCATAGATTATCACATGACACAGCAGAGAAAAACATGTTATCTCTTCTTTAACCCTCAAAGAAACAATTAAAACAGCCATCTTGTTTTTTTGTTTTTCAGTACGATCTGGGATTTTATAATAATCATATTCTACATCTGTCATATAACTTATATTAAAGTGATGGAACCATAAAGACAAAGTAAAAAATGAAACGGAAAATCAATTTGATAAACATGTATTGAAAAAACACAATGAAAATGCTCTAAACAACTATTTAGACTGTATTGTAATATTTTTTAGGGTCTTTCTTTTTGCGTATGCTTAGTCTATTGTTAGACGATCGCTTATACTAAATTCTCAACTTCTCTCAGGACTTGTTGAACGATTGGGAATCTCAGGGATCTCGAGTTCAGGAGTTGAACAAAAAAGGCTCGGAGCTGGAGACTCTCATCATCGACATCACGGCTCCTCAAACCAAAACCGGTAAGAAACAGAGAAACTTCCTGAGACTTGCCCGCTGTTACCGTGACGATCGTACCATTTGAAGCCGCCTCGTCTCGTGGCTTCCGTGTTGTTCTCGTCTCAGTCTGTGTTCGTCGTTGTCTTTCCTTAGGTGCTCCTCACATCAATGGCTCTTCCGGTCCCGGCAGCCTCAACGGCATTCACACGTGTAAAGGTAAAAGTGAACCTCCAGGCCTCCCCAACCACATCACAGTCTGCCGTCTTCTTCTTCTGTCCTTTCTCTGTGCCTGTTTTGTCTGCTTCCTGTTTAAGATATTTATACATAGTAGTCAGGGTGGTAAAAACGCATTGATTTGTCCTAGTTTTTTCTTTTATTTATTTATTCATGACTATATATAGATGCTATGGAGCGCAAGTTACAAAACAGCAAAGCAATACATCCTTTTAACAAGACCTTTTTTTTTAACAAATTTACAAATAATTCTGTGGCTTCCATTTAGGAGATCTTTTATTTTCAAAACCATGGCAAAATTTCAGTGTTGCACCAGTTATACTGTAGAACAGTAGAAATGAGGAGCACACCAGCGCACAAGAAAAGTAAACAATAATTCACTGAAGTAAAATAAAACTTTAACTCTAACTTTAGCGTAAAAAAAGAAGCAAGAATAGCATTTTTTTTTTACAGTTTGAAGCTGTCTTGTTGACGTAAAAGTTTCCCCAGTTTTGATTACAGGCATTAAAACCCTTATCGCTTACCTCTGTTACTCTCATTTCAAAACCATCATCTACTTGATATGAAGACCACATATTCTTATCAAATGGGAGAACTCGGATAAAAGGGAAATGTCATATTCCTCCCTCCTGCCGTGAAGAAAGTGGTGATCCTTATGTGATGCCTCTCTCAAATTCTTTAATGTTATAAACCTGGCTCTTTCCTCTCATCCAACTCACCCGTTATTTGAGAAATTGATGTTTCATTGAAATTGATTTTTTGCTTCTTTAGATTTAGCTTTTTCAGACCAAAAAGAACGACTTTTGCTTACACGGCTCTGTCTCTTTAAGTATGCAAGAGATGACATGTTTTCTTTTTTAAGATAAAGACAGGTGAATGTAACTGAAAGTTGGCCTAACAAGATTATAACACTGTACGCAACAAACTTCTCCCTTTCTCCTCCAGATTGAAGAGCACATTAATTCCTACCTAATATTAATCTTTTCTATATATTTACACAATATCAATTTCTAAAAAGGTCCTCAAACCAGACCTCCAACCAAGCAAGAGCCACCAGACTCCACCCCTTTCAACAAGTCTCCAGGTTAAGACTTGCATTTACTTTATCGCTGGAGTCTGGTGTGCTCCTGCTTGGTTGGAATGAAAACCTGCAGCCGGAAATGCCAAAGTAAAAAGCTGATTTCTCTCGCTTCTCTGTCCAGACTTGACGGAGCTGCAGGTGGCAGTGTCGGACGTGAACAGCAGGTTTGAAGGCCTGGGTCTGGATCTGAAGGAGCGTCTGTCCAAGCAGCGGTCTTCCCTGGAGCTGAGGCAGAAGGCGACCGAGGGCACGGACGAGCTGAAGGGCTGGCTCACCCAGAAGGAGAGCAGCTTCACCCAGACGCAGGTCGCCTCCCCGTCCAAATCTGAGGCGGTCCGAGCCCAGGCCCAAGAGAACAAGGTATTATGAACATTTATGGACTTGTTCGTATCAACATTTATGGACATTGTTCTCTTCCACTTATGGACCAATGTTGGACTATGTATGGACCAATGATATGTTTGTTATCATTGCATTTGTTTTGAAATATTTTGACATAAGCAAAATATATTTTTTGAACTTTTAATCATCAGAAGGATTTAATCTAATCAGAAACAGACTCGAGAGGTTGTTTTTAGATACATCCACGCTAATAAAGGGAAAAAAACAGGTTCCTTCTGTCTGAAAGCTCCTGTCTCAGTCCTCTAATAGTAAGAATAGGTAAAGTTTTGCTCCTGTAGTAGTTTTGGTAATTTCTCAGATGAAATTATGTATAAAACATTAACTGGTTAATTAAAATAGTCCATCCATCCATCCATTTTCTACCCTTTAATCCATTTCTGGGTCAGGGGGGTGGCAGTCAGAGATGCCACCCAAGTCTCATAGCACCAGCCCCTCACTGACCCTCTGCAGGTGGTGAGTCCACAGGAGGGGATTAAAATAATCCCCTCCTAATAATTAAAATAGTCTTATTATGAATTTCAATAAACAACAGTATTGCATGATATTTCTTCTTTAAGTTGACTTACTAACCAATTAATATAGCCGTAATATATTCCCTCTTGATATCATAATTGAAAGTCTGGGGGCAGTGGTTCCCAAAGTGGGGGGGTGCAGAGCAATTACAGGGGTGTAATTTTGTTCAACGAATGAATGAACAAAACACAGTAAATTTAACAAGTAAAAAATAAAAAGACAAAAACACAGTAGGCTATATGACACTGCTAGCATAAGATGGACACATTTATGACACATTACAATCTGCAGTTAGGGCTGAGGTTTATATTAATTACAATGTGTGAAATAAACTGCAATGGACTCTGAAAACAAAATGTGTTTTGATGTAAAGATGTTGGAATAGAATTGAGGAGGACGACAAGGATTGGGTTTAATGCGGGTTCTCCTCTGCTTCAGGAGTTACTATCGGAGCTGGCGGAGCGCACGGTGAAGGTGGAGGAGCTGAAGAGCACTTTGAGGAAACTGATCGCAGAAAACCCAGACTCTCCAGAGGCCGAGACCTGGAGACAGCAGCTCCAGGACATCGGTATGTCGTCCCAAAATACCAACGGATACCAACCGCCGAATAGAGCAGGAGAATGCAGACACACACAGAGAGAGGAGGGATAGTCCTAAACTCTTATTATGGACAAAAAACTGAAGAGCAGTTACTTTTCCCTTATAATATTAATGTATTTCAAATTATATTCTACTTTGGCTAATATGGACGTTGAGCCAAACTGGTGAAAACTGGTAGAATCTCCCTAGCACGTGTCATGAAGTTTTTTCAGCCCAAAACTTTTCTATCACAGTTTTAAAAGGTATAGGTATAGGAGGATTTCCAACTTCCGGGTGGATCATCAAGACTATTGGTCCTCCCAGTTGTCAATCATTCTGGTGATACGTGCTCGTCAAATAAGACCAGAGAGTTTTGTTCAAAAAATGGAGAGGGCAGTTCTTTCCTAAAATTTGGGATAATCTTCCTATAAACCTTTAATAAGTTAGAAAATGGTTATTGTGCAGAGTTCTTGCAGGTGTGAGGAATCTTACAAGATCATGTCTGAAGCCTGAAGCAAAGCAGCTGGAGCTGTAACTTCTGTCAGCTCAAACACAGGCCACTGTCGCCTCTGGAACCTGAGTCAAACTTGGTGTCGATTTAGAGCAGGTATACTAAGACAAGAGAAATGTGAATGTACAGTATACTGAGTCAAGATGGGTCTGTATGTATACTGAATCAAGATGGGTCTGTATGTATACTGAGTCAAGATGGGTCTGTATGTATACTGAGACAAGAGAGGTCTTTATGTATACTGAGACAAGAGAAGTCTGTATGTATACTGAGACAAGAAAGGTCTGTATGTATACTGAGACAAGAGAGGTCTTTATGTATACTGAGACAAGAGAGGTCTTTATGTATACTGAGACAAGAGAGGTCTGCATGTATACTGAGACAAGAGAGGTCTGTATGTATACTGAGACAAGAGAGGTCTGTATGTATACTGAGACAAGAGAAATGTGTATGTATACTGAGACAGGAGAGGTCTGTATGTATACTGAGGCAGGAGAGGTCTGTATGTATACTGAGACAAGAGAGGTCTGTGTATACTGAGACAAGAAAGGTCTGCATGTATACTGAGACAAGATGGGTCTGCATGTATACTGAGACAAGAGAGGTCTGCATGTATACTGAAACAAGAGAGGTCTGTATGTATACTGAGACAAGAGAGGTCTGTATGTATACTGAAACAAGTGAGGTCTGTATGTATACTGAGACTGGAGAGGTCTAAGCTTGTATGTATACCGAGACGTGAGTGGCCAAATTAGCTCCAGTTATGTTGCCTAGTCCATGTTCTCGGCTCTTACAAACACAGAGACTGTCATGGACATAGACAGATTGTTTTTGGCTGTATATTTTTGCAAAGGCACTCACTGTTTTTAGAGCTTTATTAATAACATGTTTTTAAACCCGTCACTATTCCTTTCATCCAATGTATCCAGAGCTTTCGCTTTTTAAACCCCCGAACAAAGCCACACAGCCATTCCGACGTGCTTCCAGAGTCCGATAGTTCCCAGCCAAAGCTTTTGATGTTTTAGGCAGCGCTTTTGTCTGATGAAGAAACAGAAATATTTGAGGTGAAATAGAAGACGGAGGTTTTCATGGAGCACAGATGGGCACAGTCGCAGCCGATGCCTAGAGGATGAGTCACCGGCTGAGAAAAGCAGACGTGGGAGGGACATGGGACGGCGAGGGTATTGTTTGGACTTGAGATTTTGGTTCGAAGGTGCAAGGTGTTAGAAGAGTATGGAGGGTGTTACTTTTTCACTAGATCAGGCTGATTTTCTGGCCTCTTATAGATAATATTTATATAATTGTTTAAAGAGAGTAACCTTTTCATCCAGAACACATGATAAAAAAAAAGTAGGTTTCATCTGTAAACTATATACATACAATATCCATTATATTACGTTGAATATAATGGATATTATTGACATTATTATCATGTATATTAAGCATTTTTCATGATAAATATAAAAAAATCTTGGAATAAGCCTCACCAGGTAGATTTGCTTGAGGTGAACAGTTTGACCAATGGGAGGTAGCCTCGGCTGTCCATCAAGGATTTGAATTCATCCAATCAGGAACCTGTGGGGGCGGGTCTAATGTCCTTCCATCTTCACAATTTGAAAAGTAACAAACCTTGACTTTAAATTTTAACAAAAAAGTATTTTCTTTAAATTAGTTTTGGGGAATTTCTCCAGTCAAATGAAGTTCTTTACATCTAGATGGCTTCCTTTAGATAATGCCATGTTAGATTTGAGACAGAAGCTTAGTTGTGACTTGTTGGTAGAGCACTGGTCTTTGGACTTAATGGTTGTGGGTTCGAGCCCACAACGACCAATGTCACCTGCTCCCACTGATGTCTGCTGTTGCTGTGTCCCTGGGCATCATCCTGTGGACCCACCACCTGCAGGGGGATCAGTGAAGGATTGATGCATTGAGACTTGGGTGGCAGCTCTGATTGCCCCCCCCCCTCGACCCAGAAATGGATTAATAAAGGGGTAGAAAATGACATGACATGCCATGTTAGATTGTTGTTTCTCTCTTCACTAGATGACTCCTCTACAATTTACTCAATGAATTGCTTCAGCACTAATTCGTATACATGTTTGTATTTATTTATCTTTTGTATGTATTTCATATTATGAAACACAACAGTTAATGTCAGTTACTTTTCAAATAGAAACTTAAACTTGTTGAAGATGAGCACTGATTAGCCCCGCCCATGCTCACCTTACCATTTCTGATTGGTCAAAATTAATTCAAATCCTTGAGACTCCTCATTATTGGTTTAAGTAATTCTCCTTCAGCAAATATATGTCGTAGATATGCCAAAGAGGAGAGAATATTTTAAATATATTGTTGTTGAAAAATGCTTACGATGCTCAAAATTATGCTTTATTCTAAAAAAAACCATAAGGGAAAAGGAACTTAAACGATGGCCAAAGTAATAATATATAAATAAATAATAAACTACACCACACCAACACACAAACATATGAATCACTAACTCATGTGTTTGCGTCTAAAGACATGACCTAAATTCCTAAATTACTTTTCTCCCCAGACTCACGGTGGCAGGCGACCAATCAGACGGCAGCACAGAGGCAGCAGGAGCTAGAGACCTGCGCTGATAGGCTGGGCACCTTCTCCTCTGCAGCCAATCAGCTTGCTCCGTGGCTCCGGGAGAAAGAGCTGATGATGAGCGTCCTGGGGCCTCTGAGCATCGACCCCAACATGCTCTCCACACAGAAACAGCAAGTGCAGGTCAGACCAGGTTTTGTTCTATGTATTTAGGCCAAACTAGAGGAGACCTAGAGCAGACATGTTGTAAACATATAGTTGCAGGGTATAAATAGTTCACTCACTATTTGTATTATTATTGTATTTTTCAATTATTGTTTTTGTGTTTTTTGTGAGAGAAGCCCGAAGTGCAATGCCAACACTGCAAGAAGTGATGAAAAATAGTCAAAAACTGATCATATTTGGCTAAATGTATCTTAATTTGAGCACATTTTAACAAGATTTGTCAATTAGACAAGAAAAAAAGATACATTAAATGTCTCTCTTGGAATGAGAATTTAAAGCACTTGAAATAAGACCAAATGGCTTCGTCCAAATGACAAATCTTGTTGTAACAGTCAGAACATACTCAAACTAACTTTAAAAACACCAAATTCAACCAATTATTACCGCATATTAAGGACATTTTTGCAGTGTACATGACCTTATTCAACATCTATCTACTAACTGATACCTTCTCATGTGGGTATGGGTTAGTCTTCTCTAATTAGCATATATCTGCTAACGAGTGAGGGCTAATCTAAAGTCTTCCCCATATTTCTTCACAGTTTATGTTGCGTGAGTTCGAGACGCGGCGGCCACAGTTCGATCAGCTGACTCAGTCGGCAGAGGGCATCCTGTCCCAGGCGGACGGGGCTCAGGAGGCCTCAGACCTGGGGGAGGTGAGGGCCGAGCTGGGGTCCATCAGGCAGCAGTGGGACGGACTCACGGACAGACTCTCACAGAGGTCCAGCCACATCGACCAGGCCCAGGGCACTAGCGAGAGATTCCAGGTCAGAGACGCACTCTTTAATCAGCTACTCATGTGCTTTTATGTTACTCTATCTCAAAATAAATGTATTTTTGTACAGTCCAAAATCACAATAACAGTCGTCTTGAAGGCCATCACAGAATATTTTCACCGACGACAAATAGACTAAACTGTTATAACAAAATAAAACATGTCATTGGTTCATAGAATGACGGATTAACCAATGTCCTTTAATGTCACTGAACATCAGAAATCTGCAAAAATAAATATTGAGAACTGTTTAATGAAACCAGCATGACATTTATGCATTTAGAAATAATACAAAAAAAACGTACAGTATAAGCACTTGTCTGGAGGCATGGTGGCTGAGTGGTTAGCTTTCTCCTTTCTCAGCAAGAACGTCCTGGGTCTGAATTGGTTTGTAGTGAACATGTGTTTATAAGATTATAAGAGAACCTTTATTTATCCCACAATGGAGAAAATTTGATTTATATAAAGTTTTTTTAATTTAAATTATATGTTGTGCAGTCTCGCTCTGTCTGCTTCTGGCTTAATCTTCTATTGGCATGTTGTGGAAGACGGTGAGCTAACCACTTTTCAGATTAAAGATTTTAATAGAGGATGTTATTGGACCATGTAGAAAGCCCTTGTAAATATCTCGTCTCATTGGAGCATGGTTGAAAGTGAACAGAGGAGAATGTTAAAGATGGATTTAAAGCACAAAGGTTAATATTTCTGAATGTATTGTTAGAGATGACAATAGATCAACACTTTTTATCTACAAACAAAATTCTAGGTCTCACAGATAATTAACTAAGATTGTTTTGTCATTGTTGCTGTTAAGATTAGTAGCAGCTCAGAGACCATAACTAATAATTAGGATATTAACTTTGTTGTATAATTGTATTTGTAAACACTGAAATGTATAGAACTTGTCATACATTGTTACACATAACATATAGAAGCACCAACAACTGTCACACAATACACAGAATGGGGAAAGGGTCGGAGTTTATAAGTCCCCACTTCTTCCTACTCCTCTTTGAGCACTTTCAAACACTCAGTACTGATTGATGTATGTGCTTCTTTAAATAATATATGTATGTATGTAGCATGTTCATACCAAGATTGCTCAAATAAAAAGAACTAACTAACTAACTAAGATTATGTGTAACTTAGTTGACATTTCTCTCAAACAATGCAGAGATGATGGATAGTTAATGTGAAACTTGGAATATTGTACAAAATGTCATATCATTCTGTAATTCAACTTAAAATGTGACTCCAATAAATGATAGAGACCAGGGCTGTCCAAACCTTTCAGTAAGAGGGCCAGTTAATTTAAGATAAGATGGACTTTATTGATCTCAAACCTCAAGTTCACCAGACTTTGGATTTTAAAACGGGTTCTAGGCTTTAAAATGGGTTTTGATCTGTCCATATTGATCCACACTGCAGATAGCTTTGCATCACATATGGAATTTTGTGACACAATCAAAAAAAGCGGACAATTGGATTCCAAATTTTCTGAGCTGTACAAATAAGAATAGCATGACTGTAGTTGGCTGGATGACGCTGTGAAATGTACACTATGTCATGATATATATTGTGAATAACCAAACAAACTTGAAATCTGCCTAAGCAAGCTGGTGTCCTGTGCAGGCGTTGCTGCGGGAGCTGTCGTCCAGTGTGTCTGCTCTCGGGGAGCAGCTTGACGCCCAGGCCTCTCTGAGCGCTCAGCCTGAAGCCCTGAAGCAGCGGCTGCAGGAGACCGGGCAGATCCGATCTGAGCTGGAGCGTCGCAGGGAGGAGCTGGGCGAGGCGGAGCAGCTCTGTCAGGAACTCAGCGCCATCGTAGTCGAGCCGTACCTGAAGGAGGAGCTCAAAAAGAGGCTGGACAGTGTGAGCGGGCCCCTGAGGAACCTGGAGGAGAGAGCCGGTCAGTAACCCTCACCCTCACCATAGTTACATGTACAGGGCATGAGGCTGTAGTAGTTATTAGGGTTGGGTATCTTTTAGAGTTTGCCAATCCGATACGTAGGGCATAGGGAACTTTCAATATGACACAATTCAACATACATCCAAGCAATTCAATACAAAAAAGCCTTTGTCCCCTTATCCAGTGTTCCGCCTTTTTCCACAAAGATACAATATATTTTATGTATTTATTTTTATTTATTGATCATTGATTGTTGAAAAATCTTCTGAGCGAAGAATATAAACTGTATCCAATCACAGGGAAAGGATGATAATGTATTTGTATTAGGAGAAGATATGAATCCTACAATTTCAATAGATTCTACTGCCAAGTCTGTCACTTTCTCTTTGATTGTAACAACATTTAGACCGAGACGAGATTATTAATATCATTGACCGGGGCTTAAGTCAATTTAACAGTATTAGTTTCCTCAAATAATGACCATTAGTATGACTCCAAACACATGACTCATGAAGATGATAGTCCTAAGTTCTAATAGCTTATTTTGGAAAAGGGTTAGGCTCTATGCTAAATGTAATGATGAGAGATTTGAGTGATTAAAATGGCGTCTCCTTCTCTCCTCCAGCGGACGGCCTGTCGCAGCTGCAGGCGGCACTCTCCTCCACACAGCAGTTCCAGCAGATGTTCGAGGAGCTGCGGTCGTGGCTGGACAATCAGGCCGATCTCAAAGAGGCGTCCAGCGTGGCCATGCCCTGCCAACCCGAGGCCATCCGCTCCCTCTTATCCCACACCGACGACCTCCAGCGGGGCATAGCCAGTCAGAGAGGCTCCTACGAACTGCTCCAGGCTGAGGGGGCTTCCCTTTTAGCTTCTCTACCATCCGGAGGTGACGAACGCACTGCTTTACAATGCCAGCTCTCTGGTTTGAAGCGAGACTGGGAAGGGCTGAACGAAAAGATCTCAGAGCGGGAAAGTAAACTGAAGAACACGCTAACCAAAGCAGAGGCATACCAGCGGCACAAGTCTGACTTAGTGCCCTGGTTGTCGGACTGTGAGGAAAGAGACAGAGCCATCCAGCCCTCGCTTGAGTCATCGGCGCTGGACGAGTGTCTGCAGAAGGCCAAAGCTTTGGGGATGGAGATGGAGAAGAGACAGCCACATCTGGAGGCCTTCAACACCGCGGCCGACCAGCTGTTAGAGCAGTGCTGCATCGGTGACGAAGAGGTAAGTCTATCTACAGAAGGACGCACACAGAGGAGCCAGCACATACATCCTCGCATTTATTGAGTATTCTAGTTATAGACTGTAGTAAAAGGTATGTGTGAGTTAGAAGATTCCTGCCAGCTTACTAATGCTAAAAACAGCTCTAAGATCTTATAAATTCCATGCAGTCAATCAATAGAATTTGGGAAAGGGAATTACTTTGGAACATTTCTTTAAAAATTGATTCTTATTGCTGAGATGAAGCAATCGTGTTATATCTCTTGAGAAGCCGTAGTTCCAATGAGCAGAGACAGGGAATTAATGAACTGGTTGTTGTACTATATAAGTATGCATCAAAAAGAGGTTAGAGGCCCCAGTATTCAGAAAAAAATGGTGAGAGGCCTTTGTGGAAGAAATCTACATTTCTATCGCAGGTTTGAGGCCTATATTTCTTCACTCTTTTCAATGCACTGTGATTATGAATTTTTTTCAGTCTGGCTTTTCTTATTCAGACTTTGCTTCATACTTCACTTAATTTATATACATTTAGGGTTCACTCTAGTTGGTCTGTTTTCACTTCAAGAGGACCAAGTCTGGCTCTCAGCTGTTTCCAAATAAACTGACTTATGGATCCAGTTTTAATCAACCAGACCAGTCGAATTTGTCATATCCCAAATCACCTTGGATTGCTGTAAAGATAAATATGATCAAACTGTGAATGGCTTTTTGTAGGTGCGAGACGAGAAGGCCCAGCTGAACCGCAGAGTGGACCGTCTGGGGGAGAGTGTCCACAGCAGGACGTCCCACCTGGAGGAGCTCTCTGGGAGACTGAGGGAGTTTGAGGAGGGCAGAGCCGCCGTGGAGCGCAGACTGGAGGCCGCCAAACACCAGATCGAAGTCCAGGAGGCACTGGGACCACAGGTAACATATATTTGTATGTGTATGTGTATACTGTAAGTGCAGTAGGCAACATAACAATGTAAAAGAGGTCTCCGTATAATGTGAGTATTATAATACTCATGAATGTCAAATTTCAGTTTGAATGAATAAAATCAATCTGCTTTTTTATGCGATTCCATAGTATATTTTGTTCTCTACGGTCTGTTTGTTCACTTCATAGCAGTTTAAAAGGTGTTAAATTGCGTCTCAGATGTGATTTATGCTGCGAGTAAACAGTGCTAATGATTATTTATGGTCTGTGTAGGCGTGCAGCGCCAAGAGCCTGGAGAGACTGCGCAGCCAGCAGGACAATCTACGCTCCCTACAGCCTCAGGTGGTCTACCTCAAAGACCTGGCCCAGGGGCTTGTGCAGGACGCTCCGCAGGCTCTGGGGGGCAGCACTGAGGGGGCAGACCGGCTGCAGACACACGCCAAAGAAACAGAGAAGGAGTACGAACAAGTTACTGAGAAGGTAAGGGTGAGAAGTGGAGACTATGGTTTTAAACCGTGGAAATGTAACAATGTTGGTGCATATCTTGGTAATAACCATTAATTTAGTCTACACAACAACACAACAAAATTATTGTTGAATTGCATTTTGTTGTGATTTTATCCAAGTTCCTGCATTATTGCCTCATGAAAAAATTAAAGCTTAGGGCTGCCAACATTTTCTTCAAAATTTCAATGAAACAAGTTTAGATTAAAATAGCAGTAGCTTTAATTTGATCTGTTTTCTAATTTGTATACATACAGTATATGAGACTTGGACCTACAGGTCTATTGACTTGGACTTGCTGATCCAGAACCATGTACTTGATGTGGACTTGCAGGTCCAGCAACTTTTACATAACTTAGACTCCTGGGCAGAGATGCTTGAGAATCAGTTACTTATATGCATCTCTGCTCACTAGTTTTCCAGCTGCATTGTGGGAAAATTTCAGTGCACTGATCGGTCCCTGTGTAGTTTCGGACTCCATACAAAATGGCGTCACCCCTGTCCAGTCCGCTATATTATCAATCAATCAATCAACTTTATTTGTATGGCGCCTTTCCAACACAAGGCCACTCAAAGCGCCTCACAACCCACATAATATCAGACAAATCAGAGACATCAATAAATACATTAAAAACAGAATAAAATCACAAGTAATGAAAAAAAAAAAAAAAAAAAAAAACTTAAAATACCTAATATAATATATATTATCTCTGTGGACATTCTGACACCGCCCGTGAGAGAAGCAGAAATGTCTTAAAACTTTGTCAACATCAGAAAAAGCTCTTTATACCCACGCTGTTGATCTATGAATTAGGCTTATTTACCAAAAGCTTGCACAAACACTCCGAGGTATCCGACTATTTTAGCGCCTCATAAAACCTAAAGAAACCGCTTGTTTGTGTATCTTTGTAGCGCGGCCTCAGCTATCAACACACCACTGAATACTTCCCCTTTGGGCAAAAGTCCTGCCAACAAAAACTGCCCAGAATCCTATGTAAACCCAGATTGATCATGGACATATAGGTAGCAGCGATGCCTAGATAGAGTAACCATTCTAATTTATGAGTCTGCGAGTGAAGACACGCACCAGCAGGAGTCCTATTTATACCCGCGGTCACAGTGAGAAGGTGTGGGTTATTTCTGCACGCATATATTTGTGTGGTAAGTATTCTACCGTTGAGATTAACCAGATCCGCTGCACAGTTGTTGGACGGTTGGATCTCACTCGGTCTTAAAAGGTCATTGTGGACATGCAACACTTTGTCACAGAGTGTAAATGTAAACCAATGCTACTCGCACGTCTGGCTCGAGGTTTGATTTATTTAAGGCTGATTTTTTTAAATTCTCCAAATATAGACAATGGAATGCAAGTAGTGTGTAAGGATTGTGTCATCATTTTTGGCACTATAAATGAAATCTTAAAATGGATCATCAAATTGAGTTTCATAACTGGTAGGTCAAAGAGATTGATTGGAGAGAATCAAACCGTTCTAACAAAGGAAATGCAATGATACAAAAAACACATTGAGCCATTGGTCCATAAGAGGCAGATGACCACTGTCCATAGATTTTTGTCCAGATTATTATTTTTTCAACCCCATGTACACGCACGCACCATAGGATACCAAAATCTAGCAATTTACACCAGTAGTGAAATGACTAGCGTATTTATTGTTTTGAATAATACCTGTATTAGTGTATATTTTTAATTTGTCAGTATTGTGTGTCCTGGCTTATCACCTCATCCAAAACGGTGTAGAATGAGTGACTCTAGCCTAAATTGAACGCTTTTCTCCTGTTACCTAATATGCCTACTATATGTAATTAGTCCCATTATTTGCGTCGTTTGGTGTAAATTGGGGGCCATTTTGTCAGGCTTCCTTTTCTATAGATGTTTGATTTTTTTCCTGTGTCAAAGCACATTGAGCTGAGTTCCTTTCCTTCATCACCGGCCCTCCTCTCCTTCCTTAGATCGAGTCGTGCTGCTCGTCTCTGGAGTCACGGCTGCAGGGCGTGGGCCAGGTGCAGTCTCATGTCCGCGACGTCTTCTCTCGTTTGGCCGACCTGGACGACGAGCTGGACTCCCTCAGCCCCGTGGGGAGGGACGCAGACTCACTGTCGTCTCAGGCCGACGCGCTCAGAGGCCTGCTGTCCCGTCTGGGCGGCTTGCGCTCCGAGCTGGAGGAGCACGCCACACAATGCTCCGACATGCTGCACAGAGAGGGGTCATCACCGGACCTGCTCGCTCTGCGGAGGGAGACGGAGGCGCTGAGTCGACAGGCGGGAAAGGTGAGTCATTCAGGAAAAGTCAGTGTCCAGGAGTAACTGAGATTACTTATTCAGAATTACAGATGGGATGATAACTGGTATTTAGGTCATGTTAAAATGCCACAATACCAATGCTACACTGCAAAATATTAGTGATTTTTGTCTTAATTTGAAGACATTCTGACTGTTAAAACATTCTCCAATGGGACAAAGCCATTTAGTCATATCTCAAGAACTTTTGCTTTATTTTCTCATTCCAATGGAGACATTTCTTGTGTCTTTTTAAAATAAGATCATCTTGCTTTGTCCCATTTGCAAATCTTGTTTTAAGGCATTTTGCAGTGTATGTATTGCTATGGCCGTATTTTAAATTATAAATAATTAATTATGGGAAAAAAGCAGAAAATAAAACAATCTGCATGGGAAATGTGATATCTTGATTATTGTGGAGATTCTTTGTCATTTCTAAAACCTTTGGGGAGCTGCTCAGAAGGAGGTGACGAGCTGCTGGTCTCTCCGGAGCTAAAGTTTAGACATCCTGGCTGCAGATGACACTTTTGTCCTGTGTTGTGTTGCAGCTGAGCGAGCGCGGTCAGGCCCGGTTGGACCAGATCGAAGACGCCTCTGAACGCGTCCGGGACTTTTACCGCCTGGTGTCCGAGCTGCAAAGCATGCTGGGAGGAGCGGAGCAGGGTCTGGAGGCGCAGGCCGTGGTGGGCCCCGAGGTGGACACCATCAAACAGCAGCTGCACGAGTTCAAGGTAGGACTGTGTTTCCCTAAACCTGGGTTTGAGGCGATGTTTGTGTGTCTGTGTTGTGTTATCTTTACAAACTGGGCTCTCCACATAACGCCCAACTCTACTGCACTTCTCTAAACGAGGGATTTGATTGGAAAACATAATAAATGAGTCCCCTGACGTCATGCATCTTGTTCAATTGCTGTTGTTGGGCCTATTAGCATGGAACTTCAGTTATCTTGCTTTGATTTTAAATACATATTTGAGGATATATGATTGTTTGTGCTGCTAAATGCTGTGTTTGCTAAATTCTACATAAATATACTGTAAAAAAAAGTCACAATTTAATCTTTTAGGATGAAAACTGATTGCCTTTGGTGCAAGTCTGTGGTATAGCTGCTATACACTGTGTTGTGTGGGAAGTCCTATTGACTGTAAGACCTTTATGTTTGAATGTGACTATGTCTATTCGAGGCTGTTCAATAACTGTGGTTGGGTTTACTGACATGGAACTTGAGCTATCTTGCATTAAATTATTGAAAATTCTTTAGGTTAAATGATTGTATATGCTGCTGGACTAATGCTAATCTCCACATAAATGTCTCCCTATTTTACTCTTTTAGGATGAGAATTGACTGGTTTTGTTGGTGGTCTGCTTCACTTCTGTCTTTTCCAAAAGAGATTTTACACAGAACAATAAAAAGAACAACTGTTTCTTGGTTTTTGTTGTTGGGTTTGTTGGCCCGGAACTTTAGCAATCTTGCTTTAACAGAATGTTTTATCATCCAATCCACTTTTTTTACATAGCACGTTTTATTAAAAAAAAATGTCCAAAGTGCTGCACGGATTAAAGTAACACATTGAAGTACACAAGTCTGCCAGCTTGAAATAAAAACAATTCATTAAAATAGAAACGATTGAAATACAATAGAAAAAAATCTATTAAAATAAAAACAATAACAAAATGATAAAAACAATTACAATTATAAATGTTTGTGTATGCTGCTGGTCTTATGCTATATTCCACATAAATATATTGTAAAATCAGTCACTATTTTACCCTTTAGTATGAGAAGCGATTGGTTTTGGTGTGTTCCAATCCACTTCACTTCTCTCTTCTCAAAAAGCCGTTCCATAAAGATTTAAGTTAAGAAACATGATTTTAAACATCTGTTATACCTTATATCAATCGTGTGGGAAAAATCTACGTCGACTGTTCCGACCTTATGGTTCGGTAACGGTAGAATGTGGATATAATTATGCGTCCAATTTGTGGTGATACATGAAAAATGGCTGTAATGCGACCTGTGCGGCAGCTGTGTGGGTCTCTCAGGGGGTCTCGCTCATCCCCTCCGCAGACATGAGGTAAGACTGGTGCGTTTAGGACCACACCGCACAATGGGACTTTTAAACGCTCGTCAGCTGAGTCACTGCTCTTTTAAAACGCTCTCCTCTCTGTCGACTCACCCGGTTTGAGGACATGATTCTTTACTTTGATTCTTTGACTGTTCTGAACGTTGGTGTGGTGGTCGACCTTTCTGTAATCAGATTTTAATTTGTTGTTCTTGGTCTGTTATCTCTTCTTTCTTTATTCTGGCGGTTTTACTTTCCAAAAGCTACTGGACAGATTGTGTAGATGGGATGTGATAGTAGGAAGGCCCAATTCAAATATCATGATGATCCCAGGTGATGGTGAGGTATGCGCTATCCTCCTAGTTGATGTTGTTGCCATAGGTACCCGGTTTCCTCCAGGGGCTACGGTTTCCTCCAGGTGCTCCAGTTTCCTCCAGGTGCTCCGGTTTCCCCAACCGCAAAAAAAACCCATGAACAATAGATATGAATATGATGAGAGAGTGACTGGGCGCTGATGGTTGGAGGCATCTTGGAGCTAATAGATAGATGGATACTTTATTGATCCCCGTAGGAGAAATTACTGGTACATTACAGTAAAGTAAGTGCTTTGTGTGACCTCGGTCTGTGAAATGTGCTATATAGATAAAGATTCCTAACACTCTTACTTACCTAATTCATATTTTTCAAGATAAAAAAGACATAAAATAATAATAGGTTTTTTTTATAGTAAGTATAAAACTTTAGTTTTTTTCCCTACATAAAGTTTCTTTTATAGCAGAACTCTGGCTTCATCTAGAAACACTTGAAAATGTTGTTCCAAATCTCCAGTTTAGAAGCCAAACAAATATCAGATATAAAGCGTGATGTACCGTAGAGATTCACCTTTTACTGTTACACAGTCTCATGTTAGTGCCACATGAACCAACTCGGACTGAGGAGCACAGGGACTGGCCTCCTGTTGGGACTCTGAGGAGCACAGGGACTGGCCTCTTGCTGGTGCCAGATTCGGGACGAATATGCAGACAGCTTTTCAGATTTATGCAGCTAAAATCTGGAAATTTGAGACAGTTGACCTTGTGTATGGACTGTGCTCAACAAATAAACTTGCTTTGTCTTGCTTTAAGGGAAATGCACTGTTGAGAGCCTTTGTTTGACAAAGAAAAACTAAAATGCCAATCATCAAAGGAAGTGGTGAATTTAGTCCAGTTTGAATTTGAAGATTGAAATGTTTTGTGTTGTTATGAATCCAACGTTTACTTCTGTTCGGCTCTTGATTAAAGTTTTGTACATGCCATCTTTAAATGATTTCTAAAAGGCCTGTTTAAATACAACATTTCTCCTAACCGTAGTAGAGTAGTATTTGTCTATAGCAGCCCCCAGTGTTAAGTCGCTCTAGGAGTATGTGAATAACAGTTTTAATGGTGGTAGTAGAAGCCGTGTTTGTGATGGTCGCCCTGTGTTGCCAACAGCTGTGTTTAATGCTGAACTTGACTTTCTTGTGGTTGTGGTTCGGGAGCTGAGTCAGGAATGTGCCCCTCGCTGTTTTACTGCGTCTTCAGGAGCACAGACCCTCTTTTCACTTTTAGCAACAGCACCCTGCTTCAAAGTGCTTCAAAGTGCATTTCAGCTCAATTATGTCACTTCCTGTCCTGTCTATTCCATTATGGCCACACTGAAGCCGACGACACCTCATTCATGATAATCCTCCCATTTATTTTGAATGTAAGTTTTGATTATTACTTTCTCCTTGCGTTTATCTCAACTCAAGTATCAATTATGAGGGAGAAAAATGTGAGATTTGAAAGAAAATTAACAATATTTGTGTCTATTTTATCCCTCAAAGCATAAACTATAACAAAGTATCATACCTCATTACCATTTTTAACTGTCAGATAAAAAAAATAATCTTAAAAGAAATGTAAAAAATCTTACTGTAGTGACCATGTTTTGACTAAAGTAAGTCAAAACTGGACAGGAAGAAGCAGGTCAGTTTGGAGCGAAGGTCACAAGGCCAGAGCCAGATGCAGAGGCCGAGATAAGGGTGTGTGTGTGTGTGTGTGTGTGTGTGTGTGTGTGTGTGTGTGTGTGTGTGTGTGTGTGTGTGTGTGTGTGTGTGTGTGTGTGTGTGTGTGTGTGTGTGTGTGTGTGTGTGTGTGTGTGTGTGTGTGCGTGTGTGTGTGTGTGTGTGTGTCCGTGTATGTATGTGTGTGTCCTCCACATGACCCTACAGACATACTACAGTACATGTGTGTAATCTAATGCTTTAGGTCGTAGTGATAGCATAACATACACAACGGCATGAGTCTCAAATGGATTCCTCAAACCTTGTGCCTCACAGCAAGACAGGCCTGGGTTTTTTTCCACCTCCAGGTCTTTCTGTGTGGAGTTTGCATGTTCTCCCCGTGTCTGAGTAGGTTTCCTCCGGGTGCTCCGGTTTCCCCTACCACTAAAACACATGTACAATATGTGACCTATTGTACACATGTATAATAGGTTTTGCAAGTGCCTCCTGTATGGTGACCCAGCTCCCATCTCAGTTTCTATTGTTTTTGTAAAAGGATTGTTTACCTATTTTATTGTTTTTATTACTTTTATATATACATTTCTCGTCAGACCTTCAGAAGCTAAGCAGGGCAGGTTTTGGTCCGTAGTGTGATGGGAAACCTCTCACTGCATCACTGCATTAGCGGATAAAGGCCAACATTCAAAGTGCATAAAAACAACTCAGACGCTTCACTTTGTTCCTCCTCCCTCAGTCTCCCCCCAGTCTCCCCCCAGTCTCCCCTCAGTCTCTCCCAGTCTCCCCCATTCAGTCTCTCTGTATCTCTCAGTCTCCCTCAGTCTCCCCCAGTCTCCCTCAGTCATGTCTCTGAAACTGATCCAAACCTAAACATGTGTCTACTCCCCACACTGCAGACCCCCGCTCCTATCCACAGAGGTGATGTCATCCACCGCTTAGAAAGAAGAGGCTGCAGTTTTTGTGGAGGGTTGGGGGGTGGGCTGGGAGGCATTAGGGCGGTGTGCAGAGGTCATGGGAGTGGGCTGGGATTGTCTAAAGTGCTCAAAGCTGATTTCAGGTCTTTGAGGGACGCAGGGGGAGAAACTTGCTGCTTGGTTGAGTTTACTATAGAATTTGACTTTTGTGGAAGTTGGATTTGCTTTGTATTGGTCTATTTAAAGGGGTACAATGTGCATTATGGACTTTGGAGTCTTGTCTAGTCTTGTTAGAAGTTATTTACTATAGAATCTTACCCTTGTTGAAGTTTGATTTCCTTTATATTGGAACTGTATTTAAACTATAAACTGTTTAAAGCCTTGTACCATGTTAGTAATGGTTTCCTCTCTCTTTCACCCGTACAAGTTCGTGATTTGAATAAAACGTGGCTGAAAAAAACCTATATATATGTTAAAAAATACACATTAGTCCCATGATTAGTATTCAGGCCCAAACTGCCAAGAGAGGCCTAACTGGTCACTTTGGTTTAGGGCCTTCAAATGTCCAGAAACGGACAGACATTTCTATCCAGCATTTATCCCACCAAAATTTCCCAGGTAATAAAATAGTAGGGGCATATATTGAGGCATACAGACACAAAGGTCAAAGATGCAGAGATAGAAACTTGTTTTTTTCCCCATAAAAAGTTGGATAATGCCCCTTTAGCCACATCATGTAAAGTAGGACTGTGATACAACATTATTGCTATTCTGTGCCTAACTACTAAATGTTTGTGTTACGTTGTTGTTGGAGCAGCCTGTTCACTCTTTGACACATACACACTTGTCATAGCAATTCACACATATAGATTTTTGTTGCACGTTAAAGGCATAAGGAAATACAAGGAATACTGAAAAAAATCCCCAAAATACACCAGGGGGTTTGTGCTGCTCTTTGTGGCTCTTTGTAGCGTAGTTGAAATTAACTCAAAAGTCGATGACTATGATCCACTGTTGCCATGGATACGATGTAGCCGCCATAACCAAAGTACACATGTGAGCTGAAATTCCCAGTTGCGAACCCTACTCTGCTTGGATCCTCGCCGTACATGACACAGCGGCCACTTCTGCGGGCGCGAGGTGCTACTGTGTTTGTTTTTAGGCGTGTGTGTGTGTGTGTGTGTGTCTGTAGGCTTGCTGGATGGTTGTCGTGCCGGATCTTTTTTTAAAGGCACAACCGGAATCTCAGCTGTCTGCACCCCACACAAACGGGGCGCGGCCACAACATCCCCTCGCCGCCGCCACATACCCGTGGACCCTGGACCCTAGACCCTGGGGTCTGGGGACAGAGGTCTGGGGGGGTCTGTGGTCTGGGGCAGCTGCTGGGGCAAATGTGTGTGCAGGCTACAGATGGGCATTCTTGTAAAACGCTGGTTAGACTCCATGACAAGACTGAAGCAGCAAGTGTGGCTGGAAACACTCACTCAAATAGGTTTACGAACTTGTAACTTCATATTCTAGGCAAGGCAATTTTAATTGTATTGCACAGTTCTCACACAAGGCATTTCAAAGTGCTTAACAAAACAGGGAAGAAACAATCTCAAAAGCCATTAAAGTAATAAATAATCACGATACATTAACAGTCGTGTCACTCTCTGCAGTTGTCTTGGGCCCCCAGCTGCCAGGGGCCTCTGAGGAAGTTTATCATAATTTTCCAACTTTGTATTTCTTTGTGTTTGTATTCTGTTCTTTTATGTTAAATGGAGTAGACTAGTTTAGTGATTATAGCGGTTATCACACTTATCAGCCTTGGGGTTTGCATGTTCTCCCCCGGGTCTGCCTAGGTTTTCTCCGGGTCTGCGTAGTATTCCTCCGGGTGCTGCGGTTTCCCCTACCACTAAAATCGTCTGGCCTGGCAAGTACCATCTCTGTGTAGAGTGAGAGACAAAGGCCCACAAAAATTGTAAAGCGCTTCGGGACTCTGGTCTGTGAAAGGCGCTACTAACTAACTAATTTATTCCTTTCATAAGGACTAGATCATTTTTCTCTTAAACAGGGAATCCAGTTGTAGTATCTAAGACC